CTTCCTGGTTTGCCCTTTGACCCTGATCACTCTTCAGTCCAGACTCCCAGTTCCCAGCTTGTGACTTACTGCCCATAGCCCAGCCCTGACATTCTGATGCAACAACTGAATTTTCCCCTGAACCACTCCACATTAACCATCTTTGGAACTTAATGCTAGAGTTTGCCAATACTTATCAAAGCCAGTGGGGTTGTGTTGTGTAAGGTGGAACAATGCCCCAACCAACCCTTAGCCCCTGTTCCTCTCAGTTTCTTTTTTCCCCTTGTTTTCTAAGGTGGCCATACAGAACCCTTTCTTATTTCTGCCCCTTTCTTATTATTTCTGTCCAGGATGCTGGATAAAGGGGCCATTGGCCTCATTCAGTAGACTCTTCTTATACAGTCGTACCTTGGTTGTCGAACGCACTGGAACTTGGATATTTTTGTTCCTAAATGCCACAAACCCAGAAGAACCTGAATGTTCAGTGGGGCTTCTGTGAGGCTTCTGATTGGCTGCAGGAGCTTCCTGCAGCCAATCAGAAGCTGTGATTTGGATTTCAAACATTTTGGAAGTCTAACGGACTTTCACAACAGATTCCGTTCGACCTCCAAGGTACAACTGTAGGCTTATGTTCTTATCAGCTGTTCTGCCTTTGCACAGCCCCACAGGTTCAGCTATCTATAGAGCTGTCTCAGCTTTACTCTGCTTTTGCAACTTTGATATACTATTGTTTGTCTAGAAGTTCTGCTCACATTTAAGGAGATTGTGTAAGAATTTCAATGAAAATGCAGCTTTGGAAAATCTGGCATGTCATCAGTTTAGAGGTCTGTGTTGCTGCCAAGTCTTAATTTCATCTCCTGTTTTGTTCAAAGGGATTCACCTTCCTCCATATGCTCAAAAGAAATGCCTAAACAAGATATTAGGAATGGTTATTGGAGAAAAGCAGTATGTATTCCCCTTTCCATCTGATCCTTTTCCATTCAACTAGCAGTTGGCAACTTCTTTGCCAAAAAAAGATTGGATTATAGCCACAACCCATTCCTGTCACATGCAGTGACAGTAACAGCAAAAGGAATAGCATTGTCAGAAGACAGCCAACAGTAGTTTTTTAAAAATATATATCTTCAGGTTCTGGGAGATTGAAAAACAAGGTTTAAAATAAAAGAAGTTAGACAAAAGTCTCCACCTAGTGGCAAATCTGATTCCAGTATGTCATCGATTATATAGGATTCTGATAAGAGGTGCATAAGCAGCGTAAACTTATCCCAAGTTATGCCTTTAACATGTTTATTTTGTACTGTTTTAAAAAATGCATTGCTGGAATTCTTTCAGCAGGTTCTTTCTATTTACACTTCTAAAGCTTTGACTTGATTCTAGAATATTTCTATTTACATTTTAGGCAGGTATCTGCCAAAGTCTCTCTTTGGAGAAAAGAACCTGATATGTTTCTTTAAAAAAAACATGTCAAGTATTCTAAGCTTTCTTCTTCTTCTTTTAAAAAATGCTTAGAGTTTCTTCTTGTTTATTTCATATTGTCACTAGTAACATTTCCTTTTGAATGCATTCCACTGATAGCTTCCTACCAATAAATTAATAAGCTTCTAGTTTCCTTTTTCCTGTGTTTATTTTATTAGGTTTTCAAAGCATTATAAATCACTGGAAACTAAACATACAACAGAAATATACACATGCGCACACACAGCTTCTCTATTTTGGAGTCTCCTGCTGTTTTCAGTTACATATAATCAAATATATGTAATGGTTAATCATTATACTAAAACTACAGAGCTGTATTTTAACTATATGTAAATAGGAACAGATTTTTAAATGTTGTGATGTTCCAATTTGCTCACACATACAGATATTCAGGGCTACATGCGAACCCTTCACATATCTGTGCAAAATTAACTAAGCAGGCTTATGTGCTCATCAATAATGTTGGGTACAAATTCTGACATTTTAATCTGGATATTAGAAACAAAGCATTTTTTTCTCATTAGTTTGGCTGCCATCTTGGAAAATGGCAACAATTTCTCACATTTCTGGTTACTGTGTACAATCTAGCAAACGCTTCACATTTTTCATGTAGATTTTGTAACCACTTTCCCAAGGATTACCGTGAGCTTTTAAAAAAAGAAATCAGTTCATAAAACCGTCATTGCAATTTTTTCTGTGGTGTACAACTTTTTTCAGGGGGACTATTAAAGTACATAAAATGTAGTTTCAAAGGGAAAATTATTAATTTTTACATGTTTGACAGTGGAACAGACTCCCATGAGAGGTGGTGGACTCTCCTTCCTTCCTTGAAGGTTGAGATTCCTGCGTTTCAGGGGGTTGGACTAGATGACCCTTGGGATACCTCTTCCAACGCTACAATTCTATGATTCTATGTCATGAACTGGCAGGACAATGGGGAAGAGGAAAAGGAACCTGGCAAAGGGTGTAGCCAGGACTGGGACACAACATAGCAAGCAGGGGGTGGGGAAGGAGGTACTCACAGAGTGATGAAGGATGGCGAGAGGATGGGAGCCAATGCACAGGAACCAGAGCAGCAGGAACTATCACCAGCAGTGGCGTAGCGTGGGGGGTGCAGGGGGGGCCGTCCACACCGGGCGCAACATCTGGGGGGGCGCGCTCGCACTCACAGCTCTCTGCCCCTACCTGGCTCACTCACTCTCTCTCACTGCAGTGCTGGCTGAGTGAATCCGATCCGAGCCGCTGGGTCACCGCCCGCTGTGGAGGGGGTGGGTGCCAGGCGTGCGGTGCGGAGAGAGAGCGAGGGACTATCTGGGAGAGGGACAGTGCAGCGGCCGCCCAGCGCAGCGCTGAGCGCGGGAGAGAACCACACCAGACCAGACCAGGCAGCAGCAAGAAGAAGCTGGCAGCGGCGGCAGGTTAGGGGTTAGGGGGCGCAAATTACTTGCCTTGCCCCGGGTTAGGGGGTGCAAATTACTTGCCTTGCCCCGGGTGCTAACAACCCACGCTACGCCGCTGATCACCAGTGGCAGAAGGGCTGCTCTCTCCACGAACACACTGGGCTCTGAAGTGTAGGGAGCAGCAGGATGGGTGCTCTAAGAGGCTGAGGCAGGCAAGGACCCACAGCCCAGCTGACTAGCTAGCCAGGTGGGACTCACTAGCTCTGAGAGGAGGGGTGTGATTCCTCAGCTGGAGGTGGCTTGGAGCAGGTGAGGGTCACATGCCTCATCAAGCCCAGTTGCTGAAGTCAGCATGCAAAGTACAAAAGGGAAGCAGAGCTGAGGTGCTATGTCTGTTCAACAGCCCATGTTGATGGGCCTTGGCTTGGATGCTCCTGTATTTCTACAGGACTGTCCTTTGGGTTTGACTCTGGACTGTATCCTGACTGCTGGACTTCAAGTGTGGGTTACTTGGATTTACCCTGAACTGGATTTCCTGACCTTTGGACTTTGCTTGTGTAGATTGATCCCTGGACTTTGAACTTTGGACTTGACACACTGACTTGCTGCTGGGTATGATACTATCCTATTTAAAATGAGCTTTATTGTTGTCTGTGGCATTTTTGGCACATCTAAAAATTTGACTACCAACCACCTCAGAAATTGAATTTCAGTCCACTGATCTGTTAACACATGTGCTGTCTCTGAAGTTATGCTCATAGTTCATAATTCATGTTATTCTTCAGTTGTATAAAAAAAGTTCCACTAACTTATTGTTTTTTTGCTTGGTGAAGTGTGGAGGAAAGTTAATATGCTTAGGAGTCAATTTCTTGTCTCTGCTCATGTAATACACCAAATCCTGAGTAACATTCATAATTCTATTCAGCTGACCATTAGATTCATTGTTGCCCCTGTCGTTATCACCAGCCTTCAGGACTTCTTCCGCTTGGAGCAAAATTTGTAGGAACATAAACAGGCTATCATACACATACACTGAGAGCAGTGTCATGATCACTACCAGTACCTTGAAGACCAGGGTAAATTTTGAGATCACCACAGAACTTCAAAACAGTGTGCGCTAGCAGAAGAAACCAATTGTCTTCAGGTTTTTCTACAAGGGTACTAATGAGATTAAGTTCAAGGGAGACATCTACAGTGTGGACTGTGGATTGGACTACAGTGCAAACTATTCACTGCTGTGGCAACCACTGTGGTTTGCAGAGTGGCAGAGCTATTGCTATACCTCCAGCTTGCCCACTCATAACAGTGGCAGCAGAAAGTGAAGTAGGCAGATTGGGCCCAACTGCTGCACCAGCTTCCAGCTGTTGCATTGATTAGGCCTTTGATTTGGCTTAGATCCAGCTAGCCCCAGTTATGACAGCAGCTCAGTAGGTCCTGGGTTGGCTGGCCCTACCGTTATCTGAGGGTGCCCATTAAAGGACTACCTGCAAAGTTCTGCTGGTGAAAATATTGCCAGTAGGCCTTCTACCTGCACTCACATTAGGAATGAGGATATTTGGGCAGTGTCAGCAGTGGCAGGCAGGAGGCTATCCGAGATGGCAGAAGCTAACAGAGGGATGGCTCTGCTCAATCCAATAAGCACACATACACACAGCCCAGCATTTGAGTCGTTATGAAGCCATGAGTTCAAGTGAAGAGGAATCTGTGATTTATTGCTTTTTATTTAACTGTCAGGACCTTAAACAGTTTACACAAAATATTTATTAAAATTACCTACAAAATGAGATTTTTTAAAAAACAAATTAGCCTTCCCCCCCCCCAAAAAATAAAATCAACAGTTTTAAATGCATACTTTATAAAAATAAAATTTACATATTCAAATACATGTCAGATCTACATGGCCGGAGAGACTTGCTTATGCAATGTTTCTGGTAGGTGTCGAAAACAGTATACTAGAGGTACCTGTCCTACTATCAATGCTCAGGGAGCTCCTTCTGGGATGTGGCTCAAGGCACCAATGCAAACACTGAAACAGACAAACATTTTTTCCAAACACATTTTCCAACTGCCGCGCCTCCCTGCTAACAACTATTGCCTAGCACCTGTTGCCATGACTCTGTTTCTCCAGTATTCCATCTTCCTGACCATTGTGTTCCTTTACTATATACTACATGCATCTCTTCTTCTTCATGTCCTTCTTTCCCAAGCTCCACCCCCTTGGTCTAAAGACTGCGGCTCGGAAAGGGCCAAACTCCTGCCCTGCAGACCACAACTTCTTTGCCCTTCTGTGGCCTCCAACTAGCCATGCTCCTTGACAATACCACAGATAGGTCACATGATTTCCGCTGCGCATGTGAGTTAGGTGGATTGCCATTGCTGGCTTTGCACTGAGGACAACAACCCACTCAGCTCGTTTGTATATAAAAAATGGTGTATGCTCTCTCCTTCAACCTAGGACAAATCCCATTACAGAAATTCAACATAAAGGACCAACCTCCCTCCTCTACCCCCAACCACGTGTGCCCTGCTGCTGACACAGTCACCGCCACCACACACATCTATACACAGACACCGTCGCTGACAGCCTCCTCAAAACTTTCTTCTTCCAGTGTAGGCATAAGAGCATGAACCAGGGACTGCTCCATCCTGGGGGCCGGGCAGCTTAATGGAAGTGAAAGAGAAGTTAAGAGAATAATAGTATATCTTCCTTTCTCTCCCTCCTCCTAATTCTTCTGCCTTTTACACCATCTGAAATAATTTTCATCACGGCTGGACTGCTTCTTTCCCCCACCCTCTCGGCAGCCACAGCTTTCCGTCCCCTCAGCCACTCCCTATGTCTCCTTCCTGTGGTATCTCAGCTCTCCTCACGGCTTCCCTTGAGGGCCATGGGGCTTCTGACACAGGGCTCCCCGATGAGCTGGGATAAGACACAGCAGCACGCGGAACATGTGCACAAGCATGGCATCCTCCAGTTTTTGCACATCTACCGAGCTGTCGGGGAGAGGCGCAAGGATTTGCTCCAGTGGGGGGATGAGGTAGAATACATGGTGGTAGCTTTTGACCATGAAAATAAGAGAGCACGATTGTCCTTAACTGGAGAAGAAATTGCACATACTTTGCAAGACGAGGTTGAAAGGGTAGACTCAAACCATCCAACTCTGTGGAAGCCAGAATATGGACGCTATATGGTTGAAGGGATTCCTGGACAGCCATATGGAGAAACAATGTCTGAATTTAACACTGTGCAAGAGAACATGAGAAAGCGTCGGCAGGAAGCGGCATCAGTGCTGAAACAAAACGAAGCTCTTTGCACTATAACATCATTTCCAAGATTAGGTTGCCCGGGATTTACGGTACCAGAGTGTGTCCCAACGCCTGTTGAGACGGGAGCCTCCAAGTCCCTCTTCTTCCCAGATGAAGCCATCAGCAAACACCCCAGGTTTGGTACTTTAACGAGAAACATTCGTCACAGAAGAGGAGAAAAAGTAGTGATAAACATACCAATATTTAAGGACAGGAATACCCCATCGCCCTTTATAGAAACATTTCCTAATGATGATGGTGAAGCAGCAAAAGCAGCCCTGCCTGACCATGTATATATGGATGCTATGGGGTTTGGAATGGGCAACTGCTGCCTTCAAGTAACATTTCAGGCTTGCAGCATTTCTGAAGCAAGATACCTTTATGACCAGCTAGCCACAATGTGTCCCATTCTGATGGCATTAAGTGCTGCAGCTCCATTCTACCGGGGCTATGTGACGGATGTTGACTGCCGTTGGGGAGTAATATCTGCATCGGTAGACGATAGAACCAGGGAGGAGAAGGGGTTGGAGCCATTAAAGAACAACCGCTACAGAATCAACAAATCCAGATATGATTCCATAGACGCTTACCTCTCTGAAAGCGGTGAAAAATACAATGACATTGATTTGGCAGTAGATAAAGAAATCTATGAGCAGCTGGTAAAAGAAGGCATTGACCATCTTTTGGCCCAACACATTGCTCACTTATTTATTCGTGATCCATTGGTGCTCTTCGAAGAGAAAATACACTTGGATGATGCAAATGAATCTGACCACTTTGAAAATATTCAATCAACGAATTGGCAGTCAATGAGATTTAAACCTCCTCCTCCCAATTCAGATATTGGATGGAGGGTTGAGTTCAGACCAATGGACGTCCAGTTAACAGACTTTGAAAATTCTGCTTATGTTGTATTTGTGGTGTTGCTGACACGAGCCATTCTCTCATACAAACTAGACTTTCTTATTCCTTTGTCCAAGGTGGATGAAAACATTAAAGTAGCTCAGAAACGAGATGCTGTCCGGCAGGGCATGTTTTATTTCAGAAAAGATATTTATAAATGTGGAAATGTTACAGTGGGTGGATGTGGCCCAGCTAAGAATGTTCCAGAAACAGATGCCGAAGAGTATATCTTAATGAGCATAGATACAATTATCAATGGGAAGAAGGGAACATTTCCTGGATTACTTCCAATTTTAAACTCTTACCTTGAAAGTATGGAAGTGGATGTGGATACAAGGTGCAGCATTTTAAAATTCCTGAAACTAATTAAAAAGAGGGCATCAGGAGAGTTAATGACAGCTGCTCGATGGATGCGAGAGTTTGTCACTAACCACCCAGCATACAAAAATGACAGTGTGATTACTGAAGAGGTGAATTATAGTCTGATTTGGAAATGCAACCAAATTGCTGAAGAACAAGCTGAATGCCCTGAACTGCTTGGAGCATGCTTTAACAAAGTAAACTGCAATGAAACTAAAACTGATGCTTTTTGATTAAATGCTTTCATCAGCTGTGGAAAGTATAACACATTCTTTGCTGGAGCAGTAGTTACATTGCTGGTAAATATCTGCAGTTTTGTAATGAGAAGACCAAAATAGATTCTACTTCAATTTAAGATGGGCCTATCTGCCAGAATATTCTCTTAAAACTCCCTACAATGGGCACAGTCTTACATAAATATAAGACTGTGTACAGTACATGTAAATAGTAAAATGTTTTTTTAAAAAAAAATTAACATCAATGTATTTTAATAAAGCTATATTGAAATACATTGTGAACCCCCTGGTACTTTTTAATGTGCTTATTTGGGGGCAATGTGGGGAAAGTCAGTGTTCTCAAATGTTTGTTATTGGCATTGAACAATCTGCTATATTTTAAGGAAATAACCAGAACCTGATTCACATAGATATTTTTCCCATTCTACCTTGAGAAGGTGATGTGGTCCTGATTCTACCGGAAGCTGACATATGAAATCAGGTTTCCAGCCAAGCAGCCCAGTTCACAAACTTGGATTTAAATAGATGTTTGTCTAACTGTTGTAAATGGGATATGATTAAAGTATTTTTCTTTACTAAGCTGGGGTAAAAATCAACATGTTTCTCTACTAATTGTGTTTTTGTCTCTTCCACAAGTCTGTCAGCTTCATTCACTGGCTTCATGCCACAGATTTTTGAGTTCCTAATAGCTACAGTTTCTGCTGAGTCACATCCAAGTAACTTGACATTTGGGAATCATTTATTATTAATTGTCAAAAAAAATCCTCTTAACTCCAAGTTTATAGAAGTGCTTAGTTTTTACTCCACTTTCATCTTGTTTTAAAGTTATCATAACTCCAATATATTCATACTTCATTATGGTTTTCTGACCCAGTTCATGCGTGGTGTCCAGTGGTGACTCTTACCTGGTGGAGGAAATCAATCAGAAGAATGGGGTAAGAGGGAGTTTTAGGTGCTCTCGCTAACCCATGGCTCACATGCAACCCATATACTCCAGAGGATCCTCCAACCCTCAAGCAGATTGGAGTAGATGGGGCACTTGTGGGAGGATAGAGGAATCATCAAGGATCAGATCACATCTCTTGGTTCTGCTGGTCAGTGGGCTGTGAATATTGGAGAGCATGCCATATATTCTACTTGGACATAACATCTGCCATGGTGGAGGAGCAGGCAAGTACCTCACCCTGTTCCTCACCTCCACTCTATTTGTAATACATGGTGTTGACACTCCGTGTTTCTGTGGAGACACACATCTCTTCCTCCTGTAAAAAGTTTTCATAAATTTAAACCCAGTTTGTAAGACACATGGTGCCAAAAACACAATATTTTTCTAATGAAAATAGGATGTCTCCAATTAAATCAATGACCTACATCTTTTTAAATGGCTTTTACACTACAGAATCTGATTCATGACACATGAAAACCAATATTTAGATCAGAGTTCCTGTTTGAAAAACAGGCCCTAAAAAAAGCACCACTAACAACAAGCATATTCTTGAAATCTTCATGAATTAGCAGCTATGTTATCTTGCTACCCTCTTGTGGACAAGCATGAATTGTTGCACCATTTCAATTTGAAATGCAAAAGAGCAAGAGTCCCATGCACTTGCATGTAGACTATTCCCCTCCCCCCAAAAAAGGATTTGAAATTAAAACCAGGTTCAAGACAGCTAATCCACAAGTTCAGGATTTGTCCACACAATGACTCTGTGCACAGACTGGCTCTGAGGTACAGATTGCTATCCCACTGAGAAAATACAGTACTTAATTATCCATTGAGCATAAAAGCTATTTAATACAGTGGTACCTCGGGTTACATACGCTTCAGGTCACGGACTCTGCTAACCCAGAAATAGTACCTCAGGTTAAGAACTTTGCTTCAGGATGAGAACAGAAATCGTGCTCCGGCGGCGCGGCATCAGCTGGAGGCCCCATTAGCTAAAGTGGTGCTTCAGGTTAAGAACAGTTTCAGGTTAAGAACGGACCTCCGGAATGAATTAAATACTTAACCCGAGGTACCACTGTAATTGTTTCAGAGCACACTACATATACAGTTATTAAAGTCGCTACCAAATTTGGTAGTCTGGCTGACCTTGTTAGCTGGGCCTTCTGAGGTCAATTCAGATACTTTTTTTCAAGTATGCAAACTGCTGGCACCACTTTAATGTCTGCATGTCTTTAAAACAAGATGACATGCAAGTAGGAAACATGGTAACTTCACCCACTATGCCAATGTGGGGAACCTTTGGCCCATGGCTAAGAGACGGGGTATAAATGAATCATGTGGTGTCTTCCTTAGCAAGGCTTTCTCTTCCTTCTAATCATTATACTTGAACAATGCTGCCTATAAGTTTAGACAGAAGAGGCGTTAGGCTAGCTGGCCTGTAATATTTTCCTCCATCTTTGATACCTTTTCAATAAATGATTGCTTGTTAACTGCCTTCTAATCTTCCAAAAAAAGAGCTTGGTTTAAGTTAGGAGTTGTTGTTGTTGTTGTTGTCGCCATCCAAATATTTTAATTCTTTAAGGATTTTTGGGTGTATGCAAAGCTCAGTGACCTAAATGTTATACATTGATTATGTTTCTTGGGCTTTGAGAAAGAATTGAGAGTGTTTCCCTCATATATATATATATTTTAAAATATGCCATTTCTCACCTGGTTGTTCCTTGCATTCGCTATTATAAGACTGTAAACCCTAGGGTGGTATCTAACAAAGTAGTTCTGCTAGTGCAAGGATTTTTGTTGAGCAACAGAACTTACCCTTCCTCTCATCTCCCCACCTGCCCCCTTGCCACCTCCAAATCTGCTATGAAGGCTGGGGAAAGACTCAGAACAGTGTTAGGGGGTGTGGAAGAAGAAGAGAGGGAGGAGTTCTGTTGTGCAGCCAGAAGTCCTTGTGATAAATTAACTCCTTTTTTGGATACCACACACAGTCTAGTTTTAAGAAGAAGGTATCTGAAGAAGTGTGCATGCACTCGAAAGCTCATACCAATAACAAACTTAGTTGGTCTCTAAGGTGGTACTGGAAGGAATTTTTTTAGTTTTATGAATGTACTGTTTTCTTCCACCTTCATTCTGCCATCATGTGTAGTAATTAGAAACTTTATGGTAGTTGGAAACTTTTAAACACAGTTTGCGGCAAACCATAGTATACAGAATTACAAAAAAAAAGGGCAGACTATCATTCGTGACATGAACACAAAGCACTAAGGCTTCTTAGGATTCATTTTCATACCAACAACCCATGGTTTGGCATTACATTTGAATGATCCTATATTTTTAATGCTCCAAAAATGAGGGTGTGTTTTGCATACCCATTATATTTAGCTTTTAGCTAGGTTGTCAGCTCTGTTTATCCTCCATAAGGCACAGTAATTCATTTCATGTACCCGGTGAAGTAACATAGGATTTCAGTTATGCCATAATAAACTAGTTGCCCTCAAATGTTTCGTAGCTTTTTAAATACTTGCTGGTGTAGATCAGTTATATACACTTCACTATAAACAGGTTCAATGTGATTAAAAAGTAGCCCTCACTCATAAGATAACAAATGGCCATATTTCAAAATGGACTAGGTCCCCTGCAAGGACTTGCAGTCTTCTGCTTAAAAAATGGTGCTATGTATCGATTCATATATGAACACAGCTAATCTGTAATCTTCTGGTTTTGTTTCTATTCCATTTATTACTCATTTTGTCCGCTAGAGGTCAGCATAAAAAGCAACAGTTGAAGAGGATTTCAATGCTAGCTATTCATTGAAATATTGTAAAGTGCATGATAAAGTATTTTGTAACGTATCTAGAGCCATGCCAAACTGGAGGAAGGGGTGCCTTTCATGAACACATTGACTAGTTTTCACTGCTATATACATCCTTCAGTTTTGTATGTATACTATACAAATACATACATGAGTCATTGTTATATACTAAGAACCTAAGAAAAGCCTGCGAGATCAAGCCAGTGACCCATTTAGTCCAGCATCTGGTTCTCAAGTTCCCAGCCAAATGCCTGTGGGAAGCAGGAACGTGTGCAACTGCACTTGGCCACCTGCAGTTCTCAGCAATGGCTGTTCAGAGAGATACTGCCTCTAACAGTGAAGATACAACATAGTCATCATGGCTGTCAGAGAACTGCCATCGGAGCTAGAGGCAGAGGGAAGGCTCCAGAGGGATGCAGGAGAGGGTCCCAGTAGGGAGAGAGGCAGCCCATCTGCTGGGGAAGGAAATCAGCGTAACACCAGTGGAGAAGGGGGGCAGATGGGGGGATCGGAGAGGAGGCTCCAAGACTCCTCGCCGGAGACCAGCGGAGAGAGTACGGGTACTCCGCTGCCCACACCCTCCCTGCGCAAAAGACTTCCGCGCAGGGAGAGCAGGAGGAGACTTGGCGTCAAACAACTTTTATGCTGGAAAAGGTTCAAGAAACGCCCACTGACGGATTCTGCCAGTGACTGAGACAGTCACGATGCTGGAGGCTGTTCAGTCAGAAAGGGTTTAAGCAGGTAACCTAGCCAGGTGTGGCGGCAACTTACGCACGAGCAACCCCTAAACCCATTACAATGGCTAATAGCCATTGATAGCTTAATATTCCATGACGGCGCTCATCTCGCTTTACTGGCCGAGCAAGCCGGCGTACAGCTTCCGGGTCATGTGGCCAGCATGACTAAGCCACTTCTGGCAAACCAGAGCAGCGCACGGAAACGCCGTTTACCTTCCCGCCTATCTACTTGCACTTTGACATGCTTTCGAACTGCTAGGTTGGCAGGAGCTGGGACCGAGCAACGGGAGCTCACCCTGTCACAGGGATTCGAATTGCCGACCTTCTGATTGGCAAGTCCTAGGCTCTGTGGTTTAACCCACAGTGCCACCTGCGTCCCATGAATTTGCCTAATCCTCTTTAAAAGCCAACCCACTGGGTCCTCTTCATTACCTCCTGGCAAAGGGATTTCTGAAACTCTCACCTTTTTTTTTTTTTTTAAAAAGTAGCCTAACACAGTGCATACATTCTTCAAGTTCTTCCTGTGTGCTGTGGTGATAATGGGATTTTTATATATATTTACTTATTGCCACAACTGGTTTTCTGTTATTTTAGTTGCAAAGCCAAGAATTTACATTCCAGGAATCTACTAGAAAATAATGACTTTTAAAAGTTAAGCATCTGCCCATTTCTAAATGCAGCATAGACTACACTGCTGGCTGTGAGGCAACCCTTGGTTACCTGAATTTCAAAAGCAACAAGGAAAATGGTACTTAGATTTCAAAGGTGACTTTGTTGGGCAGTAGTTCTAAATAACACCCACGTTTGTTTTTTTAAAAAAGATATAACCTCTCAACAACCAAACAACTGATGAAACAAAGAAACTACTGGCTGCGAAAAAGACTACAAAAGCTTGATCTCCTCACATGGAGAGTTTCATTTTTATTCTATGAGAAAGAGGGAGGGGTTCATGGTGAGTTCCGGCAGCTCTTTATCTCGAAAAGTAGCATTGCTCTCAGGCATTATGCATTGTAGGGGTGGGGAAGAATTTGGCTTGGTCTACATTTTAATGTGAACCTACTTAATTCTCATTGAAACAATATGCAAACTTGAAACACAATGCTCCTTTGAAATGTGTAGTTCATCTAATTTGGGGATACAGATCTCCAGCCAAATAATGTGTACAAAAATGTGTATAATCTATATCCATAATCTATAGTGTGTCAGGATGTCTGTTAAGCCCACAAAAATAACAAAAATAGTGAGCAAACTTTAGAATTCTCCAGAACTCTTTGTTGGGCTGGGTGTAAAGCAAAGAAGACAGACAGGTTTTGGGTGGAGAAAAATTTCAGCTAAACGCTGAAGCCTTGGAAACTTATAAGAGCCTAACCTATTAAATCTACTAGTTGTACCATAATCCAGAGGTTTTCAATCTTTTTGACTCCATGGCTCCCTTGACCAACTACATTTGTTCTGTGGCACCCCAGTGGGGCTCAGGAGCCTAGTTGGGTCAGCCCTTGCCTGCAGAGCTGGCAGCCTCTCACCATTTTTCAAACACCCTCCCTTGTGGAGTGTTCCCTCAGCCTCCTCTTCTCTCCCCTCTCCTTGGGAGTCCTCTGGGCAGCCACAGCTGCTGCCCCTGGTCTCTGAGTTGCCCCTCTGCCCCAAAGAGAGGTGTCTCCTCACACTGCCCCACAGGGGCCTGGGAAGCACCCCCTGGCCAGGTCCAGAGGCACCATTCACCTGGGAAGCTTGTAGCCAAGGCTAATGCAACAAACAGCTGTGCAAGCCTTTGGGAGGCAGAGACGCAAGAGGGTATCGGAGAAGGGAGGGAAGGAAAGAGGGACAGAGACCAGTGTTGTCCGCTGCACCCCTGACCATCATTTAAGGCACCCCAGGGTGCCACGGCACACTGGTTGAAAACCACTGCATAATCCATGAGTTGGAGACCTTGTGACTTTAACCCCAAGTCAGCCTTCTTCTCATTAATCCATTTTGTTTCTGGTCAGCACAGCTACCTTTTGCTTACTGTGTGACAATAAAAAATTAACATCATTTGGTGAGATGAACACGCACGTTACATCACATTTTAAACTAATCAAAATCTGAAGGAAATGAACACCAAATCTTCAGTTCTCCTCAAAAGAAACACTTTTTGGAGTTACTTTCCCTTGATTTAGTTTTCAAATGTGCACAGTTATAATTCATAATTAAGCATGCTGCATTTTGATCATGCAAATGAAAGTAGGAAAGGAAAGCTGATTTTTCTGAGGGGAAAATGATCAGAGTAAACAGATGGCAAGCAAAAGAGAAAAGCATGATACAACTCGGTTTAATTAGCATTCAGCGTGACAGTGAGACTGGCTTAGCACTTGCTGCACTTGGCGCTGGGTTGGCAATCTAAACTGCAAAGCTACAGAAATATAACATACTTCTGTTTGATTAACAAGCATCTTATGGCATGATCCTCGGAGCTTCCTGTGAGGCAATAGAAGGGCGGGTGCTTACATAATCAACTATTCTGAGATAATAAATCCTGGACTCAGTTCAAAAATATTTGTTCACATATCCCAGAAGTGAATTACAGGGAGAAATGAGCTGAAACGTTGATGAAAGTCAGCATCTCATAGAAATGCCTCTTTCATAAAGTTTCATGGTGTGATTTATTTTTTTCTCTATGAAGAAATCCAAATGGGTGGAGTTTGCAAGTCCACTTTCAGACCACCTTCTTCCTACCAAGTTGAAAAAACAAGGTCCAGAGTGGTGTGCTGCATGTGTTGGGATCGTGACATGTTGGGTCTTCATGGCAACCATAAAGTGCTGAGCCACCCCACAGCCAGTCTCCTTGGCAGGGATGTTGAAGTTCCCCAAAATAAGCAGGCTGTGAGTCCTCAACACTGCGTCTGAAACCAGCTCTGTCAGCTCAGGTAAGGAGACTTCTAAACAGCAAGGCGGGTGGTAAACCAGCAGAATCCCTAATCTGTCCTGATTGACCAGCACACATTCTAACCCCCACCACCACCAACTGGGGGGCGGGGAGAGAGAATTTATGTAGACCACGGTAACTCCCCCTCCCGGGATGCGGGTGGCGCTGTGGGTTAAACCACAGAGCCTAGGACTTGCCGATCAGAAGGTCGGCGGTTCGAATCCCCACAACGGGGTGAGCTCCCATTGCTTAGTCCCAGCTCCTGCCAACCTAGCAGTTCGAAAGCATGTCAAAGTGCAAGTAGATAAATAGGTATCGCTCTGGCGGGAAGGTAAACTGTGTTTCCGTGCACTGCTCTGGTTTGCCAGAAGCGGCTTAGTCATACTGGCCACATGACTCGGAAGCTGTACGCCGGCTCCCTCGGCCAATAAAGCAAGATGAGTGCCGCAACCCCAGAGTCAGCCACAACTGGGCCTAATCGTCAAGGGTCCCTTTACCTTTACCTAACTCCCCCTCCCAGACCCTCAAGTCTGCCCTGATTCTGCACCATTGGGTGAGAAAAACTCCACCTTGCTCACCCACCCAGGTCTCAGTGATGCAGGTCAGATCAGCCTCCTTATCCACAATCTGATCATGGATGAGGGAGGTCTTGTTCAGAGGTGACCTGGCATTCAGCAGCAGCAGCATCTGCAGACCCAACAGCTGGCTGATAGGACAACAATTTCCCAAGCTGGAGGAGGAATGGGCACACGGCAGAGTCACTGTCAGTGCTGTGTACCCCTTACCCGGGCTGTCTCACCTTCCACACCATACCTCCTCCTTCCCTGAACCACTGCAACTGTCCCCTTCCTCTCCCTAGCTCCTCTCTTCCCAGGCACATCTCCCCTCCCTCAGAAAAATAATCCACACAAGTTAACCCCACAGTCCAAGATTCTGTTCAGCAGCTTCAGCTTTTGTAGCTGGAGTCAGTCAGGGCCCATCCCTCCTAGACCAGGGGGAAAAGGTCTGCCAGGCAAGAAGCAGGTCCTCCAGGACTCACAGCCAGGATTTCCCTGGTTTCATAGTTTCATGTTGCTTCCAGAGGACTTTAGTGAAAATTCATCAAGTTTTGTTTGCCCACAGTACCACTTACCTCTGGGTAAAATATGCAGAGGATTATGCTGCCAGGCTACAAATCTACATCCTAGTCTGGAAGTAAGTCCATTGAACACAGTGGGGATTACCTCTGAGCAGACATGTATAGAATTGCACTGGCAGGATTTTGAAGAAGGCCAGGCATGGTGTTGTGTTAAAAGGAGTCAGGAAGCATCTGAACTGAAGGATTATATCCTCCAACCTGCTGAGTTATTTTCAAGTACATGAGGATTGACAAAGCAAGTTGCCACTTTCTAAATTAATTTCAGGGCCATCAACCACTATTTCTCCTTGACTTGGCGAACTAAAACTTTTTAATTAACATCAACAGAAATTAGGCCAGTGTCGACAGTGAGCCTAATGCTGCCTGACATTTCCCACAGACTAAGGCTCAGCTTGAACATACAGCAGTGCGTCTTTTTAATCTTAATTAAGTAAACACAATCAAAAACAGCCTTTACATTCCATTTAGTTCACTGCAGAAAACATGTGTTTCTCTCAGCTAAACGTGGCATATACTGCCATGGCTTTTTATAGGCCGCAGGACTGATATGTCTGATGACTGAAAACGACCATGCACTTGGTAATACGTATTTCCAACATTTCATATGCTATGTATCATCAGAAAACACTCCCTCTGGATTGATTTTACAACCATTTTTACAGTAAAATAAAATACTATGTTGAAATGAGAAATACTTGCAAGCATTTACACAGAGGATCCTAGATTGGCTCTGAACATGTGCTAAGTACATTTCCCTCACTGCAGCTAGCCTTATTTTCTGTTTTAATGCTAAGATAACAAGGGGAAATGTCTGAGAGGCCAAGCATTTGTGCGTCTCTTGGTCCTGTCAAGGTGAGCAAAGTTATTTGTATATTTAGAGGTGACTTTGACCTAACATGAGTTAGTGTGATCTAGTGGATTTAGTGGACATAGAAGTAGACTTGGTCCTCAAAGACATAGGCTGACAGCCACATATTGGCCAGGTGTCTATATTCTGCATACACACCATACATTTAAAGGACATCTCTTCTTCCCTCCCCCACAAAGGGGGAGAGTACTCTAGTTTGCTTTGCACAGAGCTACAACTCCCAGCCCCCTGAGCAAATTCTGCTTCCAATAATTCTTCAGGTAGTGACTTAGATATATGGTGTGTACACAGTCCTACTTGGTAATTGGGGGACAGGTGAGTAACTGGCAAGCTAAGAGTGTTTGTTCTTCTCTAGGCAGATCACTCTCTCTGTGTATGTTGGTTTTAGTTTCTGTGGCTTTTAAACAGAGTAATTCAAATCTCTTGAAGGCCTTAACCAAAATTTAAATGAGTGCATTACATGGTTAATGGACTCTTAATATCTAATGAGCAGACTAAAAGCGAGATAGTTTACTGCTTATGTTTTCCCCCATCTGCCTACAAAGGCTGTGGAGTTTCATTAATTAACTATCCCTTTATGTTAGCAGCCGGATCAACTGCAAATCATCACCATACATTATTTGGAATAGTTGCCCCTGAGTAATCCAAACCATATCCTGAATGTAGTTTAAACAGGATGCTTTAGCCAAACGACATTATCAGCCTTAAGTATACCTCTAGTGCATTGTATGGGAGATGAAACTGAGCCTCTTAACTACTCCAGATTAGCACCCACATAGTGCCAACCATATTAGGAAAATGTGTTAGGAAAAATATCTACAGGCTCCAAATGACTTTGGAGTTATGAATAAAAGCTTCAAGGCAGGATGTGTTCCTGCTTTTCGATAAGTGCTAAAAATGCAAAAGACATTTGTCATGACTGCCAAACAAAACTGGCACAAAGCTTTTAAATCCTTAAATACAGTTAATTGTTCACAGGAAAACATAGGGAGCATGTCAAACAGCTTTGTTTTGTTTTCATATCAGGATAGAACCTCAGAGGAGGACAGAATTTAAGTACTTGCTTAGTGAATTTTAAAATATTTAGGCCATGTAATACACACTCGATGTGGAGAATGTTAATTCTACAGGCATAAATTAAACATAAACATTCCTAGCAATGGTCTAAAACACTATTGCATGCCACCCTAATCGCAGAGCGGTACAAAATTCCAGGGATTCCAAGCGCTCACCCAGGGTGTGTGTTTTATTTTGGAAATGAAGCACAGTGGAGACTGTGGTGTCTTTATGATATATGGTTTATTTATACATACATATATACACAACCTGAAGCCTACAATGGAGGGGCTCACAGCAATTAACAACCCAAAAGGTTTCTCCCATACCTGCAGCCTTGGATTCAAACAGACATCAAACATTGTGCTCTGCTTCTCTGGCTTTGCACTTGCTGCCTGCCTTCTCCATGGCATCACTCCTAACTCTGCTCTAAGCTTCTAGCTCACATTGCTTCTAACTCTCTACACTAATCTTTGGCTGGAGAACCTGGAGAAAGGATGGGGGTGGAGGAGAAGAGAGACATGAAGGATGAGTTGGCGAGTCCTGGCATCCAAGCCATGTGTGTGCCTGTTCACTGTTCTCTGAACTTGCCCAGCTGCTAGCATAACTCAAAGGATTAGAGACATGCATAGAACAAGAAAACAAACCCAGCAGCTATTGTGCAACAGAACAACAGGAGCTGAGTACAAAAGCCAATGCTGGCTGTTCCATATAATCTGATCTTCCATTGTAGAAGGCTGTAGAAATGAGCAAATGCCTACTTCAAAATACATCAGCACCTGTTCTGAAATACTTCTTTAAAGTAGATAATTTACTTCTGGCTTTCCCCCACCCCTATGTATATGCTTCCTCTTCTAAATATTTGTTTCATATTTAGCCAAGAAGATAGAAATTTGTTGGAACAAGAGTCCCCTTCAGCTTTTTAATTAAGGCTTCTCAAATATAAAGTCCCCTCACATATAAGTAGCTGCTGGCTGAGAGCTGTTTGTCAGTTTGGTTACAACTCTGCAGGGAGATCAGAGTGGCTGGGGCAACCCAGTCAGATGAGCGGGGCACAAATAAGAAATCGTCGTCGTCGTCGTCGTTGTCATCGTCATCATTCTTTAGATTCAACATTTAAGCTGAAAGTCTGGTGCAAGTCTTATTCTAGAAACACAGACCGATTTGCTTGCACGCTAATAATCTGCCGTAAATCAATACATTAGGCTTTGCAGGGTATATATATATATATATATATAATTTGTAATTAGCAGTGTCTTAAAAATATTTATAATGAAGCCATGAGCCTGAGTGGCAGAATGATAGTGACTGACTGAGGGGGGAAATAATTAAAAAGAAGCTGTGTTTCAGAACAAATTCTGTTCAATCAGTTGTTGTCTGTAGCTTCTTATTTTTATTGCAGGTGCTATGCACTCCATTGAAAACTTTTATGAAGACTGTAGTTTACTATAGTTATTGTTTAACTACATAGAGATCAAAGTAGGGGGTCTGTGGCTTGGATTTGAAAAATAGGGAGTCGTCAGTAATTAGCTAATTGGGAACCACTGTTCTGGTGCATTTTGACCATATATTACATGTTCTGGACCTTAATAGCTTGTTCACTTTAAAAATGGCTCCAGTTCTTTACAAATAGTCCATAATTGCATAGAATGTAGACTGAAAGTAGCTAACATGTTGCTATCCAAATGTTATTGGACTGCAACTCCCATTGTACCTTATCATTGTCCAGAATAACTAAGGCTGATGGGAGTTGGAGTTCAACAATATCTGAAGGACACTACATTGGCTACCCCTGGTGTCGACAATATTTTAACAGGGTGACATTCCAAACAGGGTGACATTCAAAACACCAGCACCAGCACCCTGAAGTCACTTAAATGCTATTGTCCTGCAATAGATAACTCACATAGGACTTCTTTTGGTCTGGTTTAGTTTGGACCACTAGCTTATCAAGTGCCCTTGAGAACTTTATAGTAAGCTAACCCCTTGCTGTGGTTGTCTGTGTTCATGCACTGCATTTCTCATTTCTGGCCATGTCACAACACATATTCAGAACATGAGTAGGGCAAAGCAACAGTTGAAGCAGTTCTGATAAAGCTGTTCTTCTGGGGTATGACATCTGTGTGAAACTAATTTACATTGTAAAGCAAAATAGTCTTTGATTTTTATACCTCACAGAAAGAAAGTCATTGTCTCGTTAATTTAACATGTCTCATTTCTTCTGAGACAAAGAACTAAAGCACTTGGCAATTCCCTAGTCACTAAAGGATAACATAATAATGTTATCTACCTTTGCAGCATTAATTCATGGTTTAAAGTTTAAATTGAAGACAAGGAAATTGTCTTGTTTCAGTCTTCAGTCTTGTTTTTCTTCTTGTTTTTCTTCTTTCAGTCTTGTTTCAGTCTTGTTTTTCAGTCTTGTTTTCAGTCTTGTTTTTCTTCTGAAAGAAACATTCTGTCATAACTGCCTGCCTCTAAGCTCTTGGTAATGTGAGTCATTTAAAACAAAAAAGCATTAATGCAGGAGGTGTTACATTATCTTAGTAATTTCTTTTATTTTCCTTTTATTTTCCAGCAAGTGTTAAAATATAAGCCAGGCTTACTTCTTGTGTTGAGGTGATAGCCTCGGTGATGGGCAGTTAAGATAAATGAAGCAAAGGGACTATATGAGAGATGGCAAGATGGGCTAGAGAAAAACTCAGAGCAATGTTTGAGAGCAAAGTTTGATTTCTGTTTGAATCCAAGGCTGTGGCTATGGGAGATCAATACCTTTTTGGGGTGTTGATGCTACAAACACATCCATCGTAGGCTCAGGTTATATATGGGTGTAAATAAACCATATATCATGAAGACACCACATTCTCCTCTGTGCCTTGTTCCCAAAAGAAATATGAACCTCGGGTGAGCACATGGAACCCCTGAAATCTCATATTGCTCAGAGATTGGGGTAGCATGGGGTAACAATAAAAAACTCTACCTCCAGTCAATACAATGAATTACCTTATCAACCTGTTTTCCTGATCCTGTGGATAAGTATGCAGAAGTGGAAACAGCCACCTTTTCTGAGCCAAAATAAGCTCTTTCAAAAGTCCAGTACCTTCGTTAAAAAGAAATGTGTGATGCTGTGATTGTGCTACCTGGAATGGCATCCTACCTGGCCCAATGCCCTCATGGGATGTCTGCTGCTGGTGGATATTTCCAACAGAGTGACTCTGTGCCACCCTGTAGTGCCAGTGTGACTGGCTGCACACTGACGCGAGGGCAGACATGTTAATGTTGCATGATTCTTGTGGTGGTTGTGCTCCCAGGATGAGCACTTAAACAGAGTGGATCTTGGGGCCAGTTTTTATCTGCAGTTTCCAATGTACTTTTATAGCTGCCTAAGAAAGAATGACTGATTGTGATAGGGTGTCACTTTTATGAAGTGCATATCAGTAAAAAGAGAACAGGAAGAAACCGATCACCAGAGAAGTGCTGAAATATTTCCATTCTTAGAAGACTTGTGCACTTAACTGAGCTATGTTGATGATCGGACAAGATTTTTACACAAAGGCATGTGAACTAGTGATGTCTTGTTTCACTGGCAAAAGCGGTAGGATTCTGTTCTTTGTACTATTAAACTAGCTGAAGTCAGGATAAGAAATTAGGAGATCTGAAATTTCAATAAATCTGAACAATTATTCATTAAACTTCATAGGGATTTTGTTTTTATTTGATTTCTGGTATGCATAACTGTCATAGACACAGGAAGCTGCATAACAGCAAATCTGACCATTGGTCCATCTAGCACAATATTGTCTACACTGACTGGCAGCAGTTCACCAGGGTTTCAGACAGAAGTCTTTCCTGCCCTATGTGGAACTGGAAACACTGGAAGCTGAACTTAGGACCTTCTACATGTAAAGTTTGTGCTTTACAACTGAGCTGCAGCCCTTTCTGTCATATTTAACATGCATATTTTCCATCACCAATAGGTCTAGAAACTTTGTTTTAAAGAAAGGTGGCATCCTCAGAATTCTTACAGAACCAGTGATCTTAACCCCACCTTCTTTTTTGCTCCATGACTCTGGTTTGGCTGGAAATACCCTACAACCTAAGTCCAGATAATTATTTATCTATCTATCTATCTATCTATCTATCTACTACTTTTTTCTTCCAAGGAACCTATGGTGGATGATATATGTGGTTCTCCTGCTGCCCTTTTCTTCCTTACAACAACCCTAAAACAAAAATACCAGCAGTAATTTGATACTCTGGTAAAGTGATGAGTGATGACTCTACATTGCTTTTTTTTTGCAGTGATTACAATAATTTTCAGATTAACTCATTGTTATGGACAGTTACGATTATGCTAGTTGCTTTAAAACAAACAAGCCCTCTGAAATTTGGCATTTCAGTGGTTTATTTTTACTTTAAGATGAACCACCAGGCACTGGCAGGAAGAGTAAACAAAGTAATTTATTTATAGCTATCAAAAAAACAAATTTATTTATAGCTATCAAAGATATTGTTGGTGGTGATATTTTACAGAACAGAAAAATCCAAAAGCACTCTGGTACATACATTCCTTGGAAGCATTTGCCAACTTGCCTTTCTCATTCAGAAGTGCAATGGTACTCCCTAGTGGAAGACCTCAGGAACTACTATTTCTCATTCATTAGTTAAGAAACAGTTGGAAATACACTATGCAAACTTTTTGCTTCCAAGAACATGGGAGATTATCATTGGAGAATGACACAAGTTGGATCTGGACCACAAATAATTTACACAGATAGGTGTGCAAGACAGTAAAAGAGGGCTAGTACATTTTAGGAAATTGCTTGAAAGATGGAGTGCTCTCTATCAATGCCACTTGTGCTAGCAAAGCTGTAGATCTGAGAAACTGGGTGCTTCTCTATTTTCAAAAGGAAAACAATCATTGCTTTGCTGTTCCTGTACACTTTGATGCCACCTGAGATCTTCTACACTTGGCACAAAGGAACATAATTGCTCTGTAAAGAGCTTCCTGGATCACCATCTTAAGCCTGGGCACATTACAGACATGTCTCTACCATTCCCTTTACAAACAGCACCTTTAATATTCTCTTTCCCAATTGTCGCTCCACTGACTCACACCATCTTTTTCTTTAGCACCCAGCCTGAGAAAGTTCTGTGAAACATGAAAGTTACACCGTTGTTTTGTGACATTCACTTGGCCCTCCTCATTAAGGCATCACTATACTTTCTCCTGTTTCCATTCCTTTCCTCACAGACCAACATGGCTGTCTGCATTTTTAATCTATGAAGCATAGCTGATGACACAAAGTGTTATCATGGAAACCCATGATCAATTAACTGGGATAAACTAGTCAACCCCTATGCAGAAGCTCATGTGTAAAATCAAAAGGGAGAGCTAAATTATTTGTTCCCAGCCCCAAATCATGAAGAGCTTGAACAGGGGAGCATCCTGTACTTATGAAGGTTTCTCCCATGATTCAAGACCCCCTTTTATTCAGGGTTCTGAAGCTCTCTGAACCCTGATCCCTCTTATACAGGACGCCTCCACAGATACACAAGTTTCCTCACAGCAGCTGAAAATTCCTGAAGGGAACAGAGGAGTGGATCTGGGTGATAGAGCTAAACCATACAGGCCTGTTCTACCTGTATTTCTCTTCAGGCCATAGCACCTGACGGAACCTTAAACCATGCAGGGAGAACTTGTGGGTATAGAAGGCTCCCAGCAATGCTTCTCCTCTTCTCACATCCTAACCTTGGTTATTCCAACAGCCTCTCTCTTCTAAGAATATCTCAGGCCTGCAGATTATATATCTGCAGTTCTATCTACTAAAGACCCGCTGCATCTCCAGTTCCCATTATCATAGATACATAGAATTATAGAAAGGTAGAGTTTGAAGGGGCACCAAGGGTCATCTAGTCCAACCCCCTGGAATGCAGATATCTCAGCATGCGGTCCATCCAATTTGAAATCATACTTAGCTTTGCAAATGTGCTAGCAGTTTTATTGCTGCGCGAATCTTACTGTTTTTACATTCTTAATCAAAGTTAGCAGGAAATCCTTATCAGTTTTTATCACATTTCAAAAACTAATGTAGAAACAACTTAATTCATCTGCATTTTATGCTGGTCATAAATGGATTTCATTGTTGCCTGTCTGCAGTGAAGTGTTGTTAAAAGTCAGTGTAGAGGTTAACTTTTGCATTTTAAAAGGTAAAAGAATAGTGGACCAGGATTTATTTTTTTTTGAGAAGGAAAAGTATATTGCATGTTTTCCCTAAATTAACATTGTGGTTATTCGGCAACATTTAGAAACATCCTGCAACACAGACGTCACAGGAAGCACAAGAACCACCATGCTGGATCAAGACCAAGTGGGAATTATAGGAATTTGCTTTATATTGAGTCAGACCATTGACTCACCTTGATTGAATCTGCAACCTTCTGTATGCAAAGCAGATTTCTCCCACTGAGTCACAGTGCCCCCCATACCAATAATCTGTATCACCTGGACATCAGGATATTGCCTAGCTTTCAGGAGATCATAATTATATCTATCCATTCTTCCATTCTTGGGCAAGGTGACTGAGTGAGTGGTTGCTGAACAACTCCAAGCACGCCTGGAAGAAGCGGACCATTTGGATCCCTTCCAGTCGGGATTCAGGCCTCATCATGGGACTGAAACTGCCTTGGTCGCGCTGGTTGATTATCTCCGGCGGGCTAGGGACAAAGGTGAGAGCTGTTTCCTAGTTCTGCTGGATCTCTCAGCTGCTTTTTACACCATCGACCATAACATCCTTCTGGACCGTCTAGAGGGGCTGGGAGCTGGGGGCACTGTTATACAGTGGTTCCGCTCCTTCCTCCTGGGCCGTGTTCAGAAAGTGGTGGTGGGGGATGAGTGTTCAGACCCCTGGGCTCTCACTTGTGGGGTGCCTCAGGGTTCTGTCCTCTCCCCCATGCTCTTCAACATCTACATGCAGCTGCTGGGAGAGATCACCAGGGGGTTTGGGCTGGGTGTTCATCAGTATGCGGATGAGCTCTACCTCTCTTACAAATCAGAACCAGTGAAGGCGGTGAAGGTCCTGTGTGAGTGTCTGGAGGCGGTTGGAGGATGGATGGCGGCTGACAGATTGAGGTTGAATCCTGACAAGACAGAAGTACTGTTTTGGGGGGGACAGGAGGCACGCGGGTGTGGAGGACTCCCTGGTCCTGAATGGGGTAGCTGTGCCCCTGAAGGACCAGGTGCACAGCCTGGGAGTCATTCTGGACTCACTGCTGTCCATGGAGGCGCATATCAATTCTTTGTCCAGGGCAGCTGTTTATCAGCTCCATCTGGTACGCAGGCCGAGACCCTACCTGCCCGCAGACTGTCTCGCCAGAATGGTGCATGCTCTAGTTATCTCTCGCTTGGACTACTGCAATGCGCTCTACGTGGGGCTACCTTTGAAGGTGACCTGGAAACTAAAACTAATCCAGAATGCGGCAGCTAGACTGGTGACTGGGAGCAGCCGCTGAGACCATATAACACCGGTCTTGAAAGACCTACACTGGCTCCCAGTACGTTTCCGAGCACAATTCAAAGTGTTGGTGCTGACCTTTAAAGCCTTAAACAGCCTTGGTCCAGTATACCTGAAGGAGCATCTCCACCCCCATCGGTCTGCCCGGACACTGAGGTCCAGCACTGAGGGCCTTCTGGTGGTTCCCTCACTGCAAGAAGCCAAGTTCCAGGGAACCAGGCAGAGGGCCTTCTCGGTAGTGGCACCTGCCCTGTGGAACACCCTCCCACCAGATGTCAAAGAGAAAATTAACTACCAAACTTTTAGAAGACATCTGAAGGCAGCCATGTTTAGGGAAGCTTTTAATGTTTAATAGGTTATTGTATTTTAGTGTTTTGTTGGAAGCCGCCCAGAGTGGCTGAGGAAACCCAGCCAGATAGGCGGGGTATAAATAAGAATTATTATTATTATTATTATTATTATTTTATTATATCCCAGCCACTACTTATCTTTCATGTGTGTGAAGAAACTTTGTATTTCCCCATCAGTTTTCACGTGATAACAGAATTGTTTTTCATATAATGCATTTTTTAAAATCACCAAAGATTTTTTAAAATAACAGGTAGTAATGTATTGTGTACACGATTTCAAGCATATTTTATTATTTCTAGTGGCCTCAGAAGGTGATACTAATGTATCTTGCCAAACATGACCTCATTCCTTCTGAGGAGCTTGGAGTCTTAATTCCACCTGTCATTTTTCATATTCCTATAGCCACTCTTTGCAAAGCTTGCATCACCTTGGAGAAACAATGCTATTACACACACCCTCACACCAAACACAAACACACACACACACACACACACACACACACCTCTTAAACATATCTATTTCCTTGTACTAGCTCTCTGCAATGTTTATGATGTATATGCTTTAAAGGTGCTCGTTTTTAATTTATATCTTGATCAGTGTTATGTCTACTTGCTTTTAAAGTTTGTTTGTATATGAATATTTTGTGTGGTTTTATGTAAACCATTCATAGGGCAATCCATACTCAAGATCCACCAGGGTGAGAGTTTGGACTGGATGGATCTTGGGCTTTCCCAGCTGAGACTGGGTTCAGCAGGTATCAGGTCCTTCACCTTGGCTGAGCCAAAGATATGCAGTATAAAACACCCCTACTCACTGGGGGCTCAGAAAGGTTTATGCCAGTGCAAGTCCCTCCACTCCAAGTGACAGAACAAGGAGAGGCTTGCACCTATTCCAAACCCCTTTCAACTCACGTTATGTGACCTAGGAACCTAGTGGAGCTTAAATGGCAAAAGGAGTAGTATAAAACAAATTCCTCCTAAACTGGGTTTGACATAAGGGTACAGTCGTACCTTGGTTTTTGAACAGCTTAGTTCATGAACAACTTGGAACTCGAACGTCACAAACCCAGAAGTAGGTGTTCTGGTTTGCAAACTTTGCCTCAGAAGCTGAACTTCCAAAGTGGTTTCCATGGCTTCTGATTGGCTGCAGCCAATAGAAAGCCGCACCTTGGTTTCCGAACGTTTTGGAAGTCAAACGGACTTCCAGAATGCATTCTGTTTGAAAACAAAAGTACGACTGTAATTTAAGATGGCGTTGTCTCTCTGTAGTTAGGATTGCTCTGTTATCGGTTTGTGTTGGTTAAGAGGTACATAAATCTTGTTAAATAAGTACTAAAGAATCCTCTTTAGTAGCTCCTTGTTCAGCACCATAAATATAAGGAGAGAGCAAAATTCTGTTTCTGTAACCTTTGTTGGGAGTGGTGGGGTGGGGGGAATAAGTCAACATGTCTTCTGTTTAAGGATAGGAAAAGCAGGGGTGGAATCTTTGCTTACTACTGATGCTTCATTCCCCTTGCTCTCTGCCATAGAATTTCATATGAGTGAACACACAGTCTGTCACTTACTAGGAAATCTGCCACCCTAGTTTTCATTACAATGCGACAGCCTGTTCTTCACTTGCAGGGTCTTTGCAAAATTAGTTTGGTTGTGAATTGGCTGCCAGATTAAACTGCTGTCTTGGTGGGTGTCTAATCCAAAGCAATCCGCTTTTCAGATCAACGTCTCACCTCTCATCTAATTTGCATAGCAAAGTGGTTCAAAAGTAGTGCCACACTCTGCTCAGAAACTTCATTTTGACCTCCTCCCACTCACAATCTTCCCTTTCCACCTGTTTCAAGTACGGAATTCATCATAAAGTTTAAATCAGTCTTTCCAGGGACTACAGTGCATATCTGGACCATTTCTGATATGACAAGTTCATGTTTGCTTCAGCATCTGATTAAAAAGGTAAAGGTAAAGGACCCCTGACAGTTAAGTCTAGTCGCAGACAACTCTAGGGTTGCAGTGCTCATCTCACTTTACAGGCCAAGGGAGCCGCAGTTTTTCCGGGTCATGTGGCCAGCATGACTAAGCCACTTCTGGCAAAATCAGAGCAGTGCATGGGAACACCGTTTACCTTCCCGCTGGAGCGGTACCTATTTATCTACTTGCATTTTGGCGTGCTTCGGAACTGCTAGGTTGGCAGGAGCTGGGACCAAGCAATGGGAGCTCACCCCGTTGCGGGGATTCAAACCGCCGACCTTCTGATCGGCAAGCGCAAGAGGCTCGGTGGTTTAGACCACAGCGCCACCTGCATCAGCATCTAATTAGAGGCCTGCAAAGCATCTTCTTACCTTCCAAGTTATTTTGCTACATCATTTAATCCGACTTAGTTCCCCCTTAAGCAGAATACGAATAATTTTCCCTTTTAAATATACAAGGTGTGCATAATTTCTTTAATTAATTCAATAGCTGTTTTGAAATAAATAAAACAACATAAGGGGGATAGATCAATGTGTATCTCTGCCTCCCAATGATTAGAATGAGGCTCACAACAAGAGACATTCAGCCTAACCATCTACAATTTGCTGCTACAGGCAGCTGAACTAAATGCTGATTCAGTTTATTGAAATGAATGGAACTGGATTAGGCTTGTTTGTCTGCGTACACAAAGACACAAACACAGTAACCCACCATATAACCATTAAGCATGGCCACAGTGTCATTTTACTGAATTCTGACTGTGATAGATGAATTCAGAAAGTTACCACAGCATTGAAGAGGTTTTCCACAAGGCTTCAGAGGCCAGTTTCAAGGAAAAGAAAAACATTGGATTCCCATAGGGAGAGTGCTTTTGATTTCCATTCTACACCACATCATGACAACTGAGACACTGCGTACCTTTGTGCATGGATCTCTTTGTTGTTGCTGCAGCAGCTCAGTTCCACTTAGCTCAGACAAGCAGGAAAAATAATTCTGTTCACCTCAGTAGAGACACAGGCACATTTTTATTATTCGCCTCTTTGCCCCCCCCCCTTTATCAACAGACTTGCGGAAACATTAACGAACATTTAATTGTAATCCTAAATTACAAGCCTGCATTACTTAGCATTTGGCCTAATTTAATAAAAGGTTTTCTTCTAAATACCCATTGTAGCAGCTAGGAAATAAACGAAGGGTATGAGAAAAATACAGGGAATTAGGTTCTTCTTGGTTTTGATTGGTATCTAGTTGCTCTAAGCACTCATTTTATCTCATTACATTATTGGCTAAATACTATTAATGAGGTGATTATCCTGTATATCAGCACAGATCCCAGGGTATTAGCCATATGACACGCATTTGAGATTAATTAGGTTGTTCCAACTCAATATTTGGAATTCTATCTTTATACTTCTTAGTGAATTTGATAAGATGAATTATGTATGCTCTGCCACCTTGTTATACATTTGTTATCAGCTGTCAGTCTTCTTTGAGCCTGCCACCCCCTTCAGACACTAGTTCATGTCGTGGACTATTCACTAACATTATAACTACTTGGGCTTGGGGTATTTTTTATTCTTCTTCTTATAATAATTCCATGTCTCAGTTACCCTGAATAGACACTTAGGAAAGAATACTAGAACTCAGAAATTCACTTCACATAATGTTAAGCTACTTCTAACTGAAGAGCAAGTCAAAATGACAACCTAGACACACCCCAGTCAATTATCCAAAATCCCCAGCGTCCCCCCATGTCTTGTTTGAGTTGTTCTCAACACTTTCCATGCATGCAGATTACATTTCATGAGACAAACTCTTTAAATATTTACTTGTCAGCTCAGCCTAAAAGCAAAGGACGCTACAAAAGTTCAGACAAATGAACCATATTCTGAATATCCCCATTTCATGACCTCTGAAAACAGCCAGAAAAGTCATTTGCACACAAATGTAAACCTTAGCCATAGGCTGTGCTGAAAACAAATTGGATATGAGAGGCAAACTGTGATTTCTTTGGGTTAACACCATTTGCTAATATTTAAGAATGTAAAAGTATGCCAATGATCTAGCTAGCTAAATATTCCATGTGACAGTTAGCAAATGCCGCAGAGTGGCAAGCAGAGTGTGGGAGAAATCTCTCCTTTGGTTATTCCTCAGCATCTGACAATCAAAACAGCAGGTCAAAGGATCCAAGGGAGGGGGCACATTTATTACATTTTTATCCTAAGAGCTCAGCACAGCACCCCTGCTTGTCGCGAGGCAGCTAGGCTGAAAGACAGCAAGCAGACCAAGGTCACCTAGCTTCTTGGCCATGTGGGGATTGGAACTTGGATTTCCCTGATTCTTTTCCAAATATCTAATTACTGTACTGGATGGGCCTTTAACCACACCTTTTCATCCAGCTTATGCATTTTTGCCAAGCGTGTACAGTCCCCTCCTTTCTACTGTGGACTTATATTTACTGGAGAGCCACATGTTTTGGAAGAAGCATATGCTTCTCCAAGTTGAAAAAGGAGGTTTAGATAGAGGTGCTGCTGGGGGAAAAAGAAGACGAGGAAATAGCTCCTTTGCAAAAGCAGCAATTTCCTTTAGCAGATAGCCTTCAAGCAGCTTCCACCTCAAAGCCTCATACTACTGTTAGAAATAGTTATAAACTTAAAACACATTTGGGGAGGAAGCTGGAGTCAGCTGATGTGAAGTAAAAAGAGTTAGTTCATGATACATGTATGATGGGTCATGAACACACTGTGTCTTGGTATGTAGGCTTTTAGTGTGGTGTTGTTTAGGGTGGCGCTGTGGTCTAAACCACTGAGCCTCTTGGGCTTGCCAATCAGAAGGTCGGTGGTTCAAATCCCTGTGACAGGGTGAGCTCCCGTTGTTCTGTTCCAGCTCCTGCCAACCTAGCAGTTTGAAAGCATGCCAGTGTAAGTAGATAAATAGGTACTGCTGCGGCAGGAAGGTAAACGGCGTTTGTATGTGCTCTGGTTTCCATCATGGTGTTCCCTTGTGCCAGAAGCAGTTTAGTCATGGTGGCCACATGACCCGGAATGCTGTGAGCAGACAAACACTGGCTCCCTCAGCCTGGGAGCGAGATGAGCGCCGTAACCCCATAGTCACCTTTGACTGGACTTAACCGTCCAGGGGTCCTGTCCTTTCCTTTACCTTCTTTTTTACCTCTTAATTAGCCACCCTTCCCTGTGATGGGGTGAGCTCCCATTGCTCGGTCCCTGCTCCTGCCAACCTAGCAGTTCGAAAGCACGTCAAAGTGCAAGTAGATAAATAGGTACTGCTCCGGTGGGAAGGTAAACAGCGTTTCCGTGCGCTGCTCTGGTTTGCCAGAAGTGGCTTTGTCATGCTGGCCACATGACCTGGAAGCTGTAAGCCAGCTCCTTTGGCCAGTAAAGCGAGATGAGCGCCGCAACCCCAGAGTCGTCTGCAACTGGACCTAACGGTCAAGGGTCCCTTTACCTTCTTTTTTACCTCTTAATTAGCCACCCTTCACCATAAGGTCCCAGGGTGTGAACAGTTAATTGCAATTTCAGCACCATTATCTGTGATCCAAATTGCTCCATGTTTTAGGTCTCTGAGTGATCTTTGTTGTAATTCTCCGCATTAACCATTTATTTTGACTTCTTTAGTTTTCACATTCCCCCCATCCTCTCCAGACTACAACAGCCACCCACAATTCTCTTGAGTCTGAGCTGTTCAATTACCTCCAAGAGATCTGTTTCCAAACAAGAGGTTTAAGGATTGCAGACTTCCTGAATAAGCACATTTTCTGTGGGTGAGTCAGCCAGCCCACAGAAAGAGATAATCCCTGGTAATAAACTACTGCTTTCTGCCTGAAAGAGCAACACACACCGTTTGCAGGAAGAAAGAGCAACTACCAGTTGTTGTTTTTAACAGAATGAAAGAATGTTGTCTTAGCTGACCTGCTGGTGTAGCAATCTATTTCAGGAAATCTGAGATTGAGCAATAAAAGCAATTATCCCAAAATAATTTTTAAACTACGAGTGTCATTTTCAATCCTTTGTACATGGCATCAAATATTCAATTATACTTTCCATAATATAACATTCGATCAAAATCTCCTGCTTCTTCAGCAAGTCATACAAAACTTTATTTTTTTTTAGAAGCTGCCTAAAGCCTCCTTGGGAAACTAATTTCATCCCTCAAAATTCAGGAGGTATTGATCACCACAGTGGATGTATTTATTCTGATATTTTCATATTGTTCTGACTTCTCTGTTGCTTTTACACAATCATAAAATCAGCCCACAGTGCACTCAAGTTTAGTGACCCATGTTAGCTTTGTAATATTTGAGAGGGCCCTAACACCCCAGCTGAAATATTCTTACTGATATTCCTTTCTGCAAAACCCAGATCTAACAGCATTTAGTGATGCTTTGCTGACGGCACATCATCATAAACCATTCCAAGCACCTACATGTTATAGTAGAAATGTTAGGGTCAAATCATGTGCTATGTCAAACTACCTCTTTATTTGTTATTCAGAATGAACATTGTGGCCAGCAAGGCACTTTTTGTTCCACACAGCAGGCTTCACATACCAAGAACTTCTTGTTTATTTCTAACCTCTTCCCAACACAGAGCTTCAAGGGAAGTATTGCACAGGTTGCCAATCTTCCTCCTCCCTTCATTAATCACCTGGATTTAAATTAAACGTGAATCAACCTAACAACGTTGCAAACTGGCAACACCTCAATGTCCCTACTGGTACTGAAGGATGGGAGAGAATGGTGAGGTACCTTATGAACTTAAATAGAAGCATCTCCCCAGCATTCGATGGAAAGGTCATGCTAAAATTAGTTTATATCGGCTCAGGGTCTGGAATATTACTACTACAGTAAAATAAAATGAGCAAAAAAATGCTTGAAATCTCAGTATGATGGAAGATACAAGTGTTGAAGAGGCACTGAAAAGGAGTTCATTTTCAGTTTCCTACAACATCTTTCAAGTTCCAAGGTCTAGTAGCAGATAACATCACATTGCTATGTGAACTATAGAAAATGTGTACAGTGGCATCCAAATTGCTAAAAGCGTAATCTGAGACTCCATATGAAGCTGCCTTCTATCGATTTGGACACTGGTCCGTACAAGACGATGACTGGCAGTCATTTTCCAGGGCTTCAGACAGGAATCTCAGGCAGCCCTACCTGGGGCTACCAAGGAATGAACCCAAGACCTTCTACATACAAGCCAGAGATACTCTACCACTGAGATGTGGTCGGTCCTTCAGTTTGTTATTATTTACAGAAGCTATTTAAAAGAACAGAATTTGTTTATTTTAATCTTATTTTATTTATTTTAATTTTTAATAAAAAATGTTTCTAGCCCGCCTTTCTTCACACAGTGAAACTAGGGCAAGGTACAAGAAATTAAAGCGAAAAAAATATCAATTACAAATCATCAAACAAACAATAAAACAGAAACAGATAAAAAATTATGGCAAAGTCAGTAGTACCAGTAAACCAGTATCAGAATCTGACCAAGTCATTAACATCCCACAAAAAGGTCTGTTGGGATAAATTAATTTTAGATTTCATTATTTATTAATTAAATGTATCTGCCACTTTTTAACCAAAAAATAAATAAATAAAAAAGTTTAAAGGCAATTGAGATAAGACTGAACCAGCAGAGGTCTTGTTTCCATCTCAATCTGAGCTTTAGCCCCTAAAAGCTAACAAGGCCAACATCTAGCACATAATGCTAATTTAAGTGCTGTTAAGTGCTAAGAAGCAGAAGCTTAATCCAGGCAAGACAGAAACTATAGTAGTGGGTCAGTGTAGGGATAGAGAGTCAACAGATCTACCCATCTAGATGAATGTGCAAGGTACAAGGTGTGGTGGAAACATCTTTCAGGAACAAATTCCCTCATGGATAAACTTCTGGGACTGCATGCCAATGGTACTAAAATGGGCAGGGCTACCATCTCTCTCTCTCCTCTATTCCCCCCCACACCAATTCACACACATCCACACATCATGTGACTCCGTTCCCCTCCATTCATATTCTCTTATACACACAAAGTATTGAAAACTGTATGAGTCTTGCCAGAGGGCGGTGCGATCTTTATGGAGGAAGGAGGGAAGGACTAAGCCAGGGGTAGGCAACCTAAGGCCCATGGGCCCCAAGTGGCCCACGGGGGTCGTTTAACTGGCCCCCGAACCGAGTTGCCCGCTCGGCGAGTCCCCACGCGCTGTGCTAAAGCAGCACAGTGCAGTGCAGGGACTCGCTTCCACAGTGCCGGAAATTGCATCTGTGCAGACGCAGATGCCAGAAATTGCGGCCTCACACACAATGGAGCCTATGGAGGGATCTCCACTGGAGTGAACTGGCCCAGGTGAGATAAACCTTGCCGACCCCTGGACTAAGCCTTGCCTTTATAGCTGTAACCCTCCTAAATAGCCCTCTGGGAGGGCGTTAGGCTTGGGAAAAATGCTTCTCAGTGGAAGTAAATGGGTGGCTTTTATATGTCTTGTAAGCCAGCTGTTCTCCACTCCAGCCTATTCTTCCTGCATCACAATATCAGCCAATACAGAATTCTGTGGACTCCCCCTCCTGAGAAGGAAAGTTGGTGGTGAACATATTATTCAATTGCACTGGCTTCTTATTTGTTTCAAGACCCAAATCGAAGTGCTAGTAATGACAATATCTAAGAAGCAGTCAGCAGGTTCACTGCAAAAAAAATCTTAAGAGCACAACACTTAAAATTACTGAACCACCATGCAAATCATAGAAATCAATGGCGATTACAATTCCCAACTTCAATGGATAAACATCTGCTGTACATGTAAGGTATCATCGTACAAAATTTTATTAAGTGTTACAATGCACAAGTATTTTAAAAAAAGGTGTATTTGTGTTTAAAAAATCAGAAGATTAAAAAAGACAGCACCAAAATATACAGTATGGAAGGCACATGTTGCCTCAAACATACTAATTCATTGCTAAGTGTAATTTCATACAAATCTAAGCAAACAGATTGAATTGATTAACCACAAAAAATATGAGCTACATTGTTATCTGGGTTGATCTTTTGAATTTGCACGCAGATCCAGTGTTAACCTTCATATTTTCCCACATATTCATGTCTAGCACTATTACAATGGAAGAAATCTTTAAAGCAAAACATGTTGTAAACATTCAGCAGGCAAAATGCTACCTGCAATGTAAATTTAGTCTACATTACCATCTTGTCTGTAGATTCTAAAAGTTATGACAAAATACAGAGTACTTCATTTGTTCCGTAACTTGAAATTCATGACAAACAAGTTGTTTCTTCAAGTTTATACCACTGTTATGTCACCCATCCTGCTTGCGTGGCCATACTATAAATAGAGAAAATATTATCAATCAATACAGAGCTCTAGTATATTCAAGTATAAATAATCAATTTGAACTGGAATATAAAAAAATTAATCCAGACACCCTTGAGCTGTAAAACTGTCGTGGCTGGATAACTGCAAGTCTAATTCAAATTGTAAAGTCAATGAAATTAAAATTGTGTAAATGCTCTAGGATCCAAATTTTCCCCTCCAATAAAACCAGTTCTACTTATTCAAAAAGAATCAAGCTAAGTGGTTTAGGATTCTTTCTGTTGTATGTTTGTTTTATATGGAGTACCTCAAACCTAGTTCACAAACACAAGTGCTACTACTCTTTCCATCCCAGATTAGGAATATGTTATACATGAATTTTCTTTTTTACATATAATCAAATCATTCTGAACAAGATGGTGCACATTACAAAAGTAAGAAACACTGCAGAATCGCTTGTACTTCTGACTCCCAATTCTAAAGACTGAAGGAGCAGGTGGGAAGCAAGATGTAGAACTCAAGGTTACGAGTATGAGGCAGAATTCAAAAACACAAAACAATTGACATTTTTGACCCCCTACTTTTAATTTGTGTAGGTATCTTAGTTTAAACCTTTCCTTCTCCGACTGCTGCATCTCCCTCCCAAATTTTCACTCCAAATTCTTATCAAGTTCTGCAAGCTGATGTTCCATTTACATTATTCACATAACTGTGTCCAAGGCTGTTGCCTTCTTTTAATTCTTATTCATTCTGCTTTCATCTCTAGGTCTAAGTCTGTTATCATTTTAATGATCATTCTTTTTCCCTTTTTTTTTTAAAAAAACAAACTGTTTTAGAGGGGGGAAACCCAGAGGAGTCAGTGTTATAAGCTTCAGACAGTCTTTTATTAAGCCTTAAAACCTTCTGAATTTGCCACAATGGTCTGGATCTAAGATTCCACTTGTGGGAGGGATGCATCCAGCTTAGCTAAAGAACAGAAGAATGACTATCCAGAAGATATTTTTCTGATTATGCAAGCACTTGCCGAACCATTTGCACAAAATCATTTCCTATTTCCCCCTAAATTCAGTACTTTTAACATTTTATTTGTATCTCACACCTTCAACACTGCAGTGCTCTCAAGAGTAGTCTACAGCTTAAATCCCTTGCATATATGCAAAGTGAGTCCTAAACCCTCCTTGTGTATATTTACCAACTGACTTAGGATTTAAAAAATAGATATGTACTGTATTGACTCAAATGTAAGGCGCACCTTTTTGGACCAAATTACGTCACAAAGATTAGGGTGTGCATTAGATTTGATGGCGCCAGAGAATACTTCTTTGGTTTCAATTTTTTTTTTTTTAAATTGAGGCGCGCATTACATTCACTGGCGCATTAGAATTGTATAAATATGGTAGTTAATGAGAGCCCACTAACATAAAACTAACTTGCGTGCTACAATGTCCCAGGTTTCAGTATGGGCAGGAACTCATTGACCTAAGGGTGAGCAGAATTTAGGCTTGTGGGATCTAGTGGGGGGGTTTTCTTCTGTAACACCCAAATTCCTCAACCAGAGCCAGGTGCAAAACAGTGGTAATGGGAAAAACATAGATGATAAATATTTCAGAAATAGATGCCAGTTAAGGGAAAAGGAATTTTTTACTTCGTACAGGAACTACATAGCATAAGAAACAATGGATATGCAGAAATAGCCACAAATCTTTCTTTATTCCATTTATGAACTGCTTGCCATAAAGCATTTAAAAGCAATTTTAAAAGAAAAACATCTACAATAAAAAGATGTATTTTTAAAAGTTCAAGTACAATACAGATAGTCATTTAAAATACTGGCTGGAAAAGGAAGGCCTTCAGCAGGAATTAAAAAATATAAGAGGGAACCTCTGTCTGATACATAACAGACTTTTAAAGGATATTAATGTTGCAGGTATTCATTAGAAGTACTGGAAGCCAATAAAGCAGAATGCCCTGGTTAGCTCAATTTAGGTCTACTAACAGACTACCTGTCACAAGGAATCTTAAACCAAGGGATTTTCTCAGCCAACAAAAGTACCTCTTTCCTTTATAAGCACATCATCACTGGAAACAAGGGAGAATTGATGTCTCAACTTTTTGTATGATTTGGCATGATCAGGGTGTACTATTTCTGCTCTAGAGAAGTGTTCTTTCCTGCTTCCAGAGTCTTCTCATCTGATGCATTAAGACCTGTCCCAGGAATTTATATCTCCCTAGAAGGGCAGTGAACCAAAAAAGATTTTTTCCAAGTGCCTTAGATAAGTTTGGTCTTTGATGAACTGACATGTCAGCTTCGCTATAAAAGGAATTTAACTTTGGACTTTATAGCTATTGGTATATCAGGAAAGCTTATATTAACACAGCGAGAACAACAGATCAGTTCATGCAAAAAACACAAATGTCCCTTACTTCACACAGTGGAATTTTAGGGGTTTGGTGAACAGTATGTTTTCAACTGAACTACTCATCTTTTCAATAATGGCAGGGTGAAATATCAGCCCCTTTAGTTCCATTATAGTGTGTGTATGTATGTACACACACACACACACACACACACTATGGGAACAGCTGCATGCCAAAACTCTTTCAAAATTCAATGCTGTGAAATAATTACGTCTTAAAATATTTTATTAACCAAGGATGTTCTATATTCAAGATACAGAAATTTGCTATGTGGAATTGAAAGGAACTCCATAGGGATGAACAGGAAATGAAACTTAAATTGGTTTTATAGAACCAATGCAGTTTTTAAAAGAAAGTTTATAAAGTATCATCACTCAGAGGAAGAAAATACAAAGCTTTATCATCATGAAGGGGAATAAAACATTTTAGATAGTCTGTTACACATTAACAAATCCTGGCTGATCCAAGCCAAATGTTTCCTAAATCAAAACTTTTAGCAGTGGTATAGGATGCTTCAAAAATGCAATATGCAATCACTAAAAGAAAAATCTTTTCATAAAATTAATATACCACTTGATTGTAAGAAATACCTCAAAATTGTTTACACAAAGAGTAAAACAATGAAATTTATGCCACAAGGGTGAATGAATTATTTTCTCTATCAATTTTCTCTATCAGTTTTATTATTCAGGTATGGCAGTGTCAGCCTATTTAAAGGACAATTTGCATTTGCAAAGCACCCCTCCTCCTCCACTTATTAAGTATTTCGCAAAGCATTTTAAGTAATGCTATGAGCAGCTGAGTTGGGAAACGGTTGGTGCATGTTGTATAAACAAACTCTTTTATGAGATTATGTAGTCTTTGAGTAGTCTTATACCAACCAACCCCCCCAAGAAGGGATTTTTTTACACATTTACCAAAGTCAAAAGGAATCAAGACACTAGGGTATACAAATGGGTCATGTCATATATCTAAACTTTTCACCATTTTAAGACGTGTGTGAGAGATACGCAGTATAAACTAAAAAGCATTTCTACTGTTTCTAACCAATATTAAGCAACGTTTACTGCAACAATGAGGAGCTACTTACTTTACCACAGAGGTCAAGTGTCTGGTTTATATTTTATTTAGGCCACCCCATTCTAAAAGAAAGTACCTGTCTACTTGTATTTTATATAAATATATATAAACTAAGCAGCACGGCTTGGTTCCCCCTACCCCCAGGCAAAAAATATTTTGCAGTTAGGCTGTCAACCCAAGATCCAGTTTTCAGCCTACTCTTTGTGATATTATACCTGGAAACGGAACAGGCAAGATCACAAGAACATTTACTTCATGTTGGGAAATTCATTTTCAATCATCATTCAGATTCTCCTCCATTCTCCACCCCTTTCTAATTCTGGTTATTAACATCAGTCCAGGTACTTATCGGTGGCCTGGTTTGCATGACACACTTAAGCCAAACACTGGTTTAGTGAGATTGTGAAAACATGTGGGCTCACAACATATTTGCTTCTCTGTTGTTCTGAGTTAGGCCAAAGTTTGCCTTACTCTGTTGTCCAAACTGAAGCTTATGGTAAAGGCAGAAGTGCTGTGTGGATAATTGATCTGGATAATTGATCAATTTCCTGCTTTGGGTGGGATTTTTGTCTGGCTGGAATGTTTTTGTTTGGCTGGAATGTGTCCTTTAACTTCTGCCTCTCTGTGGTCTGGATGGAGAAGAGGGCTGGTGGGTGTAAAAACCAACTCTCTGTACCAAGGAAAAACTTGCATTAGTTGCTTGGCCCACTTTAGCCTTTGGCCCTTTCTGGCATGGAGGCCACAGAAGGATGCCCAGATGGGAATGGGGCCTTTGGTGTGACAAGAAAGTTCCCCGCCCCAGCCAAAATCCAACCTTAAGGTTACCAGTACATGAGCCACAATGCTTAGGCTATGTTAAGATCTGGAAGAACCAGTGTAGCCCAAGGTTAAATAAAACTTGCAGTTCAATGGGGAAAGTATTAATCTTTCCAACATTTGTCACTCCATTCCCTGAAGCTTCTACTCCTATTGCCAGAGAGGTGTTAAGTCCCACAGATATTTGTTGGCATCCGTCTGTCCCAGGAGACACTGGAAGACTGCTCCTTTGAACTGTTGGAAGGTTGCAGCGCCTGCTGTTGCTGTAGAGAGATATAATAGAGAGACCTGCTTTGTTGCAGCTGGAGCAAATGAAGGCACCCAGTTGTGCTGCTGCAGATGAATCATGGTGTTTCTTCTCTCTGTGCTCCCCCCAGCGGTCATTCCTTTTCTGGTCACTGCTATTGACACACAACCTGACTGTCTCCAGGCACTGTGGTTGCCTGCGCACAGCAGGGTTGATGTTGCCATTCCTCATGTCACATTTGCAGACATCTTCGTAACGCAGTTGGTCTGCCAATGAACCTGGTGCCTTAAGCCCCATAGAGCACATCCTTGGGGATCCTGCCATCTTCCATTCTGTGGACACGACCAAGCCAGCATAGGTGTCACTGAGAAAGGAGTGCAAACATGCTTGGAATGTGGGAGAGCACATATTTGTTTGAAACTCTGTACTGCTACGTGACACTCAAAATCTAGTCCATATGAAAGGCATGAGGCGTCACTCCTGATGGTTTTAAGTTGCCCATGACTAACAAATTGCACTTCCTCTTGCCACACATACTTTCGTTTGTTTTGTTAAGCATATTGCATTACTGGAAATACTACAGTATGGATGGTTATAGAATTAGAGGTGATGGGAAAGGGCAATCTATTTACTACCAGAAAGCAGTAGCATCTAGCACAGAGAAAGCTGGCAGCTACAACACAGGCTCTCAACTATGTTCTTCAATTCACCAGCTGTGCCCAGAGATGTCAGCTTGCTTCAGCCTCAAAAGTAATCATTCACTAGTCCAAAGCCTTGCATAGCTTTTGTGCTTTATTAACTTGGCACCGTATGATTCAGTATGGTGAATTAGATAAAAGTAACAGAAGAAAGGTATAAGCAAAAAGGGAATGAAAGTCCTAAATTGATTTATAATTTTATCAAGCATCACACGACAACAAAAAAAATTCTACTCTTCATATTTTTAGAATAAGAGTGGGATATAATTTATTATTAGAGCTGCATTATACTACAGGACCAGTAGTATAACAATTATAGTATTCTCAGGTTTTGATTTCTGAGCATCATTAACTATCCTTTGTATGCTTTGAAGGCAAGCCTTTCTGGGCTTTGTGAATTCTTATCTCAACCCATAATCTTAAAATTGGCTCCAGAAGTTACGACGACATGTTTTTCTTTAAATCAAAAGTAGAACTTTTGCAATCATAACCTGAATGGGAAAACTACACAAATTTCTACACACAAAGAGAATTTTAAAAGTATGAGTTTAGAATTTGTATGCAGTCTGGGAACAGTACCCATACATAGTTTACAGCAGAGTCTGGCATGAACGAAGTGCCTATTTTAATTTTTTCCCCTTCTCTCCTCCCTATAAATTCTAACTGTTGTTGATACGAAGTACCTTTTGCTTATGGTCACCAATTTATTAACATTAAATTGGAGTAAACATTTCATATCTGTAATATTTGTAATAATTGTTAACTTTGTGAATATATTCAGAAATGTTTATCTGGGTGTTTATTGTTTTATTTTTAACTTTAGGTAATTGTTGCTCTAATGTAAGCGGATATATATCTCATTGCAACAATGTTAAACAGATGAAAATGAATAAAAACTATATTACAAAAAAATGAATGAGTTTAGGGTTTTCTCATGTTCTCTAGTTTTCCAAATATCTGTAATACTGGTGGGAAAGTATCTTATCATTAGTTTCACCCCAATCTTAAACACTACAGGAACCCCTGTTGTGAACAAATATTAGTATTTTGCTTTTAGATAGTTACTGAAACTTTCCCTTAGGGGAGGCTCAGCCATTTTATACTACTAGCAAGTGGAATCTGGATGATTTGATGCATTTACTATGTGGTTTTAGATTGTTATGTATCAATTTATTTTTACTCCATATGGATTTTTGTTTTTACATGTCTTTCCTACAGACACACTTGTTGGGAAGCAGTTTATAAATCCTGAAAGCAAATAATGTACCAAGCTCTCTTCCTGTTACAACAATGAAAAGGGTTAGCTACTTTCAAGAATCTAGACTCTTATTTGTGGAAAACCTGGAAAAAAAAATAAACTATCATGCCTGCTACCAATTTTTGAAAATCCTAAAGAGATTTAATGAAGGATTTATAAACTGCTTCCCAAGAAGTGATTCCAAGTGCTTTGCACAACAGAAATGTAAAAAACCAAAATATAATTAAACTATATACACAATAACATCCAGACACTTACTACAGACTCCATTCTTGATAGTCCTGCTCTTTCTATATAATGAAGATACAGTATACCAAAAAAAACCAAACCTCAATAGTTTCAGTGTTCACACACCTACTCATTCAATCATCTGTCTGACAACATACATTATACTGTAGTTAAAATATCTAAAATCCAATAATAAGCACAAGGCTGAACAGATATGCAATAACAAAGCAATTACTTTTTACAAGCCATCTATGTTTTCATAAAACATGTCGCCATCCTCTGGAAATACGAAGTTCATGTGATTTGCATTGCGTTAAAAATATTTTATGTGATTTTCCTTTTCATGAAAGGGAGAACATAAAACTTACTAAATATATAGAAAGCACACATCAACTAAGTCTTGAGCATATTCAGGAATACAAATATGCAGGAGTATAAATACTTAAGATAAAAAAAAACACACCCAAGGTTGCTGGCCATACTGAGTGTGCAGTTATTACGATTTTCCCTTTTGGACTACGTGCAGATTGAAAGCTGAAGTTCCACACACAGCCAGGCATGCTTGAAGCTTAATGTTGGCTGCTTTCGTGGTGCGTCGAGTCCAAATTATGCTTAGGCACCTACTTGGGAAGTGTTAAGGTTTAATTCCATGTTTCACTGTCCCTTGGATGCAAAGGCAACTGCATTAGCACAGTAGAAAGTGTGCATCAATATAGCTTACAGCCACCCTAAACCCACAATTCCTTCTAGTTTGCTGTCTGATGTGTTAGAATACATTTGCAAAAAGGCTTGTGGATAAGCTGACATCTTTCATGCTGACACAAATTATTCCTCAACAGTTAGATGCTAATAAACAGGACAACTGCCCCAGCTTTCCACATGGTTTTACTTTTTATCTTAATTTTTAAAGGAAGAAGCAGAATATTAAGAATGACCACTATCAGCTTTCACAAAAACGAATTATCCTTTCAAAATTACTTACAGGAGAAGATGGGGGCAGGTACAGAGAGAACACACACTCAGACACTGTATCAGAATAATGGTTTTCACTAACAACTTTATTTCAAGTAATACATAAGTCATGAAACTACAACAATTTGGGATTTGTCCTACAAATTTCAGTGCTTGTACTTCAGAAGTCTGAAAAAGCGAATTGCATACAAACTGCATTCATTGCCAAATCCAAAACCAATCACGGTGCCTCATTAATGTCCTGTATTATTGCTCCAATTGCTGAGTTATACACTAATACCAAATGGGCCTAAGCATTCTTAATAATGAGCAAAAACTAGGAAGGTCCACAAGTACATTTATCCCATTGCCTTTAAACAAATGAATTACCCTTTCTGCGACAACAACTTGTACATGCCAAGAAAAATGAATTATTTCGTAAGAGGTACAATATCAAGAATGCCTCTATCAACAGTGAGGAGGCTCAAACCCAAGGAGATGATATTCAAAACTTTGTTACTGACGTTTTCAAAAATAACCCCTTTTTAAAAACTATTATCAGTTCAATCTTATGAGGGCGTACCAATCAGAGATACTGTTAAATATTTATTTGCTTAAATGTATGGTAATACATTAAAATTATTAAATCATTCTAGGTACCATCTTTTGATTGAAAGCAAATGTATTTCATGAAGACTGCCATTTTATATTTAAGCTAAAAGACTTGCCATTTTAAAATCAACAACATACAAAACTGCTGTGAATGAACTAACTTACAGATGGCCCTAATATTTTTATTTAACTGCTTGCTGCCTTTCAGAGAGGGGTTTAGCAGAAGTACTGTTACCATCTGAAGACATTTACTTAGGTTATTCTGCTACCTCCTCCCATCTAGCAACTGGGATGCCATTATTTTTTCTTCTACATAATTCAGTACCTGACATCTATTTTTTAAATGTCAAATCAATGCAGACCATATTAACCTTAATCCCTACATACCAGCTTCCCCCCTCTCAAACACTGATTGTGCTGTTGTTCCACAACTTCTCTACAGATCATCAGCATCCAGATGGTAAATTAGTACAATAATGAACTGACTACTGGTATGCAGGGGCACAGTGCCATCCCAGGCCATGACCTCTCTCCCTTCTCCTGCTTCCTGGTTTGTCAAAGCAACAACACACACAGCCTAAAGAAAATCCGACAGTTTACCACGGGAAACTTTTTCGGACCTTATCATGTTTATAATAGCAGTGTCCTTCAGACTGGTGTTTTGGTTATTCAGTAGGGTCTAGAAGTTAAGTGCTTAGAGCAAAGTCTGTCCCAAGTCACTTCTTACCTAAAACATATAGATCTGCTTTGTCAGTTCCTATTACTACAATCTCCATGCAATTTATAAACAAGCAGACACTGTCAAGGTCCCAAAGCCTAAGAGCTATGTTTTGAAGGCTCATCGTGCTATCCTTCATTCTACCCATTTATTACTTTCATGTGAGATGACAAGTTAATAAATATGCAGAAATTCTTCTGACTGGTGTGCTACCACACAATTATGCCTTTTGCCCATTTATACCACAAGTAGAGAGTACTGAGACAATGCTATATGAATATACCCCATGTTCATCAACTGTGCAACACAGCATTTTTAAATCGTTCAGTGAGAGTTAATCTGCTTTAGCAGTGTGGCAGAATTCTAGAATCTGGACTGTATTACTTCAGAAACAGTGCAGTAGGGTAACCTTTTCGAATATTCCTACAAATGCTCCCTCTGTATGTACTAAATTTGCAGATCATGGACAGAGATTTATTAGTTGTTGCCTGATGTGCCAGTTTATCACACTTAGTATTTCTTGTTTGAGTGGGAAAGCATGCAAAAATACAATAGCTTGCCTTCAGTCTGAAGCAAAAGAGTCCAGAGTTCAACCAATCTATTGTGTATAATGTCAAGCCTGACTTTAAGTAGCAGTGTGTGCTCCCCGCCCTCTAAAAAAAATGGATATACCATGTTACATATTTAAAGGAGGCTTGCTTTCATATTGCATGTTTAGGTATTATTATCATCATCATCATCATCATCATTATTTGCCTCCTCTTTTCAAAAGCCACATGTTAAATTCCTAATCATCCATCTGTCTGGTGCAACACAGTAGATAAACAGGTTTTACAGGAAATAGTAACAATCCCCATGAAGGTATTATAGACACAGCAACAAACAAAAAGGAGTCATTTTGAAATACAGGACATTATGACATTATGCAGGCAATTGAGCAACATCCAAAACACTGGCAAGGGAAAAAAATTAAACATCAAGTAAGAAGGAATTAAGTCACAGTGTTGTGTTGAAAACTATACCTTCATCTTGTAGCACCTTTAAGAAAAGTAAAGTCAGGCACCAGAATATTCCATAATTGAAACTTAACTTACAATCAGATGTAAAGTTTATTGAAAAGGCACAGATGAAAAAAAAAGGATATTCAATCCAACGGCATCAGATAATCTAAAACATCGCAGTATATGAATACTATTTACACACTTACAATCTATTCACTACCAAAATTCATCAGGGCGTATGTACTTCACATAAAAGTCCTGATGTGAAGTTATGCAATACTCACTATAATACATGAAAATATCAGATCTACCTAAGTTAAGAAAATCATAGATATTTACAACATTGGTTTTTTATCTGAAGTTTTCATAGCTACACACAGAGGTAATCCAAATTTCTTCAAGTTGGAAGAGCAGATAATGCAGACATTGTATTTTACTAACATCAGAGCAAATAATACACAGTAATATAGCTTACTGCAATGGCAGTTTAAATATCTGCTGATATTTAAATTCATGTAATTCTGACAGGGAACATTTCTATACAAATTCAGTATCAATGGCTTCCTAGTAATTCATCTGGTTATTTAAATAAACAGATAAAAGACTATAAATTAAGTAGAGGTTTCACTTTTATGGCCTTCTAGGTTTTTCTTTTCTGTTTTCTAATTAAAATAGAATAGGAACACAGATGGGAGGAACAACCAAAAAATATTATCAGAAGGTATTGGAAAGAGCCATTGAAGGTATCAATACTGCAGAAAAGCTAGGGGACAAAATCCTTAAGTCCTTCACTATCGTTACACAACATAAAGAGCAATAATATCAGAGGTCACAAAGAGAAAGGAAAAATATATGAAAATAACAACAAGAGATGTGGAAAAATAATAAGAAAGGACTGGATAGTACTGTGAACATCATAAGGTTAGATTTGTGGGCATTAAAACAGCAGTAAGAAGCAAGAAGTTGATTGGATCCCTTCGGAACTTGAAATATGGGTACCCCCAACAAAAAATTAAAATTCGGCTGTGTAATTTGGAATTTATGTAATTTGGTTTGATTTGATGTAATTGGTCGGTTAATAAAAAATTATTATTAATAAACATAAAGAGCAATATTAAATATCCCAAGAACACACAAGTGATAGTGGGTTTTTTAAAAAAACAAACCAACCAACCTGCAATTCAGACTTCTGCACACACAAATCCGCAGAAATTCAGAGTGTCTGACATGCAGCAAGTATTGGTTACAGAATGCCAAGTGTTAATTTAGAAATAAGACTTCAGTTTTAAATTTTCTTTTTTAAAAAATCAGGTGCTTATTGTGCAAACACACACAGTGTTATGTATCCAAAAATAAAGAGGTTTATGCTCATGGGGCAAGCAGTACAAGATATATTTAGTGGCTGAATAGTCATAGAAAATTACTATCTTCCTACAAGAGAAAGAGACCAGTGGTAGTGCCTTTTGAACAACTGAGATCAAAAATCAACCAAGCTGGTTGTGTCTAGCTGGAACTGACAATTCATTCAGTTTAAAGTTGTTGATAAAAATATTCCGGGGTCTATATTACAAGAATTTACGTCCATTTTTTACACAAGACATTTCCATCACTGTAACAGATGCTGAATATATTTCATTCACTCTAAAAATGTAAGGACAAACAATTCATGTCATACAGTTCAATATCTCCTAATATTATCAAAAATTCAGAGCAAAGGGTTCATTTAACAACCCATACAGAATTTAAATATTGCTAGTGTTTCATGTTTACTCAGAGATGACAAAACTTTCTTCAAAAGTTTCAGTTTTTAGTGTATATGGTCAAAATTGGTACAAAGGTGGTAAACAAAGCGCACTTGTCAATGCTCGAGATCAATTCTGTGCATATTTAAAAGTGTAGAACTGGAACAAGTTAATGCACTGAACTGCAGAAAGTATAAATTAATGCTGTACTATACTATGGAACCATCTTTGCTTTGTGCTGGAATCATCACAGGAATTGCTCCCATTCTACTTAGATTAGGTGCAGCTACCTTTGGTGGTTGAAAATTTGGATTCTGAGGAGAAGTACGCTCAAAGTCTTCACTTGGTACTTTGTTGTATTGAGTCTTGGCATATCCATCCATATTGGAAGGAGACATTGATCCCAAAGAAGAGCGATTACTCCCTATATAGCTTCGGGCTGTTGAACCACGACTCTTCGGAGGAGGAACGTCCTCTCTGAAAAATTAAGCAGATTTTTAAAATTACTTAAGAGTCTTGTAGGAAGGAAAACCCAAACACTTAGAAACATCCCTATCCATATTGACTTGGTACCATTTATTTCAATGAAACATTGCCTCAAGGCCCCCCTCTGCCAATCCTGGCACCTGAGGTCTGTAGGGAAAGTGGTCTTTAAGGTATTTGGGGCTTTAAGCACCAACCTGAGCACCTGAATTGGACCCAGCAATGAACTGGAAACTAGTACAGCTGTTTCAAAACAGGGGTTATATGGGACATAAACAGAAGCCTAGCCAAAAGTCTAGCTGCTGCATTTTGGACCAATCAGTTTCCAAGTTGCCTTCAAGCACAGTTCCACAAGGAGCACATTGCAACAATCCAATCTAGAAGTTACCAGAGCATGGAGTACAGGAGCAAAGTTATCTGTGTCCGGAAGGGACCAGAGTTGGCAAACCAGCCAGAGGTGAAAAAAGGAACTCCTAGCCACCAAATCCACTTGAGCCTGCAATGATCCAACAGCACCTCCAAGCTGTGAACCTGCTCCTTCTAGGGGAGGGCAACCCTGTCCAGACAGGCCATCTCCCCACCTCCTGGACATGAGAACTTGGAACACACAACACCCGTCTTTTCAGGATTCAGCTTCAGTTTATTGGCCCACATCCAGCATATCCCCTCATCCAAGCACCAATCTAACACCACAACTAGAACAAAGAGACAGAGCTGGAAGTCAACTGCATATTGATGACAATTCAAATATCCTGATGACAACTCCCAGAGGTTTTGCAAAAGATGCTAAATAGCATGGGGTGGGGGACCAAGATTGAACCCTGCAGCATCCAACAAGACAACTCCCATGGCACTGAATAGTAGCCTCTCATGATTACTTTCTGAAAATGGCCCTGGAGATAAGAGTGGAACCACTGAAACAGTGCGCCAACCTTCTGAGACACTTCAGAAGGATACTGTGGTCAACAGCATTGAAAGCTACCAGGAAATTGAAGAAAACAAGCAGAGTTCCACTCTCCCCAGCTCTCTCCCAATAAATGTAATCAACCAGGGAGACCAAGGCAGTTACAGTGCCATGACCAAGCCTGAACTCAAGACTGGAATGGATTTAAATAATCAACTTCTTCCAAGCATGCCTGAATCTGGACCACCACCACCTTCTTGAGCACCTTGCCCAGGAAGGGGGCATTTGCCACTGGGTGATAATTGTCCAGGGATATCTTCTTAAGGAGAGGGAGCACCACTGCTGATTAATCACCCTCTGGACCCACCCAGTCAACCCCTACAGCTTGTCCACATCATCCTCAAGCTGCAACTACCTAAACTGATCCAGTATAGATGGAGCTGCAGACCCCTCAATCGGATTTGCTCTTATTGTGGCATCCAATGCCACTGAAATCTAAGTGATTTTGTCCCTAAAGTGCCTCGCAGAGTTGTTACAGCAGGCCTTCAATGGTGTCAAAGCAAGGCTCTCTTGGTCAGGTAACTCTGCAATGGTGTGTTGGATGGATACTTGTGAATGCAATGATGGCCAAGAAACTTTCTTTGTCGCTACCACTAAATAGCTGAAGCATGAAATACTATACCAGGTGCTTGATCCAAGGGATGACTACACATTTATGAAACTGCCTCTTAGGGGCCAACTTTGGCACGTACACTACATAGTCTCCCCTGCATTTAAAGGATGTTCGTATAGATTAAGCAAGGTGGTGATTTTTTAGTGAAATAGTTCAAACCGGTAGCTTATGTACTACTTTCCCCAGGCAAGTTGTTAGGATATTTTAGTCTTATAAACCCAATACACACTATTGTACATATTTAATATTCTTTAAATTGTTTGTATAAGTTATAAGTAACTTTGAGCTTTCAAACTGAGGGCAGGACAAGGGAAAAGTATGAAGTCAAAGAAGTACATGAGTAGATGTCAACGTTTCTGGTATTTCATGCAAGTTGGTTAAACTATATGCCTTTGTCAAAACATTTTGTAAAATTGACAATTAAATTTTTGAGCTCATGCCTAGTTTCTCATGCCAGAGTGACACACCTTATATCATGATGCACTTCTTTTTCGTATTTCTTCTCTCTTTGTTTCTTGCAGCAACAGAAGATGATAAAAGCTAATAAACAGAGTCCTAAAAGAGTCCCTATTACAGCTCCAGCAATGGTTCCAGCTCTATTCACCGCTAAAACAAAGAGAACAATGATGTATGAGATGGCAGGAATTAATTCTTCAGTTTAATGATAAAGCCTTACCAAATTATTATTTCTATGTTTTTGCTTTCAAAACATAATACTTACGAGGGGTGACATTCAGCACAAGAGAACACTCATCTGCACCAACTCTGTTGGAAGCTACACATTTGTATGTGCCGGAGGAAGCCCGAGAAGCATTTTTAATCAAAAGATCACCTGTATCTGAATCTGTAAATATATATATACATATAAACTTCATTAGAATTTGTCAAAAGTAGCATTGGTAGGAATAATCAATAAAGCATGGATTTATGTTCTTACGTGTTTAACTTTTGACTGTGCATATTACTTACACAAAATAATTCAACACAGCTAAGGTGCAGAAGAAGTTTGGTTTCCAAACATATTCAGAGACACTCACTCTGCCAACTCACTCACCCCATTCCTATTAGGAATAGTCTTGGGGCTGCTGCTATAATCACCATCCAAATCAAGATGAAGTAGCTATGAGGTACCAAACTGATTAGCAACCAAATCTGCTACTGCTATTTAGATGTTTACTAGCTATAACTTAAACTGACTTTTCATAAGGTGTCTGGAAAAACTCCTGCCTCCACATATTTACTCACCCATTTAATCTAGGTTGATCTAGAGCTTGGGTTTTTCTACCTTGCCTGGATAAGCTTCATAGTACAGTGGTATCTCGCAAGACGAATGCCTCGCAAGACGAAAAACTCGCAAGACGAAAGAGTTTTTCGTTTTTTGAGTTGCTTCGCAAGACGAATTTCCCTATGGGCTTGCTTCGCAAGACGAAAAACGAAAACATCTTGCAAGTTTGTTTCCTTTTTCTTAAAACCGTTAATACCCAGGGTGACTTCGAGGAGCAACTCATAGCACATGGTGTGGTAGCCTTTTTTGAGGTTTTTGAAGACTTTGGTGATTTTGAAGACTTTGGGAAACCGTGCTTCGCAAGACGAAAAATTCGCAAGACGAAAAAACCTTGCAGAACGAATTAATTTCGTCTTGCGAGGCACCACTGTATTACAAGAGAATACCATTTGCTTCCAAGCTTTTTTATAATTTTAATTTCTATTAAAATTAATTAACTGACTGCTGAGAACAGCCTGCTTTTATAGTTTTATAAATAGGAAAAATTAACAAAATATTTAAGGAACTGGGACACTGTTTCCCAACCTTAGGGCCAGGAACCCCCAAGGGATCCATGGGTAACGCTCCTCCAAGTCTGCAGTTGGATGATTTCCTATGCTGCTGTACCTCTTTGCAGCAGCATTCCCAGGAGTGCCATGTTATCCCTGAGGAGACTGTGACCGCTGGAAATTGTGGGAACATGGTTCAACAGCATTGGTCTATGCCTTCTCTACTTTCCTTTGTTGCTGTGAGGTGTACTTGGGAAAACCTAGTGGCAAGTTGCAAGAACGTAGCAGAGGCATGTTGCATTTGGCGTTTTCGGGCCTTTTATGATGCACAACACTTAGGGCTTATTGTAGAAGGTGAAATACACAGTTGTAGAGGGCTGTAGACCCTCAATTTAATTTTAGTGATCTCCATGCTGTGGACTTTCTGCCTACTAATTATTGGCTGCATTTGAGTTCCTCAGTTACGGCAGCAGTGGAGATTACTTTTGGTGCTTTATTAAAGAATAAAATTAGTGGATTTGGGGGAGTTTTCTGTCTTAGAGATCATTTGGGCATCAGACCTTTTAGGGTTGCCTGTTGTTCTGAGCAGCATTTGCTGCTCATGCCTGCCACCTTATTAAAAAAAAAAAAAACAAACAAAACTATAAATGAAATAGAATCAAATTAACTGCATATATAAGTAGATTTACTTACAGTGATTAGGAAACTTACCGAAGAATACAAGAGAGTCATGACTCTATAAATTGCCATATATATCATTGGTGGCAATTAAAGTTTTCTTTATAATTCTTTTGGGTATTACTCAGAAATAAATATTTGGTTCAAGTTGATTGCTTAGTTATGTTGTTGATCACTGGGTGTGCTGGGGAAATAAATAATTTTATCTTGTGTCTATCATACCTTTTTGAATGTATTCATTGGGTTCATCAAGGGGCATATTGGAGAAATAAATGAATTTATAGATAAATTGATATGCAATACCTTATAGACATATTCATGGAGGTTTGGGTGATCCATGCGACGGTCACCTCCAGACTGGATTATTGTAACTCGCTCTACGTGGGGCTGCCCTTGAGACTGACCCAGAAACTCCAGCGGGTGCAGAATGCTGCAGCGAGACTCCTTACAGGGTCTTCGCTGCGAGATCACATTCACCCGGTGCTATACCAGCTGCACTGGCTCCCGGTGGAATACAGGATCAGGTTTAAGGTGCTGGTTTTAACCTTTAAAGCCCTATACGGCCTAGGACCCTCGTACCTACGGGACCGCCTCTCCTGGTATGCCCCACAGAGAAACTTACGGCCTTCAAATAAAAACATCATGAAGGTCCCAGGCCACAGAGAAGTTAGGCTGGCCTCAACTGGGCCAGGGCTTTTTCGGCCGTGGCTCTGATCTGGTGGAACACTCTGTCACAAGAGACCAGGGCCCTGCGGGACTTGACATCTTTCCGCAGGGCCTGCAAGACAGAGCTGTTCCACCAGGCCTTTGGCCAGGGCACAGCCTGACTCCCTCCCTCGGCAATCTTCGCGGAGCTCTGGCCCAATGGTTGCCAGTGGCTTGAATTAATTAATTTTATAATGAATGATTTTAGAGTGTTGTTTGTGCTGTACTTTTGTACTGTTTTATTGTTGTTAGCCGCCCTGAGCCCGGCTTCGGCTGGGGAGGGCGGGATATAAATAAAATTTATTATTATTATTATTATTACTGTGTTCATACTTTTTTTGCTCATTATTCATTATACGACTTAAAGTTGCATAAAATTACAACAATTAGCATGTGGGGGACCATTAATTTTTTGAGGTTAAAAAAGCATCCTCATAAAGGTTGGAAATCACTGCAGTAAAATGAATGATAGAAATCATTTTTGTGCCCTTCCACCATTCAGATTCCGTTCTTGGACTGAGTAAAGTAAAGTTCGCAAACCGGGACACCACGTTTTGCAGAGTTCGTAAACTGAATCATTCATAAACAGGACTGTTCTTAAACCAAAGTACCACTGTATAACTCTTCTTTTCAGCAAGTTCCAGAGCTCACCAGGGGGCTTTTTTTTTTTTTTTTACTACCTTCATGGCCCAAGGAAACATCTCTGGAAAATTCTTTAAAGAAACTCAGCAGAGCAGACTCAATTTTTAAAAAATCAACTCTTTAAAATTCAAAGCTCTGCTTGTAATTAGTTTAGCATTTGAAGTTAGAAGGGAACAGACACTCGTGTTCAAATATGAAAAAGACAGTAATAATATAGAAGCATACTCAGTGATGATCTGTCCGGAAGTCCTTCTTTACCCATCTTCCCCCAGTGGTAGCTTATAAGGGGAGTGCCTCCTTGGGATTTACATTTCAGAGTAACATCAGTTCCAATCTCCTGCGATCCTTCGACATAGCATTTGGTCTTTTGAGGTTTTTCTATTAAAAAAATATTATTGTACTATGAATGCAAACTTAGAACTATGTACTCATTAAATGGTATATGTAGCCGCAACATAAACTATACATACATCACAGACATTTTATACACATATTTTATTTTCTTTCAAATATCAGTAGTTTGCCAACAAATTGTTACTACAATTTCAAAAAGATTAAGCTACTTCTTCCATGAGACCAACTACAGAGCCATTTCTTAGCATATCACACCACATATTTGTCCCACCCACCAGTTTGTACTATGTCTTGCTTCAAAATGTAACAAACTTATGGTCATGGTGCCCTTTAATCTGAAATATGGCATGCAAAATGCTTTATTTCCTGGCCCAGCTAATGCAAGATAATATGGGGGCTGATTTAAACACTGTCCATCTAACAACTCCTCTTTACCGTGCTTAGACTGTGGCCTTATAAACTGTGTGGGAGGGGTGGTGGTATTGTTCTGTTTGTGTTTTAATACTATAAACTGCCCTATGATCCTCGGATGAAGGATGATATACAAATTATATGAATTAAAATAAATACTAGCAAATCTCCAACTATTCATCCAATACTTACAGCCACTTTATAAAATCAGATAAAAAGTAATATTAATTGTATGCATGCCCACCTAGGAGTTCGAAAGCACATCAAAGTGCAAATAGATAAATAGGTACCGCTCCGGCGGGAAAGTAAACGGCGTTTCCGTGTGCTGCTCTGGTTCACCAGAAGCAGCTTAGTCATGCTGGCCACATGACCCGGAAGCTGTACGCCGGCTCCCTCGGCCAATAAAGCGAGATGAGCGTCGCAACCCCAGAGTCGGCCACGACTGGACCTAATGGTCAGGGGTCCCTTTACCTTTAATAACTCACTAAAGCAGGGCAACCTGCAGCTCAGAATTTTGGAAGCCCTCTGCAAGCAAAGAGTTATCTATTCCCCCTATTCCGCAGACTGCTGAAAAGGGATGAAAGCGGGGGGGGGGGAGACACGCCTACTTTTGGCCCCATTTCCACATGCTGCTGCTGCAGCCTTGCCCCCTGCCAACATGCAGCAAACACGTATCTCCAAGCAAATACAGCTCTCAACAGAAAAGAGTGTCATGAGCCTGCACTATGTACAGTTTATGCAATTGCAAAACTAGAAATATCTTACCATATACACTCAGCTGAACTCTGTGGGTCTGCATATCAGGAGCCTTCTTCACTTTACACTGGTACGTGCCACTATCAGCCGGCTGTAAGTTCAGGATATCAATACTCGCATCTCCATCAGCTGGGTTCTGATTAACAAACTGTACCCGCCCAGCCATATGATACTTGTCATAAACCGTGTTCTGACTGTACATAATTACCTGAAAGGAAAAGAGACAGATGGCTATCTTGTATATGAGTTATCACAGTTGGAAGGGACCACTAGGGTCATCTAGTCCAACCCCCTACAATGCAGGAGTGTTTCGCCTAACATGGGGCTCAAACCTATAACCCTGAGATTAAGAGTCTCATGCTCTACAGTTATGTATGTTCTATCCAATATGATTTCGATTTTTCCCAGTAGTAAATAAATATGTCCTAGAACTATTTTCTGGAAGGACATTAGGTTAAACATTTGAATTCTTAGTCTCAGCTTTGGGCTCACCTACGTTCAAAATGGAAGTGAAACATATGGAAGACCTAGGAGTTTAATAAAGGTTTTCACTTACTGGTTGCTCCTTTTTTGGCTCCAAGACAACCCATTCAATGTCAAGTAGTCCTTCATCTCCTGCTGCAAGAGTATACTGGCAGAGCAAAGTAACCTTCTCTCCTAGAGCCTTTGTTACCATCGTCTGTTCAGTTGATGTTATTGTTACGCCCTCAGTGAGATCTAGAAGCAAACCAAAATTTTAACACCTTAGAAGTTAAAAAAGTATGAAAACATATTGTATGCACAACTTTGAAAATAGGAATAGCTTCTCTTTTAGACATCTAAATAAACCACATGACTTGGAACCAACTATTGCAAACCTCTTGCATTTCTATGTATTGCAAGGTACAAAGGAAACACTGATTACATTAGCTATTTGCCCTTAGGGACGAAAACATTACTCATATCTTTTGAAGAATTTTTTATGTTAAATAGATGTTGCATGCCTTTTTCATTACTCTGCTATACTTAAAGGCCAGTGCAATGCTGTGCAGGCTAAAGCAAGTAGGACTGAATTCTACAACCACGGTACCTGCGTAATGATGATGTAACAGTATACTATCTACCTCCTTTTATCACAGCAAAAGTAGTTTCCATTTTACAATAATGGTTTACAATCTAAGAGACACGATATAAAATTAAGGGACGAGGAAGGCAAAGTTGAGCACTTGTATTGCAATAACTTCATGGAGTCATTCTGAGCAGCCATAAATCTCTCTGTGTTAAGTTGTGGGTGAACATATCAGACGACACAGCGATTCTTCAAATAGCTCTTGTTTATTCACAGGCCAGAAAAGAACTGAACTGAAGGGTTCAGCCAGCCTGCTTATATAGAGCTCCACTAGAACGCAAGAGTAACCATTTTCTGTAACTACCCAATCACTGAATGTCACTTTCAATCTCTTATTTGCATATGTGGACCTGAGTGAAAACTATCTACAGTATCCCCCTGCTGGCCCAGGGTGAGAACTTCAGTACATAATACTCTCTGTGTGTTATTACTGAACTACCCCCTCTACCACGAAAATGTGGGGGGGGGGCATAAGTTGGTAATGTCAAATGTTGAGACTCCCATGTGTCCAAATTCAGACAATAATCTAGTATTGACATATTGGCCCAATTCACATGGTAAACCAGTTATGTGGCCATGCTGTATGCACTTCTATTTGCACTTCAATTCCTCCCCTGCTGGAAATGAAACAAGCCACAGTCTGGCTTGTCATCATGTGCGAACACGGACTTATCATTAGTTTCTCCCCCCAAAACAAACCTAGATTAGAAAAAAACCACAAGCTCATGTTTTCATTCATGAAAAGGTGAGATTCTGGCTTGTTTATTTTACAGCACAGGAGGAGCAGGGGAGGAGTGAAGTGTGGACTTTTGGACAGTGGTACATGCAGCTTCTTCACATTAAACCATCGTTTCTTTTAACTATGGCTTGATGTAACACGAGAAACAGGCCACTGTTTGATAAACAATTCACCAGAATCAGGAAACGTTTACTTCATCCCTCCTATTTTTCACAAAAGTTATACAATTTTAAGTGTAGGACTATCAACATATGACTGCTATTTCTCAGTGAATTCATATGACATTTCTCACATCGTTCTTCAAAAGAGAACACAGTAAATCTACAGCCATATCATGAAGTTCCATTTTCAGACAAAGACAGCTTAATTTTAAACAACTGTGTAGTTTAGCATTTTCATAAAATCCCAAATGGGTTTTCAGATCTAATGCTTTTGGCAGCCTTTTCTGCTTCATCTCCTCCTGGAACATCAGCATAATCCTCAGTTGCATGCTATACTCAGAAGGACAATAAATATCTGACACACACATTTAGGCAAGCAAATGATTACAACATCTGCATAATGGCCAAAGAACTTTTTCAGAGACAGTTAAGTAAAGACCAAGAGAAATGTTTGTACAAATTTGGGGACTCTAAATAAGAATATACGTTCTCAACTCTAAAAAAAAAAGTGAAAAGTAGTTTTCAAAATTATTCCATATAAATGGTGAGGTGTGTTCTGCAATGCTTAAAAAAGAAACAAACTTGTTCCTATACTGTTTTTTGCTACCAATTAGATTTTTATGACAGATTTTTACTGTTTTTACATTAACATCCAAGTAACAAAGGATAAGTCACGCAAGAATTGCTATACCACCATACAGTACTAGAGTTATTAAATGCCACTAATCCATAACATATGCTGTAACATATATATTTATATTTAAAACAGATCTTTGTTTGTCCAATACTGTTTTCTACAAAGGTATGACAAGATAGGAAATAAAACATAAACACAGATATATTGCCAGAAATATCTGGGATAAAAGCCCTTTTAGATATATATAGAAATCTTATTCCCCTCCCCTCCCCTCAAATTTATCCAACATTCCAACATGAAATTCTTCCATAGTGTTTTGGTGGTACCGTGGTGCTCTTCTCATTCTCTCGGACAGCTCACATGAGCTTTCACATGTATGGAAGTGTGGGTTTTCTGTAGACAGAATGTGTTACTTGGACATGAAATGTAATCTTGCAGTTCTAAAGCTCCCTCCTGCAATGTTAGAGCTGAACAGGATGCACATCTTAGAAAGATGCAAGCCCAAACACCAAATCCATTTTCTTGGTTTTTTGCCAGAGCTGTGGTTCAACTCGTGCTTATAATGCAACGATCAATACGCCCGGGTGCTGCAGAAGCACTAGGGTCACAATGAAGAATTCACCAGGCTCTGTTTTCAGTCTACATGATTTACAGAAGTGTCATATGAACACCAGTGTAGGGCAATTTTCAAGGTAAGTGATGCATTGACTTTCCCTATAGACTTCATCTTCCTAGTGTTGCAGCAACAGAACTGCTGGCACAATTCCAAAGCTAAGCAGGGTCCTGTATGTTTTCAACTTGGATGGAGAACCACATGTTAAGATTCCTGCACTGCAGGGGGTTGGACTACGTGACTCTCGGGGTCCCTTCTAACTCTATAATTCTAATAGCTATATAGGAAACAGCCTTTACCAACCTAGTGCCCTCCAGAAGTTTTGGACTACAACTCTCACTACCCCAGTCAGAGCAGTTATGTTGGCTAGGGCTGATGGGATTGTAGTCCAAAACAACTGGAGGGCACCACACTGGGCTAGATATACGAGCAGACCAGGTAGACATGAAAAAGCATACCACCACAAGAGCTTTCACACTAGTTTCCTTCATGTAAAATTAGGGTACTACTTAATTACTAAAAAGTAAAATATTCAGAGAACCACATTCTAATACAGGCAACAGCCAATCTGTGTGGAGGTTGCATTCCAGGCCAATGCGTGCAACAACGGAGCACACATAAGACCACCCCACCTCCTTTTCCAGTTCGCCGTGATATACACATGCACAGACATGCATCAGACAGTTGTTGCCTGTAATTAACTCAAGCTCATAGTCTACACTACAAATGTCTATTTCTTTTCTTAAGCTAGAATGGACAGAACCAAACTGTGTTGTTTTCAGCATCTTCATAGATCTTTAAAGTCAAGATAGCAATAAATAAATCAAACACATAATTAAAACTGAAATTTCATGTATAAGTTTTGGGAGGAATCCAACGTTGGAAGAGAAGAATTACTTATGCAAGAAGACTTCACCTTCTGCAACCCAATGGGGATCTCCAAGATCTGCTTCAGAGAGCCCACACTTACCCCAGCAACCTTCCAATGCAGACACTGAAAACCTGCTACTGGGCAGAGGCAAGGAAAGTCAAATCCTACTGCATGAGCTGTTGTCTATTTTACTTGGAAAACACACACTGTTTGATGTATGTCCTTACCAGGGACTATCCATTGTTTGATACAGTCCTTACCAGTACAGTCCTCACAGTAAATTATGTCATAGCAAATACTTTTTAACAAGTTACTTCACAGAACAGCTTTAATGTTTTCTGCAGTTGAACAGATATACTCCTGGTTCTCATAAAAAAAATAAAACTATAAATATATAAATAAAAATATATCTCCATTATTAAAAACTAGTGTGTTCACAGCATTTTCTGAACAAATACAGAATCTAATTTAATTAAAAGTTAACCAAACATTTCTCCTAGCAACAAACAGTTGATGGCCTTGCTCTACTGAGACACATTTATCAAATTCAGAAAACATGTGTTTTCTTTCAGCTGCAGTAAAAGAGAGCACCAGCCAGTCAGTCCTGTGGTCAAAAGAATTATCAACAGAATGAGGGAGCCTATGGCATCAGCGTTATTTGTTATCTCACCAGTTGCTGACATGTGCAGCAATGCATGTTTGCCAACTTGACTGTTTGATGCAACACTCTGGCCCCTGTGCACTGACTTCACATTCTCTTGTGGTTCTGAGATTTAGTTTGTGCTGCAGTGCATGAAATTCAACATCATATTTGTAACACAACATGTTGACTTGAGAACAGTGTGACTGGTGCTTTGCTGCCCCGGCCATTTTTTGTCCTGCCCCTAGAATGTCACGGCCTTTCCTGAGTTTTGGAGTGTAGGGCTCGGCAATATAGTAATATATCGTCCAAAACTGATTTGAAGTCCCTGTCTTGATGCTGACAAGTCTTGCATCAAGGTGGAGGAGTTCATTGTTTGAAATGGTACTTTGCTGGTACTCTTGAGATGCATTTGAAATAGTACATTGCTGTGCCTCTATTGGAAAGGAAAAGTCTGTCTTATCTCCCATTAGGACACTTACAAATTGGAGTAATTATGGGTTGTCCAGAAAGAATGGAGGACTCTGATATTCACAAGGTTTCTCTGGATTGTGGGAAAAGTAATGTCTTTCATGCACCCTAGTGCAAGACATGCAGTTCGCAGCACAACCTAAGTCAAAGTTTTTAATACAATTTCTCACCAAAGACTCTTGAATAACTAACAAAAAGAAGTGCTACTTTACACTGTGCACAGTACAACTATGGAATTCACTCCTACAAGATGAGGTGGTGGCCACCAACTAAAAGAGAATTAGACATATTCATGGAGGTTTGGGTGATCTGTGGCTACTAATCATGACTTCAAGGATAAGCAGTTGCTAGGAATCATGAGTGCTATTGTGCTCATTTTCTGGCTTGTGAACAGACACAATGAGAACAGGCAGCTAGACTAGAAGGACCTTTGGTCTGATCTAGCAGGGCTTTTACCCATTTTCATTTGTTGTACTATGTGGAGCTGCCCTTGAAATGATTGCAGCTAGTGCATAAGGAAGGCAGCTGCTGGAGGTCTAATAGGCCTAACAACTTGGGACTGTGGAATGACAGTGCTGGGAGACCTGCACTGTCTGCCTTTTCATATGGAGCCCTATTAGAAGTGATGGTTTTGACATATAAAAAAGCCCTGAACAGCTTAGGACCAAATTACCTGAGTGAATGTGTTTCCCATACTGTACTGCTGGTGCTTTGAGAATCAATTGGAGGAACCCCCTTTTTCTGTAATCTGCAGGTCTAGGAGTTGACAGGGGCTTTCTCAGAAACGACAACTTTATTACAGAACATCCTCCATCCTGGGGCTTTGACTGCCACTGATATCATCTGACTGTAGGCACCAGCTGAAAACCTCCTTTCACTAAGCTTTTAAAGGTATTTTTGAAGATACTGGCCAGCACTGTAGAATGGATAAATGGAGTGGGTTTCCCCCCAAAAAATGAAATTGATACTTTACATACATTATGAAGTAACCTGGGATGAATGATTAGATATAATATACTTCTGTGTGACCATGCTTTTATTTCCATCCCTTCTTGGCTGGAAAAGTAAATATAGTAGCCAAACAGAATCCAGGCAACTATTGTGCCACTTGGGAGAGACTGAAGATGTTTCTAAGGCAACTCTCTTAACAGCAGTTCCCAAGGACATATGACACCTCTATGAGGAGGAGGATTGTATTGCAGTTATGTTAAATATAGTTGCAGCTCCCAAAGAGAGTCTCTGTATTTGTTAAGCAACCTGACAGGTAAAGAGAGGATTTTTTTTTTTTAGTTTAGTTGCAAATGTAAACTTCTGCAGATTAGGAAAACTTGCCTTGACAGCGTAGTTCTTGAAATCCTAGGTACTCACACTTTTCAGCAGAATAGTAAAAAACAAAGGCCCAATTGTGGAAGTACTTGGAATAAGATAATAATAATCATTATCGTCCTTATTATTAATGCTAAGAGACGGTTTTCCCAAGCAGCCCCTTTTTGTGGTTGCTGGTTTGAGGTTCTTTTGGTCTCAGATTGCGGTTTTGTTATTTTTACCTTTGTTTTTGGGCCAGCCAAGAGCAGCCAGGTGAGAGGGAAGGAGGAAGGGACTCAGAGAGATGGGAAGGAGTATACAGAGTGGCGTCCGCATGAAAGGGGGGCACCCCCACTCTAGAATTAAGTGGGCAAGACTGGGAGGGGACAGCCAAGCCAAACCTGCAGCAGAGGTTGGGAAGTTCTCCTCCTAGTATCCTTTCTGCAACGCACCAGGGAACAGTTCCAGACTGTGTGCTGCCATTGCCTCCTGTCCACACTCCCCTCCCTCATCAGCTGACCTGCCTTCTCCCCATTCTCTGACAGCCGTGGGGGGGGGCCTTTGCTTCTGTGGTACTGCACGAACAAGCTGGCTCGCAGTAGCTGAAGACTCTGCATGTTGCTACCGCGCAAGCCAACTGCCCCATGTTGCAGTGCAAGCTGTAGCAGTTCCAATTGGGCAGTAACAGCCACTTTACTAGAGAGTCATGCAGGGCGACATTTCTCTCCTCCCACACCTTAAAAAAAATAGATACCTAACAAAGCCCTATTACCATTGAGTAGAGAATGTTACACATGGAAAATTAGGACAAGGGATGATGATGATAACGACCTAAAAAAAGTATTTTAGCTGCATGACCCTGCCCTTAGGAAGTATGCATTTATTCATTTATGGAATTGGTGGAGGCAGTAAGTGTGGGCATTTGGAGATCAGTGGTGGCCAGCATAAGTCTTTGCTTCAATGTGAATTCTAACCATATGTGAAACTCTTTTGACGGCATCCACACTGTCAAGAGTTTTCTGGCACTGAGCATATCATTAGTGGAATCATGAGCATAGGACAAAATACTAGAGAAATGTTAGGCTGCCTCAATCAGATTTTATAGAAATCCATGCTACAATCCTTAAAACAATCCTACATAGGAAATGGTCTGCACTTAAGGGAGCTAACCGAGCAACACTTGATATTTGCTACCTTTTTGGAAGCAGAAAGGACATGGCAATGAGCCCAGCTTTGGCTAGGGAGGGCGGGATATAAATAAATAAATAAATTATTATTATTATTATCATCATCATTATAGGATTGGTCAATAGGTGATAGTAGTAGTAGTAGTAGTAGTAGTAGTAGTAGTAATTATTTATACCCCACCCTTCTGGCTGGGTTTCCCCAGCAGCTCTGGGCGGTTTCCAACAAAAGATTAAAAATATATTAAAACATCAATCATTAAAAACTTCCCTAAACAGAGCTGCTTTCAGATGTCTTCTAAACGTCAGATAGTTGTTTATTTCTTTGACTTCTGATGGGACGGCGTTCCACAGGGTGGGCACCACTACCGAGAAGGTGACTACTATACATACAAGCTTCTTGCACCCAGAAAAGAAGGGAGCTGCGGTATCAGTTAAATAAGGAGAAAATAGATCTACATCCGTGGATGTTTTAGTCAATTGTTGGCGAGACAGTGCTAACAAACTCCACTGCTGCTATTTCTGATCTAAAACTTCCAGTCAACTAAAGCTCCTAGTCTTCTTCCTGAGTAGTTTCTCCTCAGTAAATCTTCAATACCAGTAGTTCCCCAACTTTCTCCCCACCACCACCACTTGAAAATTGCTGAGGGTCTTTGGTGGACCACTTAATTATTTTTCTGGTTGTTGTAAACATTAATAATGTGCTGTGTTAGAAGCTGTTATGTACAGTGGAACCTTGGTTCTCGAACTTAATCCGTTCTATGAGTCCATTTGACTCCTGAAACCATTTGACAACCAAGGTGCGGCTTCCGATTGGCTGCAGGAGCTTCTTGCACTCAAGTGGAAGCCGCATCGGACACTCGGCTTCCAAAAATCATTAGAAAACCAGAACACTTACTTCCGGGTTTTTGGCATTTGGGACCCAAAACGTACAAGTACAAAGGCGTTTGAGAACCAAGGTACAACTGTATTCGAATTCCTCCTTTTATTTTGTATATATTGTATTTTATTGTATTACAATTTGAACTCAGTGTGCGGCTCGCAGGTTCTGTGTCAAAGTACTCCTGCAGCCCAACCCACGTGGCCTGAGAGGCTGGACTGTCCTAGAGAAGACTATGTTGTAGTCACACCGGCCAGCTCCTATATAGGTGTTGCCACAAACCTTTGCCACTACAGATTGGCTGCCCAGTGCCTGCCTAGAAAACACTACCTAGAAAGTGGTTAACAATGAGAGAGCAGAACTACACGGTAGCTAGTTAACATCCTACCCACATCTTTGGAAAACCAGTAAACATTTGCTGGGCTGGGCATTTGCAGTGAGAATGGTAGGAAGCAGAAAGCTTATGCACCTCCTTCCATCTCCACACCACTGCAACTGCCAACCCTGTCACTGCTTTGATGTTACAAGAAAACACAGAATTAAGACCACCACATTTCCCGTTGTAATATATAATTACTTCCAGAGACCTCTAGAGACTATTACTGAGGGAAATGAAAGGAAGTTTCTAAAACATAGAACACTCAATTAAATTTTTGTTTTCTAATGCTAGAGAGAGAAGACAAACTCTAAAACAAAACCTTGCAGCATCTTTTCGTTATTTTAGACACATAAGGCTAGAACAAAATTCAAAAACTAATAAAATAATAAGTAATTTTGTTGTCCCCGAAGGGGGCAATGACAATAAAGATATTATTATTATTATTAAAATATTTAGCTATCAGATACTTAAGAAATGCTATGCCTGCCAGACAAGAACTGCAAAAATGGGAATTTTAGCATTCTTCCTTAATTAACAAATAATGAAATTAAAAATTAAGACACAAAGACTGGTGAACAGTTTGTGTACATCTTAATTTTATTAAAATTATTATTGCTGAGAAATGTGTTTTTTCCATCTGAAAACTGTGTGCACATTTTAGTTTGAATGTCTAGGATTAATCACATGGGATCAGATCTGATTTGCACTGCATTATCTGTACAGGCCCAAAGTTAAGACTGAAAGCCTGAGGACAGGGACTGTCTTGTTGGGTTTAACTAAATGATCTGTAAGCTGCTCGGGAAGTCTTAGCTTATGGGCAGGATAAAAATCCTTTAAATAATTAAAGTGAAGCCAACAATCATTCAATCCAGCAATTCACAACTTTTTAGTAGGCACAATCTGTCTTCACATATATCCTTCCTCCCACAAAAAGAAGGTTCCTTGCCAATCACAACCACCTGTAACTGACAGGTGCTTTGGCCACAAGTGAGCCGCATTGTAGTAGAAGTGGAATGCTTTGCACTTCCTGGGAGACACCCTTTCACCACCAATGGACTATCCTGTTCATTTCCACGCATTGAAATGCTCCAGGGACTCGACTAGTAAGAAGGATGCAGAACAAGAATCCGTGCAACATGTGGTCGAGCCATCAACTGTGGAAATCAGAAATCAAATGTGGTTAAGATACTGAGAGCCATTGCATTAAACAGATGTAACAAGGAAAATTACAAAGCCAGCCTGCTCTGACTTACTTTAACTGTTTATTAGGTGTTCCCAATTTAATTTCTTTCTAATATATAAGGTTCCACACATTAACTCACCTGCTTGCTACTAGCAACCACCCTCCCACATCTGAAGAGCATCTCTATAAATGTGAACTGTGTGAAAAAAAAGCTTCATGCAAAGCCCTACTTTACACCAAGTAACCTACACTGTGGAGAGGCCGTACGTGTACCAAGTATGTGGGGAGAAAGGCTTGTTACAAGGAAAAGCTTGCTGAACATGGAAGAACCCATGTGAGGCCTTATAAATGCTCAGAACGAGGGCAGAACTTAAATTACAGCACCAGCCTTCAAGCACACTAGAGAACCCACATAGGGGAGAGGCCATACGAATGCTCGGACTGTGGCAAGAGGTATACTTTTCATTCCAACCTTACTGTGCATCAAAGAACCAACACTAAACAGAAGCCTTTTAAATGCTCAGAATGTGGACAGAGCTTCTGTTGAAGAACATCCTTAAAGTGTATTAGAGAAGACATACAAGGGAAAATCCACACAAGTGCTCAGAATGAGGTAGGGGGTATAGTTCTCAATCAAACCTTGTTAGACATCAACTCATCCACATCACGGAGAGGCCTTATAAATGCTTGGAATGTGAGCAGGGCTTCCAGAGCAGCACACAGCTTATTGCACACCACAGAACCCATGAAGTGGAGAGGACATAAGAACACTCAGACTGCGACAAGGGATTTACTTCTCCATTTGATCTTATTAAACATAAAAGAATGCACACTGAAGTAAGACCTTACAAATGCTCAGAATTTGGCCTTTTAAATGTGTTGCGTGAGGAGGGGTTATTGATTTGCTTTTGTTTTTATTATGTATTTTAATGTTGTGATCTGCCCTGTGATCTTCAGATGAAGGGCGGTATACAAATTTAATAAATATAAATCAATCAATCAATCAATCAATCCCTGCTTTTCCATTCATGAGACATTAACTACCCTGCCCTTTTCTCCCCATAAAAGTTTAATGAGCAAAAGCTGTGAGTTCTGTCCCACCTCTGGGTTTTGTAGTAAGTAAAAAAACAGAAAACTACTCCTTTCCCCTCCCCTTATATCCCCAGCTTTAGTTACTATAGGATTTTGCAGCTTTTCTTACTATAGGATTACCAACATTTCCACAGAGAATTGGGAGGAAGAAAAGGAGACATGAATCCCTTTCCCCATTAGAAATTTGCAGAAGCTGGCAGTGCCAGAACCCATTTCTCCATTTGCAAAAATCTAGCAGAAGAGCAAGCAAGCACTTGCTCTTCCTAAATGTATCTGCAAATTCCAAAGGTCTGTTACAGGGAGAGTTCTATGAAGATTACAAACAATAATTTAACTAGTAATCCAAGTCAAAATTTGCAAACCTTCAACTGTACAAACCTGTTTTCAATTCTGAAAATTCTTAATTACCAGCTAACAAACTATAAACTAGTGGTCAGTGTTATTATATGCCTTCATTGTTACATGAGGAATTATGATGATTAAGTTTCAGTGCAGCACTTGATGAGCAACCTAAGTTATCTGTGTATGGTATAATTCTGTGACAATTGGGAAAGAAATCCATTTCTGAACCATCTATTTTATAAGTACTGGTTTTCTGGATAAAATGAAAGCATTTGTTGACATCAGACCAAAGTTAAAATCTCTTATAAATGAGATTTAATCAATCGTCACTTTTATTACCACACAGTAAAAACAGGTGTCTGATTCTAGGCTGCTATTTAAAACTTGAATCAGTTTTTTACTTCTATGTACTTTGAACAAAATATTATTTGATGACTGGACAGGATTTTTATCCCATGAGTAATGTTCCAAAGCATGTATGACATCAACAATAGGATAAAACATTTCAACAGGAAACAAAGGGCTGAAAAGTGTTGAAAAGCTTTTATTTTGCATAGCTTTTAACCCCACAGGTGTTGCATGCATTGAATTCTGATTGTTGCATGCAATTTAATAGCTAGGTTTTGAGAAGAGGATATAATTACAAGCAATTTCTCAAAATGAAGAGAATTGTCCACTATTACATTACTAGTTCTATGAAAACCTTCAAAAAGGCTTTTATATTTTCAAAGGTATCCAGATTGCAAACTTACATTTATAATTTAGCTTGTGGTTATTTAAAAGTTAGCATTCCAAATATATTTACAACTTGGAGAACACACACAAAACTCCCACCATCCTATGCTCCAGCCCCTACTTGCTGGGCAAAGCATTTTTCATGGAGCAGAACATCTACATCAATTCATTTCCAAAGATGCTCCATCAGTATCTCAAGTTCAATACAAGACGACACACTGGAAGAAAGCCACTTCACTTTTCTTATGGATATGACTTCCATTTAAAAACCAACCAACCATATGTGCACTAATATCTGTGCATTGTGCAACTGCCTCAAGACTGCCAGACTTCTTCAGCCAGTCTTGTTCCTCCTGCAGATTTCAGAAACTAAATCTTCTACATACAACAGTCGTAGCAAACCACTAAGAAATAGTCCTGCCCGTTTTGTGAATTGTGCCAAAGTAAAAAGACATGCATTCGCCATGCATTATGGATTTATTTCAGTACAGCCGGTAATACAGGTTTTCTTTCCTAGAGATACCAAGGGGAAAAAATCACTGTGGTGAAGGCAGCCTTTAAGTTCACATGTTCAAGCCGCAAAACAGCCTCAGCCTTTAAGGAAAATAATAATAATAATGTACCTACTCTACATGCAGCTATTAATCCTATTTATTTCCAGTATTCAACTAGCTTCCCAATCTACAGTCAGAGTCCAATTCTGAAGAGAGGCTAAAAATTAATCCTAAACTGAAGAGCACAATATTTTGCTTTTTTAAAAAGATCTTCGGTGTCTTTTTCTTTCTTTCCCAGAAACACAGGGGAAGAGAGTAGAAGAAAGGACCACGCTGCTGCCCAGATCACAGAGATTGCAAGGAGAGCTTTGCCCCTCCTCCCTCTCTCCCTCGAGCCCTCCTGGCGCTGCCGGCTTGGCTGCTTGTCGAAGAGCCCACGTTTGGCAAAATCTTTTTTCCCCTTCCTTTTTTGCCTTGCACCTTCCAAGGCACAGCCAGTCTGCCGCGTTCGGATTGTGCGGATTGAGATGGCGGTGCTAGGATCTGGAAGAAGCCTTGCTTTTATTTGTTTTGTTAAGAGAAGAAGTCATCCCACGCAAAGAACACACACAAATTCCGGCTGGCAGCCGAGTCCAGAGGAGGGAGGGCTTCGCTATGGGGCGTGGGGAAGGGAAGGGCGGCGGAGGGACGTTCAGCCACACAACAAAGCCTTCGACCTCAGCCCGGGTGAATCACCAGAGACAGAGAGAGGAGCTCGGCCAGCCCAGGTTGAGACCAGTCCGGTTTGAGCGCGCCCTCGCCCCCCCCAACCCAACCAAGGAACAAAGCCCACAAAAAAGGTTTTAAAAGAGAGAGAAGTTGCACACATCACATTTTAAAACATTATAGCTACGTGGGAAGCCGCCAACAGGCGAAGTACTTCGCGCCAAGCACAGACGCTCGTATCTCTCTTTTTTATCCATAGTTCCGAAAACATTTTTATTTCAGAAAGTGCGCGCGGGTATCTGTAGGCAATACTTTGGAGCAGCCCAAGCACTGAGTGACTGAGGACCTCCAGTCATAGTTCGCGAAAATCAGCCCCCGCCCGCGCGTGCTGCCCACCGCGACTCCGACTCTTTGTTCCCCCACCTCCTCCCGCGGAGACCGGCAGAAGAAGCGCCCGGGAAGCGCGCGCGGAAGGTGGGGCGGGGGCCGCCACGAAGCGGGGCGCAGGGAAAACAGGGCCGGGGAAGCGAAGCGAAGCGGGGTGGGGGGGAGGAAGCGGGGTCTCTTTCCCCTCAGGGCGCCGGCTCCGTCGCCTCCTTTCCTTACCTGCGCACAGAAACAGGAGACTCCACAGCAAGCGCGCCAGCAGCAGCCACTCCATGGCGGGGACAAGTCAGCCGGAGAAGCAGCAGCAGCAGCGGCGACTCCCGAGTAAATTCCCGGCGGACACTCTGCGGCCCGACCCTCGCAAGCCCAGCAGGTGAAGCGGCCGTCACTTCCGCCTGACCACGGCTCCGCCGCCGCCCGCTCCGCTGCGCTGGCACAAATGGGAGGCTGAAGCAGGCGCTGGACTCGCCGCGGAGGACGGGCTTCCCCGCCTGCGCGTCTGACTGGGCTGAGCTCACACCCACCTACCTTGCAGCCTCCCACCGAGCAAGCAATGCCCGCCGGGCGAGGCAGCGCCGCGCACACCCCTGCGGACACTTTCAGCGCGCGCGCTCTTCTCTCAACAATGGCTGCAAGAGCTGCGCGGCTGCTTCTTCACCTGGGAGTAAGCCCCGTTGAATTCAATGAGATCTACTTCTGAGTAGACATGGCTAGGGTTGCTTGCTCCTTAGCACCTTAAAAAGAAAAGAGAACGGTGTGAGTTCCCCTGTCCCTTTTCGATATCTTGTTTATGAGTGAAGTGGGGCCATTCCAATTTCCATTACGGAGTGCGAGTTCGATTTATTTCCCGCAGAATCCCCATGTTTTGTTTTTTGCCCATGTGACACTCAGGTAGGCATACTCTAATTAAGCTGTAGTTGCTACAGCAACACTCCCAACCAAACAGCACAAAGACCCACACTCAACACCATTTTAACTAAATTTACATAAGGCACTGTAGCCCTGGGAGGTGCATAGGGGTTTTCAGCACCCTTAAAACAAGCTATAGTTCCCATGATTTTTTGGGAGGAGCCATAATTATTGAAGTGTCATAATAGTACTTTAAACGTATGGTGTGGGTATGACCATAAATTAAGGAACAGGGTCTTCTGAGCACATGTTGGCGTTTGAATTCAGCCCCAGATATGACTGAAGATCTTGGGTTTTTTGCACATAATTCTGCTCCCAAGATACTTTGTACCCCTAGGCTAGGGGTCTGCAACCCGCGGCTCCGGAGCCGCATATGGCTCTTTTACACCTTTGCCGCGGCTCCGGGGCGGATACTAGTGAGAGGAGGAGGCGCATTGTGCGCCCCGACACTCCCCACTGTGGCAGGCGCTGTATTGGCTGTGACGTCGCATGGGGGCGGTGCGTGCGTTAGTCACACACCGTCCCGACGTCACCTTCCCGCCCGCCCGCTACATTGTAAGGGGCATGTACGCTGGTCACTGCATTGAAAGGGGGCATGTACGCTGGTCACTGTTTTGAAGGGGAGTGAAGAACACACACACACAAAAAGGTAACTTGTTAATTTAACGTTTATTTCTATGAGGAGGAGTAATTCTGACTGGTCAAACAAAGAAATAATAAAAAAAAGTGACAAAAAAAGTTATTTATGACGAGTTTTGCGGCTCCCAGTTGTTTTTTCTTCGGAAACGGGTCCAAGTGGCTCTTTTTGTCTTAAAGGTTGCAGACCCCTGCCCTAGGCAAAGGGGGGGGAAAAAGATACTCCACATATGGAACCCTGATATACTGATAGTTGACTCTTACCCCAGCACTGGCTATGGACAACATCTCCACAGCACCTGAAGACAGCTGATTAGTTTAAAGAGACACAGGGCAGGGTATAGCTCTACCTTCCAACACTTTGCCCATGCTACCTGCCCCATTAAATCTCCTGCCTGAGGCAGTTGTCTCATTCTGCTTAATGGTAAGGCCAGCCTTGTTGGCTTTCTTCATTTCAGCAGCCTAGATGAAAAAAGTTGTATTGTTGCAACTGTAAAGCAATTGGGAGTCAGAAACCCTTCCCAATCTATAGCAGATTATCAGGGATCTACCAGCTGATGCCAAAATACCTTCTGCCCATCCCTGCCTTAAGGAACTGTTAGGCATTTCCTCACTGAACCTGTTTAGTGAAAAAAGATTCCAGGTCTAAGGGAGCAATCCAGATCTTCTGCTCCTACTGCTGGGGCTTTTAAGAGAGCCGCATGGCTACTGCTGCATCTACAGCTCTACCTCTCATAGTGGCCAGGAGGGAAAGAAGGGGCTGAATAATCAGTGCAGAGATGCTACTACTACAGCAAGTGGGCCCACAGAACCAGTGGATCCCAGGCCAGCTCATCCTCTCCTTCTTTCCTCCAGAACACCTCATTTGGGGGGTTTCTGCTGCCTACCCTACCAACAGCACTCCTACCCACAGATAGGGTACCCACATTCTGCACTGGCAGAATGACACCTGCATTGCTCCACCAACAGGTCTGTTTAGTCAACAGAACTGGGCGGAGGGAAACGTCCACCCAATCCAACCCTCCTCCCCAGCCAGCATAAGAGGAGCTTTGATTGCTCTGTTAAACCCCAACACACTTGCACTTGTCAACCACTTCAGTGGATTTGCAGAGCCAACCAACACTCGTGTTAAACAGTTGCAGTAACAGTGCATTAGAAATGTTATCATACTCATTGTGAGAACTCAAACGTTTAAAAACTAGAGCTGCTGATTTGTCTGAACAGTTCTAAACTCTGATCAGGACTTCAGGATTTTATACAGCAGTGTGGTCTATTTACAAGCCTTTATTATTACTTACTTACTTACTTACTTACTTACTTAAAGTCTTGGCTCTCTCCATAGAGCTCAGGATGTCATTTTCACCTTAACAGCAGTGCTATGAGGTAGACAGATTGAGCTGCAATGACTTGTGTCAGGCTATGCTGTTATGGTTGTAACTTGTTTGTTTGTCTGTCTGTCTGTATAGTTCAGCATTATAACCTTCCCTGGGACCTGATAGTAAAGAGCAGGTAAGAAATCTAATAGGTAAAAGAATAAGGTTAAAGGCCAACATTAGCCACTACATTAACAAAAGAAGGATGATAATGTCCATTGGAAAGAAGGATTAGGACTGGAATGTGTTTGCATGTGCCCAGTTATCTCCATTCTCAGAATAGACACTGAGCTTGGCAAATATAATTTTGCTGACAAGTAGATAGAGATAGCTGATGGTACATTGTTAACTAAACCTTGAACATTTGAAGTGTATTTGTGTTTTAAAATGTTATGAGAAACAGTTTAATAGGAGTTTGCTTGAGAAGGATAGTTTATTAGGAGGAAGGATTGCATAGCTGTCCTTTTCCCTTTTTTAAAGGGAAATTCCTTTATTCCGAATAGGATTCCTCGCAAGAAAAGGGAAAAGTTGACAGCTATGGGATTGTGTATTAATTGAAGAGATTTCTTCATTCTGTCACAGGGGGTCAAACCCTATTCTAATTGTGATATGTTTTGAACAATTATAAAGCATTCAGCTGAAAAAGTCCCTCAGCTACAGCAACTCCTTAAATTCATGTTTGCGAACTCCCTAACTCTCCTATAACAATTTCATATTGTAGTTCAAGCGACTGATTATTTAACTATGCCAAAATCCACCCACAAAACTGAATACCTCAACCAGTAATAATTTATTATGAAACAGTGTGCTATGGTTAATTGGAAGTGCTTTGGCTTGCTGTCAAGAGTCACCTGCAACTACTCCTTTATAAACACCCTCACAGAATGCTCTTTGCTTGGGGTGGCCCACTGTCTACGTGGATTGATTTCTGGAGGCTGATTGGGTCTACTTTATGGCAAAATGTTGAACTACAGTGGTACCCCGGGTTACATACGCTTCAGGTTACATACGCTTCAGGTTACAGACTCCGCTAACCCAGAAATAGTGCTTCAGGTTAAGATCTTTGCTTCAGGATGAGAACAGAAATCGTGCTCCGGCGGCGCAGCAGCAGCAGGAGGCCCCATTAGCTAAAGTGGTGCTTCAGGTTAAGAACAGTTTCAGGTTAAGAACGGACCTCCAGAACGAATTAAGTACTTAACCTGAGGTACCACTGTATATACAGTGTCTTTTTTTAAAAAAAATCCTCACAGAATTTAAAAAGAAAAGCTATTGTGAGGAAATGGGAGTAAGGGAATAGCTAGGTACTTAAGGGCCCAGGCATGACACAAATTGGTATAAAATACCCATATATTAATTTATATGGATAGATGTCTCTGAGCAAATGAAAAAGACAGGTAGCTGGAGTCTCACTAGTACAATTGTATCTTGGTTTTCAAACAGCTTAGTTCCTGAAGGTTTTGGCTCCCAAACGTCGCAAACCCAGAAGTGACTGTTCCTGTTTGCGAACTATTTTTGGAAGCTGAACATCCAACGGGGCTTTCACGGCTTCTGACTGGCTTCCTGCAGCCAATCAGAAGCCGTAATTTGGTTTTTGAACGTTTTGGAAGTCAAATGAACTTCCAGAACGGATTCCGTTCAGCTTCCAAGGTTCAACTGTACTTTGCTTCGCAGGATGCTCAACTGTTCTGCAAGTAAACTATTTTAAAAATATGTTTTTAAAAAGGCAGAGAGCGGACCAGGAAATGTGAGCTATGGTGCAAAAGACCTTGTGGGGCCACCCCCAATAAGGTCCCTGCATGGAAGAAATCCTATGAAGAGGAAAGATCTGAATTAAATTACGCATACACTAAAGGAGGATTTACCCAATACACAGAGTTCATGAATTGTAAATTACAGACAGCATGGTGAAAAAAGAGACACAATTGTTCAGGGAAAGTAACAGCATGACACTTTGAACAGCATGACACTTTGAAAAACTGAAGTGGTATCACAACTGATGAATTCCATGTATTTGGATTGTCTTTCACAAGCATCATTTTGTATTTCTGCTGAAGGCATGGGACTTTGTCTAAAACATGCAAGTGTCTCAGGAATGGGGTTTTAGTTAAATTGCAGTGGGAAGAAACAGCATTGTACAGAGAACAATGTGACTGTGGTTACTAAAATGAGTTTTAATGACTGGGCAGAGTCTGAGAGTATTCCTTTGTAGTATCAATCTAGCCCTATTAACCCAAGTTAATTTATGCGTTCTATGGACATTAATAGAGCCTATGGGCTGTTACCTAAGAGGGTGTATTTTCTTCTTGCTAACAAAAAGGTGGTTATTAGTCACTTGCTGTGGTAGATGGCTCCCACTGATGAGAATCATGATGCCTCCATTTCTGCTGAAATAATGAATATGTAAATGTGCCCTATATCTTTTGAAATCATTAGGTATATTACCATAGATAAAGCTACAGCTTTTACCTGCCAAATCTGAGTCTCTGTTTTCCTGGTAAAATTACAGGGGACGCAGTAGATGCATGTCATTTTTTCCTTGAGAGTACAATTGAAAGTACTGTTTACCCTTTACAAAGGCAATCACTGTGCTTAACAGCTTCTTCAGATTTTCCTCCAGATCAGGCAAAACAAATGTTTGTGTAAGGGGTTATTTATATATTTAGCATTGCTTTTTAAAAGGTATGTTTTCCTCCCAAAAGAAAAGTCTGGTAGATTACAATAAGCACTTGTGGCTTGCCAAATTAGACTGATCATGAGTCTTTGTTACTAAGCAAGCCCTAAAGCCAACGTCTTTTTAGCCATTTTAGAAACAACATGAATCTCTTTAACTTGGATAAACAACAGATATTATTGTGGCACCTTGAAGAGTAAAAGTTGTATCCATGACTAACATAGGTCCATTAGTTTCAGTGTCTACTCTGAGCAGAACTAATGCTGACTACAACCCTAACACATTTACTATAGCATAAATTTCAGTTGATTAGTGCCAACCATCAGATTAAATTTACAACAGTGTAGCCAACATGGTGTGGATGTTCCTGGTCTGCAACTCCCTTTGGCTTCAGCCAGAATGGCCAATGATCGGGGCTGATGGGAGCTGTGGTCCAGCAAAATCTGGGCAGCTATCCCTGGTTTGAGACATTTGCTAGTCTTTATCATAGAATCAAAAAATTTTATAGTTGTGTTGCAATAAAACTTGTTGCTGTTTTTGGCATTGCAGCCTAATATGGCTACCTATCTGGAAATTTCAACCTGCATCTGTTCTTTAAGCAAGGAATTTAATTTATTCGCTTGATGTGAACTATTTTGCATATTGCAAAAGGGAAAAATAGGAGAGAGGAGAAATCAGTATCTCTGTACTGAGATATCTGCCCCCATAACTACCTTACCTTAATAATTGGTGTGCTCTGAGTTCAGATCAGTCCTTGGACAGTGGGAACACTAGGAGGCAAGACACATTGATTTCCCAGTACAAATGATTATATGCATACAGTCTAGGACCTTGAACACTATTTGTGTCAGCTGCTAAGGAGAAGAGAGATGTGGGTAGCCAGTAAAGCCATCTGCATGTTTCTTGTTGAAGTTCCTGAGCTTCCCCAGGACTGGGAAGGGGAGAGGAACACAATCTATGGCATACTGCCATTCTCTTTTCCTTTGTGTATGTATTGTGCTCCATTCTGAATGTGGATAAGAAATGAGAGTCATTTGCTATGGATGCTTGTGACACCACTCAGGGTGAGAGCCTGGGTGTTTAGAGAGTGGGGGTGAATTACGTTAGGCAGGTTTGCAGTGGTATTTTTCTATTTAATATGAGTGATCATACATGATTGGAAATATACATTTGACTATACATCACTCTCCTTGATGTTCTGAAGACCAGTAGTAGTCTAAATTTGTTTTTATAGACTAGATGAGTGAAAAACCTGGTTGCGTGGCCTGTTGACATAAATTGTACATGATGGAATAGTTAATCAGGTAATTATACCCTGCACAGAAAAATAAAAAGCTATCTTTGTTAGATTGGTGGTCTTCATGTTTATGCAACATAACACCACCTAGTAATTTTATGTAATACTATACAGCATTTTGGAAACTGAAACTCTTGTGTTTAGACTTCACAGATCTGCTCCCATGAGTGAATGGGAAATGATATTCCTGTTGGCTTGAAATGAGATCTTTGTATCTCAGCAAGTCGCTAAAATTAAGAGGCTTTATGGAAAAAAGATGAAAGCTAATTGAATTTAGTGCAGTCTTTTCTTCTTTACAAAATGGTTTAGACAAGATATCTTTAGGGGGCTTAAATCTGTAAAATTATGTGAACCTAAACATCAACATCATTGTTCATTATTAAATTGCTTATTGTAGCCATCATGGTCACTTATACATCATGTTCAAAAAAAGGGGAAATACTATTGCTTCCCTGTTCTCTGACGAACCAGTACAGCCATTGCTCTGGAAAGTCAGTGAAGGTAATTCCTTTCTGACTTTGATAACACACACACACACACACACACAGCTGAAGGAGAAAAAGAAAACTTCTATTCCTAAAGCCATACAACAAGGGGAAACATTTTAAAACAAACTTCTACATAGAAAGCGAGGGACAAACACAAGTAAGGAAAATGGGGAAATGAAGGTATAGGAGCTTTGTGGGTTGCATAAAATGAAGTTTGGAGCCTGTGGTCTGATTACTCACCTGTATTCTACTCAGTCTACTCTCATGTCTATTCAGGTTACTCTCAAGTGTGTGATACAGGCATTGGCTCTCCTGCTGTCTTTTTTGACTGGCTAAATGATGAACACTACTGGAAGAGAAAGGTGTCTGAATGGTTTTTAATGCCTAATGGGAAGCCATGAGTGGATAAAGGCACATCTGCATGGTACATATTTGGGGGATTTGATGAACTTCTGCTTCACAGACAGGTTGCTTATACTTGGTCATACAGTTGAGAGGAACAGCAGTGGAAACACAGGTGTCCATCCTGTCCCCATCCCCTGAAAGTATGAATGTCCTGTGGAGAAAAAGTACTTGTCATATTGAGGGAGATGTGCCTTCCAGCACTGCACTGCCAAAAAGCAAAAGAAGAAAGTAAGAGTCTGAGGTAAGAAGAAATGGAATGACTTAGTTTTAGGCTTTTGAAGAGGAGAGTCTTTCTTTACTCTCCCAGGAAAGGGGGGAGAAAGAGAGAAACAAGCAGCAGCATCTCTCAGGAGAACACAGCTCCATTAATATTGGCTGCAATACTACACACCAGGCATAGGCAAACTCGACCCTCCAGATGTTTTGGGACTACAACTCCCATCATCTCTGACCACTAGTCCTGTTAGCTAGGGATGATGGGAGTTGTAGTCTCAAAACATCTGGGGGGGCAGAGTTTGTCTATGCCTGATATACACAGTAAGGCACCATGGTGATTAGCATGGAGCAAGCATTAATTAAATAAACCCCACAGTGTTTCTGCAGTTGAACTATAGTTATCGAAACTCCGTACCTAAGAATAGGCATGAAAGCAAACCACAACTTGTCTATTCCAAGGAAAGGATCACGTGGTTAGAATAAATGATACTTGGCTCAGGTCTGATTATGATGAAACATCTTTAGAATCTGATGAATACTGTTGTGACGTGGGGTTTGTGATTTCAGCTCTCCTGATATAACATGCTGGAGACAGTTCTCTAGTAACACTTCTTTATTAAAGCAACAAGACTCAAGACTGGGGAGAGGAAAGCTACATTTATAGGGACAGGGAACTAGCAAGAAAGGATACATTTTGGAGGGAACAATATCACGCAATCACAGTCCTGCCTTTTGGAGGGAACCAATAAGACAGAGGATGATCTGGACTGCTCCCACCAGTGGACTGGTGCTCTGGCCACTTCTGGCCGCACCTCTTGGCATGCCTTGCATGTTCGTACCCATTGTTCTATGTTCTGGTCCATTCCAGGCCACCACACATAACATCGGGCTAGCGACTTCATCCTGACCATTCCCGGGTGTCCCATGTGAAGCGTCTCAAGAACCCTGTTTCTCAGTGGTGCTGGGATGATCACCCTATCTCCCCACAGGAGACAACCCTTATGCATGGACAACTCGTGCTGCCTAGTCGCATAAGGCCTGAATTTGTCTTCATGCGGACCACCTGGCCACCCCTCCCCACCCAAGTGAGCACACGGGAGAGAACAGCATCTTTCCTCGTTTTCTCAGCTATATCAGTAGCCGTTACAGGAGCCCCCGGAGTGTTTCCAGCATCATTATGTGCTCCGCTGGAGCAGGATCCTCAGTGCTCCCGCCAGGAAGGGGCAATCGACTCAGCGCATCCGCGTGGCACAACCGTTTCCCCGGCACATGGGTCAAGGTGTACTGGAACCCGTTCAGGAATATAGACCAACGTAACATTCTGGGGGAGAGAATTTGTGGCGTTTGTTTGTTCGGGTTGAACAACCCTAACAGTGGCTTGTGGTCCGTTTCAATGTAGAAATGGCGACCGTACACATAATCATGGAACTTTTGATTCCTGCCACAATTGCAAGCGCCTCTTTGTCAATTTGAGCATAGTTGCGCTCCGTGGGCGACAACGTACGGGAATAGAAAGAGATGGGCTTTTCCGACCCATCCGGTTCCCTATGACTTAGCACCGCCCCCAGGCCGTATTGAGAGGCATCACATGCCAGGACCAGAGGCTTTGACTCGTCATAATGAGCAAGGACACTCCTGCTACTCAGCATTCCTCGCAAGGAGTCAAAAGCCTTCTGCTGCCCCTGCCCCCATCGCCACACAGTCTTTTTCTGCAACAGTCTATGTAATGGTTCAGCTACCGAAGCTTTCTGGGGTAAGAACGAATGATAAAAGTTAATAAGTCCCAGGAATGACTGCAACTCCGTCTTGTTCTGTGGTCGTGGCGCCTCGATGATGGCCTTAATCTTAGCATCTGTGGGGTGGATGCCTGATGCATCAATTTTAAACCCCAAGAAATCCACAGTTGGCACCCCAAAACTGCATTTTTCCTTTTTCAGTTGCAACCCCACCTCCTTGAACTTGAGCAACACTGCACGAACACGCGCAACCAGTTCCTGTGGGTCTTTTCCAGCAATCAAAACGTCATCAAAAAATGGCAAGACCCCCGCAGACCTCTTAACAGGTGTTCCATGAGCCCTTGAAAAATCCCTGGGGCCACACAAACTCCAAATTGTAATCTGTTAACTCTGAACGCCCCTTTATGTGTGACAATAGTCTGTGCTTCCGCTGATTGTGGGGTTACTGGCAGCTGTTGGTAAGCTTGTGCCAGGTCAATTTTGGCGAACACCTTGCCCCCAGCCAGTTTAGCCAACAGATGTGATACGACTGGAATGGGGTATGAGTTTCCCTGAGTGCCTTATTGATAGTACATTTGTAATCTGCACAGATCCTGACTTCCCCATTTGCTTTAAGGGGCGTGACGATTGGAGTCTCCCACTTAGCAGAGTCCACGGGTGAGAGAACTCCCTGCTTGACCAATTTATCCAGCTCTGCTTCGATCTTGGGTTGCAGTGCAAATGGCACTCGCCTTGGTTTGAGCCGGATTGGGGCCACCCCAGGGTCCAACTCGAAGTCAACTGGGGGCCCTTTATAACAACCCAGTTTTCCATTAAAGAGACCAGCAAATTCTTTGCATAATGCCTCGCTCATCTCAGGGCAGGTTTGGATTGAATTAAGCCCTGATATACTCAGTCCCAGGGCGGGGAACCAGTCAGTGCCCAGGAGACTGGGGCGACTGCCCTTCGCAATCACCAGTTTGAGTACAGCCTGTTTGTCCCGGAACTGTACTCTCACGGCACACATTCCCATAACATGGATGCGGCCCGCTGAGTATGACTGCAAGGTTGCCGGGAAGGGTTCCAGAGGGGGCAACTTACCCCTGGGGAAGAATGTCCTCGCGGTCTGGTCCGACACGATAGTGAATCCAGATCCGGAGTCCACCTCCATGTCGCACTGCTGACCCTCAATCTTCACCTTGACGTGTGCCTTGCCTTGTGCTGGGAACTGCACGACCCTCCCGTTGATCTCCGTAACGTAGTGGCAGTCCTTTAGAAAATGGGTTGCTGCGGGCGGTCTGCGATGCTCCTGTCTAGGTGCTCCTGTCGCTCCCAACGCCGCCGATCTACAGACTCTGGCGATGTGACCTGTCTTCCCGCACGTCCGGCACATAGCATCCCGGAAACGACAACTCTTCCGCTCATGGTTTCCGCCACAACCTGGGCACCTGTGATCTTTGTGCACTGTGCAGGCCTGACTCACTGACTCGACCCCACGGACTGGGCTCTGGCTCGGAGTAGCCTCTAGCTCGTCCATGGCATGCGCAACTTCTATCTGTGGCTTAGGGGCCTTGCGACTGGCATCAAGCTCCTCTCTTTCATAATTCTCCGTGGCGGTGGCCTCCTTCAAGGCTGAAGCAAGGGTAACCTCTTCTTTAGCCACGATGCGTCTTCTGGCCTTCTTGCTGCTCAGACCACCGATAAACCGATCCAGGAGAGTCTCTTCCAGATTTTGGAAGTCGCAGTGCTGAGCGAGCTTCCGCAGTTCAGCCAGAAATGCAGATACAGACTCCCCAGCATGCTGCTGCCTCTTATGAAACTCCATCCGCCGAGCCATCTTGGTCTCAGTAGGCGCCAAGTGGCTTGTTAGGCAGGCAAGAATATCTTTGAGAGATGTCTCACTTAGCTTCGCTGGAGCAAGCAATGCCTTGGCCAGCTTGAAGGTCTCAGGCCCACAGTAGCTCAGGAATGTGGCCCTTCTTTTGCTGGCGTCGGTGATCCCTTGAGCCTCTGCGAAGAACTCGAAGCGTTCGACGTAGTCTTCCCACGTGTCGGGCTCTGATGGCTGGAAGGGCTCCAATACCCTTGGACTCTCCATTGTCCTGTGGCAGGGTCGTCTTCTCAGCTGGTCAGTGAGTCTTGTTCTTAGCTGCAATCCGGACTCTGAGGCAGGGCTGCGTTTAACCGCTCCTCAGCATTCCGGATCCCACCTTCGTCGCCAGTTGTTGTGACGTGGGGTTTGTGATTTCAGCTCTCCTGATATAACATGCTGGAGACAGTTCTCTAGTAACACTTCTTTATTAAAGCAACAAGACTCAAGACTGGGGAGAGGAAAGCTACATTTATAGGGACAGGGAACTAGCAAGAAAGGATACATTTTGGAGGGAACAATATCACGCAATCACAGTCCTGCCTTTTGGAGGGAACCAATAAGACAGAGGATCCAAATACAGCAGCTTAAATGAACCAATAGTAGCTGTACCCTCTGGAACCAAAAGGCAGTTACTTTACCCTAATGCAAATACAGACAATAATAATACAGATATAAAATCCTTTGACTCAATACACAACAAATACTTTACAAGAATTCAGTGTGAGATTAATAGGATAATGACTCCCTAATTACATAATTTCATAAAAGCCAAAGATGTAGTAAGAAAGTGAAGTGATCATATATCAGTCAAACAGTGCGGCTGAAAGAAGCAGAAATAAACAAGTCAATAGTCCATGGATCATAGTTTCAGAAGTGAGACTGTAGGCCGCAAGGCAAAGAAAACCTATGCGCACTTAATAGGAAGTAGGTAAAGGTAAAGGGACCCCTGACCATTAGGTCCAGTCGTGGCTGACTCTGGGGTTGCGGCGCTCATCTTGCTTTATTGGCTGAGGGAGCTGGCGTACAGCTTCCGGGTCATGTGGCCAGCATGATTAAGCTGCTTCTGGCGAACCAGAGCAGCACACGGAAACGCCGTTTACCTTCCCGCCAGAATGGTACCTATTTATCTACTTGCACTTAGACGTGCTTTTGAACTGCTAGGTTAGCAGGAGCTGGGACCGAGCAACGGGAGCTCACCCCGTCACGGGGATTCGAACCGCCGACCTTCTGATCGGCAAGTCCTAGGCTCTGTGGTTTAACCCACAGTGCCACCCGCGTCCCTAATAGGAAGTAGGTTTCACTTAAAGTCTCAGGCCAAGGAAACAAGCTAGAATTGGACTGTGAGCTAGAGAGGAAGTACAGCTGGTGGGAGGGACAATACAGTGCCCTTTCTACGACTGCATCCAGATTGCGAAACACCTTGCCCCATAAAGTGTGGTTGGCTCCCCTCTCCTTCCCTATTTTTTGCTAGCTACATAAAAACCTTTTTATTACAGTAGGCTTTTATTTTACGGGGCAGACAAATGTTTTATGCTTTTTTAAAAAAAATGTGGACCCTTTCTCTTTTTTGTAATTGTTTTATAGAATTTAAATGTTAACCTGTGTTACAACATATAAACCACAATGAGTAGTTTTTTGCACCAGAGTTCATTGGTACATATTCTTAGATAAGTGGGTATATGAATAATAAAACTGTTTAGCTATATCTAAATGTCACACATACTTTTAAAATTTGTGATCACCCATTTTCTTTCAAGAGTGTCACTTCACTTGTTTTACTTTATCAGGAACAGCCTATAAGTGCAATCTTATACATGTCTACTTAAGAAATCTTCTCAGAAATAAATACTATTAAGTTCAATGGCAGTTTCGGATAAGTTTGTATAGCCTAAGACACCTTGTTCTTTAAGCTGCTGCACCTGTCTTCTGAAATAACACCTTCTGAAACCCTTTACAACATGTGTATTTAAAGAGCAAGCTATGCAAACTGCTTTCAAAACATTTAAAACAGGTTGGGCAGGTTTCGACAGTCTGCTGTATTATGCTAACTCTGGAAAGCCTACTGCAAGGTTAAACAATACCTTATTTTGACAGATAAGGTTCCTTTTAAAGGGTTGCATAGTCCTTTACAGTGAACCTTTGTTCAAGCAGTTATTGAGGATAGGCAATGAGAAAGCAATGGAGATAATTTTTTTATACAAACTGAATTGTGAATCCCACCTTTAAAATAGCTCATTGCTGGTTTCTTTGTGCATTCTAATAATTTTATATTTTCTGAAATGACACATGGAAGAATCATTTTTAGTGGATTAGTAATAAGGAAGTGAAACCAATCCACAGTTCAAAATGAATGGTAAATAGATGTGTCATCAATTCTGCAAAAATGTTTCATTCCTTTCCTTCATAATTCTCAAGGCCCAAATGAGTTTCAAAATAGATCACAGTATATATGCCACCCTTCAGTTTACTTGTTAGGATCCAGGTTTGGGGCCAGAATTGGATTGCTAATTTATTAAACAATAGCCTTGCTGTATGTGCCAAAGTGATCAGGTCTGAGACACAGCCCAGTAGATTTCTTTACAAATAACAACAGCCTGAGGTCCTTCTTCACATTGGAATATATGGGCAAATAACCAGACCAAAAATGAAAGTTTAAAAGTTTTATTTCCTAATCAAAGTTTTACACAGCTAGGGTATCCGTTCCCTAACACAAAGTTATATTTATGAAAAGGGAAATAGACATTGTAGAGAAGATTTATCCTATCTAAGAAGACTAACCCTAAACACCTCCCCCCCCACACACAGAGCAAGGATGGAGTGATGGTCACACCAATTATCTTGGTCAGGAATCCTTGTAGCAAGCAAAAATAGGAAAAGGGTGAGGTGTGAGAAGGAAGTACAGTCATACCTCGGGTTACGGGCGCTTCAGGTTGTGTTTTTTCGGGTTGCGGACTGCCGAAACCCAGAAGTACCGGAACGGGTTACTTCTGGGTTTTGGTGGTCACGCATTTGCAGAAGCGCTAAATCGCGCTTTGTGCATGCGCAGAAGTGCCGAATCACAACCTGCGCAGATGCGCCGCTGCGGGTTGCGAACGCTGCGGGTTGCGAATGTGCATCCCGCACGGATCACATTCGCAACCCAAGCGTCCACTGTACTGCAGACACATTTCCTCTTTGGGAGTTCACCACATAGACTTCTCTGAACTGGAACAGAGAAAGAATTCCTTTTGTAGGTACATGGGTTGGAGAGCAAAATCCTACCCAACAGGATCAAGAATGGCATTGCCAAAATCTGTTTTCTAGCTATCAAAAAAGGTCTCAGTATTGATCACTTCACAAACATGGGAACATGAATTATGTAGGCCCAGAGTCTCCATATATGTTATTAAAATAGAAAATTTCAGGTTGCTTGTTCCAGCTTGATTTTCAAAGCTCATATCCACCAACCTTAAGACTCCTGTGGCACAATGGCTCAGTGCATCTGGCTGTTAACCAGAAGGTTGGTGGTTTGAGCCCACTCAGGACAGGATTCCTTTATTGCAGGGAGTTGGACTAGATAACCCTCAAGATCCCTTCCAACTCTACAATACTCATGATTCTATACTTCCGTGCTCTCAGCTGGTGCTCTCAGTCTCTGTAAGCAAAAGCCAATCAAACATACACACCCAAATGTATCCTTTCTACTATTTGGTTGTCAAGCACTTGTTATTTCCAACATTGAGCTGCAAAGTTTCATTATGCTAAATTTTCAGTCTAGCCAGGTTACAGACACTTATCTTTAAAATGAAAGGATAGGACAGAATTAAGAGTGTGGGGCTGTCTCTGAAGACAGTTCAGAAACTGGCTTGTGCAGAGTTTGGCAGCCAGGACAAAACAGTTTGAGCATGTTGCACTGATCCTGGCCTGACTGCACTGGTTGCTGGTTGTTTTCTGGGCCCAATTTGAGGTGCTGGTTTTGACCTATAGAGCCTATAGTGGAAGAGATTCAGAAGAGAGCTACAAACATTCTAAAATAGTTTGGAAAACAAGTTCTTTGGGCAAAGTTATCATGCCTCAGGGCAGGAAGTCAGACCTAATTATCAGATTCCTCCCATAGCCTCTGCTCCATCTAAAACGAAAGGCTCTACAATCCTGATTGCATCAGGAATGAAGGAAAGTCACTCTTTAGCATAGTTGCTCTGAAAACTGGAGTTGGGAATATTGATTTCTCCAGCCAATACAATGGCATGCATGCCTCTCTGTTTTCTAACAAGAAGATCAAATGTGCGATGTTATGGGTGTACAGTTAATACTGTGGACACTTTCCAGAATTGTTTTGCATTGTGTGAGATGGTTTCTCAAGCATATCTCCTGCAGCATGTTGTTAATTTACAATGAAATGGATGCAGATTCAAAATGGCTTGCCTCATAATAGCAGCACAGCTGGGAAACTGTACAAGCATGTGTTAAGATAACAGCTCTTTAGTCCTGCCTCTGAAGAATCCAGCACAATATGGTTCCTTATTGCTGTGTGCTATGGCTTATGTTAGAGAAGTAGACTGCAGTACTCTTCCGGCAAGTAGTCTATTCTTCTATGATTTTTATGATTTCTTAGTCTTAGAATTCCAGTCGATAATGACAGTTTGTTTCTAGTGCAGTATGAAGACCTGAGTCAATAAAAATAGTTGTACAAGCTAGCTTTGCTCATGTGCCTTTTTGTGTGGCAGCAAGCAACAAACATTCAACAATGCTTTTGTAAAACTACTCCAATTCTACCAACCTAAGCAAGAAGCTGTACTGTATAGTATGTCCTAAAGTCCCACAACTTTTCTTGTACATCTAATGTAAAAACCCATTCTCATAACCACACCAAAGGCAGATCAGATGCTACAGGGTTGTTTGGAAAATCTAAAAAATGATAATATATGTCGAAGGATATTTGCTCCAAGCCTTTCGCATTTGCTTTGTCCCTGTGATGCTTCAATGATAAAATGAAAAAAAGTGGCTCAGGGCTACTCAATTCCCACAATTCCAAGAAAAACACAGAAAGAATATGAATGCACATGATTGTGGGCCTTGAAGCTGAAATCAAAGCTCTTACAAATATAAATAAGCAGCCCCTAAAATTCATGACTAGTGGAAGAGTTTATTTGGAAAGAGTGTTCAAGACATTCGTCATCAGAAAGCTCTTTGTGATGAAATAAATGAATGACTCTTCCAAACCAATTCAATTTGCACATTATTTTGGATATTTATTCATTACCAGGCACAATAAGAGCAATATCTATTAAAATAACCATATACTGAAGAAATGCAGTCAGAATCCTTGGTTTTAAAATGTTCATCATGAGCAATAGGCCTCAATCAGGCTAGACTAATCTCCACAAAATATACTGTTTTACTGCGTTGGGGCTGAAATATATTTAAAAAATAAAAAAAATTGTCCAGTAGCACCCTAGGGACCAACTAAGTTTGTTCTTGGTATAAGCTTCCGTGTGCATGCACACTTCTTCAGATACCCTTCTTCAGATACCCTTCTTCAGATTCTTCTGTGTTGGGACTGTCATAGCATTGGTGGATTATGACAGCCAGCAAACATGCTAACTCCTGTGTGTAAGAACGCTATCTGTGGATGGGTTTCTAGGGTCAGAAGTCAGCAGGCCCCACCTAGTTTCAAAACCATTTTCACAAAATAAAAATGTGAAATAGAAGAGTTACAATGATTTGAAAAATACAATAAAAATCAATTACACCGAGTTCCGCAATTACTAATTAAAACACAAGGATTAGTGAATGTATAATAGCTGAATATAATGAGTTGAGAAAGCAAGCATACATCAACCCAGTATCCCCTAGGGAGGAACTAAATAAAAATCCAAAGTGCAATTGAATAAAACAAGCAGCTCTTTAACTCAAATAGCCTGCAGGGACCATTTGCATTTGAGTCAACATGGATGCCAGCTCAATTGTTTTAAGTAGTCACAGAGATGCTGAGCAATAAGGATTCCTTCTTAAATATTCAGATTGGTTTATTTAAGGAATGTCCTTCTTTGAAGGTCCCCTGTTTCCCTGCATTAAATCTAAAACAGGGGTTTTAAAGAGCACAACACAATTTGAAAGTTTACCAGTGGTGGCTAACCTTTTTTAGGCCCATGGGAAGATTTCGAGTTTTGAGCAAGTGCTGTGGGCACCATCCTCTCTGGTCACTTCTCTCCTCCATCACTAGGTCAGCCCCCAATGCAAATACACAATTATACAGTACTTTGCTTTTCCAGGCAATCTTGATAAAAGTCCACTCCAGAAGAACTAATCTGAGCCTTGGAAAGCAAACAGAATTGAAAAATGAAGTGGGAAAAGGTATCAGTCTTCCCGTTTCCTACTTCAGCTCTATGTGCTTCTCAAGGGAGAGGAAGATAATGACCTTCACCATCTTATGCTTAGGGGGCAGTGAGTGGGTGGGGGGCTCAGGAGCTTTGTAGGAACCAGGCAAAAACCTCAAGAGCAGACCCTCCAAGTGTCCCTATTTTCCAGGTAGGTCCCTGATTTAGAGAAGCCATCCTGGTTTCTGATTTGGTCCTGGAATGTGCCCCTTTTCCTTAGGATGTCCCTTTTTGCATTGGAGAAATGTTGGAGGGTATGCAAGAGCACCACATTAGGGGACCCTGGCTTATGCAAATATTTTGCTTTTGGAACAATGGAAGAGACCATTCTGCAAAGTAGAATAGGTGAGGAAGCAGAATATACTTCTCTTAGCAGTTACTTCCAAATATGTCCTGGTTCCCACATTGAGTATGTCTACTGTAAAGAACTCTATCAGTTTAACTGCAAGGGCTTCTTAAATTCCTCCTAGGAAATATAGACTGGTATGAGTACTAAGAGCACCCAGTTAAGGGTTCCCAGCCCCTATTACAGAACTGCCGCCTTTGGGCTCACCAGAGCCCTGCCTTGTTGTAAGGAGTCATTGACCACCCCCTTCACCCACTCAGCGACACCTCCACTGGCCCTTTCGATGAGCCAGGAAGGTAGCTCTCGCATTACCAAGGACCTTATGCACATCTTTAGGCTGTACAAATTGAAAAGTATCCATTAAACATGCCCAAGCAGAGGCCAAAGTTACATCCACCAAATGTATATCAACTATAGTATCCAAATCAGAATGGATCCAAGCAGTTGTTTATCCTTTGCCTCTCACTAGAGCATGTATATGTTCCCTGTCAGGTCCAGCATCAAACCTCTTCAGAACTGACTTTGCTCTTTTCTTCCCTATTCTTCTAGTGCTGTCACCATGGACCCTTCCATTTATAGTGCTATAGGTGCTATATTTAATGATGTTTTTGTAAAATGAAAACCTATAATGAAATTATAGAGGACTATCCACATACCAATCACATGTTACTGTTTTTTAGAGAGTGTTTGCACTTTTTCCCATCATGCCAATGACATGAAGTGTTCAGATTGAGAACAGTTATGTGCCTATAGTCCCACCCCTTCCGTTTCGTCATTCCACCAACCGGTAAATGTTGGATTTTTGAGTATGCACAAAGGTTACGTAGAGGCCTTGCACACATAAAAAAAATAAAAATACAGTACCTGGTACAGTGGTACCTCTGGTTACGAACTTAATTCATTCCAGAGGTCCATTCTTAACCTGAAATTGTTCTTAACCTGAAGCACCACTTTAGCTAATGGGGCCTCCCGCTGCCACCACGCTGGCGCGCAATTTCTGTTCTCATCCTGAGGTAACGTTCTTAACTCGAGGTACTACTTCCGGGTTAGCGGAGTCTGTAACCTGAAGTGTTTGTAACCTGAGGTGTTTGTAACCCACCACTGTATTCTGGAACTCTGACCCTGTTTTGTTCTATCTACAGCAGCCTTCTCCAACCCAGCCCAATACAGATGTTTTGGACTCCCAACTTCCATCACACTCAGGCAACACATCTTATGGGAGCCCAAAACATCTGGATGGTGCAAGGTAAAGGAAGGGAAATCTAGTGTTATGATCACATACACAACATACATTCTTAAAATACATCATTTGTATCAAAGATTGGCATTGAGGGATCTCATTTCCCACAAAAAAATTTGAAATTAGTCTGGTCAATTAGTTAGCCAAACAATAGCTGAAAAAGAACCCAGGAAGAATGAAAGCAAAGGGACAAAGGATTTATTACAGACTCTAGAAGGAAGGTGTAGCTGTACTTCTAATTCCACCAGGAAACCTAAATCCAAAGAAAAAATACCATAAAAGAGAAACCTGACGCTGCCAAATGATTTGCAGTTTCACTTGTGTGTGTGGTTTGGTCAAAGGACAAACAATTAGTAAAATGAACTTTGTCCATGACGTATTTGTCATACACGTCTCATACTAAATAACTGGAATTAAGCAAGTCATCAAGGCAGAATACTGGAGAGATTCCGAAGAGTGTCCCAACATTGTTGCTAGAACAAGGCATCAGTTGTGTGCCGCTTTTGAGTCATTTCCCAAAGTGTTCTTGACGAGTATCACCACACGCTTTCAGAAAGAACCTTCAGAGGAATTTCGGGAAAGCTCCATAAATGGCATGTGATAAAGCTGATCAAGCCAAAAAAAGAACAGACACCTACATCATTGCCTTCCAAAATACTACTATCTAGCGAAACTACTGCCTCATACTGAAATTCAGAATGCTAAAGACTTGTTTGCATAATATGCTTCTAGTGACACTGAAAATAGGATTTGATACGGACTCTGATTTATACTATAAATTTCCCTCAATCGTTACTAAAGTGTTCTGGAAACATTGGTAGTTATAATTGCTTAATTCTATTAACATAATCATTTACCTGGTTAATCAAGATAATCATTTGCCTGGGCTGTGTACACAGTCCTGTTTTCTCTGCACCCACAGTGTTCCCAACACTGGTTTGGGAAGCAGTTTACACACGAGGTCGGCCGCACAATCCATATCTATCCTGTTGGGTTCTTTATGAAATACTGTATTTTGACGCATTTCGCCTCAAAGCAGGTTCGATCTGAACTGAGAAAAAGAATGACCTAGCTGCATTTTAAGTTGCTCATGTTCATCATAGAGTGGGAAGGAGCCCAAAGTTAACTGAGTCCAGTAGCATTAATGCAACATCCACAGACAACCTGGCATAACCATCAAGTGGAAAGAGTATGCACTGGATTCAGCTACCAGGAGAACAAATGCCATGGTTTTCTCATATTTTCAATTTAATTTTTGACATTTTTTGTGTGTGATGTAAGCAGAGGCGGAGCTAGCTGCTCCGGCACCTGGAGCGGCACACATGCTGTGCACCCGGGGGCGGGGCTAGCCACCCGCAGGGACAGGGAGAACATCCCAGGGGGGCGGGGCGGCGATGTCACCCCCCTCAGGGATGACAGCCGACCGCACCCCCCTTCCTCCCCCAATGGATGTAAGCCATTTTGAACTCTTGGAAAGGCAGGTGAGAGAAGACTGGAATCACAGCTGCAGGCCAACCCCAGTCTATGCGCATTCAGTAGACCCTAATTTGAACATGTGAAAAGGGAAACATCACTGGAGGGACTCCAAAATTATAAAAATCCATAAAGAAGGCAGATGAACAGGATAAATGAATACATTTGTGGGGGATGCTACCGTAGCTGTACTTCGTACGCCACCAATAAACACCGAAACTGCCAAAAGAACTGCTGCTTGACGGGCGGTTTGTGGTTAAAGGATAAACCCTTATCAAAATGAACTTTGACATGCTCAGTTCACACACTGTTCAGAAGCAGAACTGTACCACGAACTCTGTTACAAGTTACAGGAACAGGGAGCTGCAGAGAGTAATTACACAACTGTAATCGGCAGAGGGTTTTTTTAAAAAAAAAGTACTAAAAAAAGGAATCACTGCTGTCTCTGATACTGGGTATTGTTCACAGATTCTGTTTTTGGAGTGGGGACGCCAAATGTGATTTTATTTATTCCTTCATCTCCTTCCTTACCTATATTGGAGAATTTAAGGCTGCTGCCTGGGGAGAGGGAGAGAGGTTTTGTTTTGTAGGTAGTTATGTGATCTCATTTATTCTCACTTATCAGTTTGTTGGTAGTCAAGTACACTCCCCCCCCCCCCGGCATATCTACTATGAAACTAATGAAGCTTAAGCTTCAAAATTGGGTCTAGTAGACCCAATTTGAGTTGCATGATTGAAATTGATCAATTTTTTGTTGTATATATTTCAACAATACCATAGTTTGAGATTCAGTGGCACAGATGTTGTAAAGGTGTGGTGATCCGTCATGGAACAATTCCATTGAAGAAGATAACAGTGGTTACCCAGAACTCATTGCTGGTTGCGAAGGGGGCCTCATAACAGTTCAATTTTCAGCCCCCCCAAAATGTAGGTCCGCCAGTAGTACCCCCTATGAATAATTCGAGTTTGTTTGGATGATTTTGTTACTAGCCCCCGCCCCTACAAAATATGAACGACATTTTATTTGGCCACTTTGGGACATAAATTAAAAATATTTCTGTTCTGCCAGATGATATGTTTCCTGGTTATATGTTTCCTTGTACCTGCTGGTGTAATGTTTCTGGGATAGCTTTTGATATTTGCTACTCCATCACTCTTTTCCATGTAAAATATTCAAAGCATCTAACAAATTATAGATACTAAAATTGCAAAACAAAAATATTTTTAAATGATTAAAAGAAACAAAATGCAGGCAAGTAGTAGTGCTAGAAGCACATTGCAGAAGTTACATAGTATTGCCTGCTGAATTACACGTTCTATAGCTTGGAAATGCTGACTGCATCCCATTTCTGCTTATCCATTCAATTACAGGAAGCCCCCACTGACTACTTCTGTCCTTGTACCATTCAGCTTTTTTGGCAGACAACAGGACTGTTAAAAGATGAAAAACTGATAACTTTTTGTTTACAGCCAATAGTTGATGTGGATTTTTGGTCAAAGCTCTATCTAAAATAATTGAGTATATTCATTACACCCCACAATACTTATTGTCTTTTTGACATTTTTTTCACATTCAAACATTTGCTACTTTTGATTAGCTGGCCTAAAAACAGTGACTTAAATAGAGAGAGGGATATGATCAAAACCAGTGAAAGCTTGAAAGCTAGATCTCTTTCCCCAAAATTACATCACTAAACTTAACTCCTTTTGCTGCCATGAACTATTTGTGTAATACTGAGCATATTAATAAGTCTCAAGTCATTTCCTAAGTTGATGCTTAAAACTAATAACAGCTTTCGGGGGTGTTGCCAGGATGTGTGTCTTTAAACAGAGATTTGCATAAGTTCTAGCAGGTATGTAAACATCAAAGAGATTGAAAGGTAAGAAAAGGTGTTGCTTGTTTGTGACAGCTTAAAGCATACTTTTAACATACCTTGGGAGATGCATTACAATTACAGTATAGCAAGTTTCCCAATTACCAATTTTGCTCAGACAATTACAGTGAGTATAATTTAACATGAGGTAATTATCTTCGGAAGACTCTAAATTAATGATGAGAGGCATGGTCCCACTGCAATTTGGAACTGAGTGAGATTTATGAATGAAAAATTGGGACCAAATAGGTCTCCTATATTCCAAGCTTTCAAATCATTGCCATTTTTTTTAGCACATACATGCTTCTGAAGTGCACCTGGGGAACTTTCATTTATTTATTTTTTGGTGCAACATTCCTTTTCTGTCCATGTGCCCACAGGATCATTTATCACAATGCATCATTCTCTGACTGACCATTTTTTAATCTGTTTTGCTTACAAACTGATTAGATAGGCCTGGGATAACCAAAGGATGAATGTTAGCAACCTCTGAGTATGCACAAATATAGTGGATACTCCCAGGATTGGATGCTTAGTCATGCCAACCATGCAGGTGCAAAAATAGGTTTGTATACTTTTTTTTATCATACACAAATTACAGAGACAGAACATCACATTCTTTTTTATAATTTTTATCATTTGATTTTTTTAAAAATATAAACATACATTTAAAAAAAACACAATTCAAAATCCAAATTTCGATATTACCATATTTTTCGCTCCATAAGACTCACTTTTTCCCTCCTAAAAAGTAAGGGGAAATGTGTGTGCATCTTATGGAGCGAATGCAGGGGGGAGGAAGGCAGGAAAAGCCCCCAAGAGCCACACACAAGCTCTGCGGCCTGTCAGTCCCTTCTCCCTCCTTGTAGAAAAGCCCGCAGGAGCCGCGTGGAGCAGAAGTTCTGTTGCGCACTCACAAATCTATTCCACAAGCAGAATGGCAGAATTAGAAACAACCCTTAATTATACAGAAGATGTTTGTATAATAACATAAATGAACCAACAAGCAATTGGCACACAACTCACCAGAAGCATCGGAGGAGGAAGTGCCAAACCAATGAGATGATCAGCATGTGCTGCAGAGGTAGGCAGGGTCCAACCCAAGGCATTTTGTGGCCTGAAATGAAGGAGAAGATGGCACTCCTTTCATATTAAGAAACTAACTGGACTGGCAGCTGAATCAAACTTCAAAACTGGATTGCACCTAAGGTCAACAGTTTTAGGAGGCAAATGGCAGTCCACATAGTCTGTCCTCCAACACTTTGCTGCTTCTCCTCAGCATCCACTGAGGCAGATGCCTCACTCTAATAGGGAAGCCATCCCCTGAAGGTAGTTATAGGTGTCATTCAAAGAGCAACAGTGGAAGGATGCCATTTTATGAAGATCAAAAGGATCATGTTGGCACCTGGGGTTTTTTAGTATATCTCTATGCACTTTAGATTATGGCTTCAAGAAGCAACACAGCTATAGATGTTGCAGGCATCTTTCTCCAACATTTCCTCCAGGATATTGTCATTTGTAGAGTTAGGAAAACATGGACAAATGACAACAAAAGATCGCACGCATTATCACTGTAAACAAAAAGAAAGCCTGTTTTACACATCGTCAAGGCTCAGCACCGAGGAACACACTGGGATGCGTTAGTCCGAGTAAGAACTTGTTAGGAAAGGTCCCAGTCCATAAGGGAGCCATTTATTGCCCCTACATAGAAACGTAGAAAGGAACCTTATACTAAGTCAGACAATTTGCCTATCTAGTTCAGCACTGATTGGAAGTAGGCTGTGTCCAGGGTTTCAGATCTTTCCCAACCTTGCCTGGAAGCATGTGTTGTACCATTGAGCTACAACCCATCCCCTTCCTGTTCTTGAGGGGCCAGCGGTCTGCCTGGATGGGCAGGGCCAGTCCAGAGGCCAATAATGCTTCACTTACAGAAAAATGTTCCATGTTCATCCCATGAGGCAGCCTTACATGAAACCAAAGGGAGTGTAATTCTAGTCATGGCAATTCATTTCTCTTATATCCTTTGTCTCTCCCTCTGATATTTCTCCCACTTAGGTTGTAAATTTGACTATACGAATCAGCTTTCATGGTCTTTATGTTACTCTGTAATAAACCCTGTGCACTGATGATTCTATGGTAATAAGGCGTTTTACCCCTCCCTTGCGGTGGTTTTAAATATATCCTTGCTTAGGAATGTGAATGTTAAGCAACTCTCTATGGATTTGCATATGCTAACTTTAGGGATTTAAGGTGTGTTAAGACATGCCTCAGACATCACTGTCAGCTAGCTGATGGAAGCCCTTATGTATGTTTTCATTTGTTTACTGACTTGGATGATGGAGATCTGACAGCTGGCTTATTGCTGACAACACAGTAATTCATTCTCTACTTTGAGAGGTTTCCAGCACTGCTGCTTGTCTATTCTGAATTAATCTCCCTTAATGAAGCTTATATTTTCTTTCTAATTTGCCCCTGGCAAATTAGTCTTTGTTTCATAAGCCTAATAAAATGTGAAGTTCTTTGTGAGTATCATATATATTAATCCAGTTCTGTAGAACAGACAAACGGGTGAAGATTAATGTTTTGTTTTTGGTTCAGGGTCATTGTAGCTTTTCATGAAATCCATTCTATTGCTACAAGTACTTCTTCTCCATATGGATCAAGATCAGATGTCAAATGGCTCCCTATTGAACCACATGGCTTATCACATAGAAGTGCTGACTATGACAGAAGTGTACCAGGGCGGAAAATATAGTATGATGGTTTCTTTAAAATTATACCATGTTTTTTCTGAAAATAATAATGATTGTTTTCTGCTCCTACTGTAGAGAAAAAAGCCTTAGGGTTATTCTGAGTATTTATGTACAGCTCTGATGAGTCATAACCATAAAATTAGAAATTATTATACAAAGTATTCTTGAATCAGCCACAACTCTTCAAAAATAATAATTATGACATTAAGAATCAAGCTAGCAGAAAGTAGCAGAGAGTTATTTGAGATAATGTTAGATTAGTTCTAAAGAGGTACCTTTCTTTGTACAATTCCAAAGAAGTCATCTTGTGGAACTTTAAAAACAGCTTTATTGTGAGAGAAGCTTTCATGGACAAGATGCATGAGGTGATAGCCTCAGTTTGCAGATACACATATCTGCAAACACAGCTGTCTGGGTACAAACGAAAACATTGTGAACAGTGAGGTTAATAGCCCATGAACTGCAAACAATACTCTGATATTTTTTTATGAACAACTCAATGTCCTAAGAAAACCAAATTTGTGTGAGCTGAAAAAAGAAAAAGTTAGTTTTGTCTTCTTCTAAATCCATGTACTGGGAATGATGCCAGATACTTTTCTTGGAACAAGGATTTTCCTCAGACAGAGTTTTGAAATCAGTTGTTGTGATGAGGCAGCACTGCTCACTTGGCTGTCATCGTGTTGCTGCTGCTTACCAGACGATGAAGAAGAAGGGGTGAGGTAGCACAAGTCAGGCATGGTGCCATTGCACTTGCAGTTGGGAGGACTGGATTGGCTTACCAGTATATTTGCACTGCTCCAGTCTCAGGACTGCTTCACCCATCCCCCTCTACCTCCTGGTAAGCAGTAGTAACATGATCAGCTGGAGGTCCGGTGAGGAGCAGCACCCTACCATGCTGCCTGCTTCTGTTGTGAAGTGAGGTCTTCATCTTGTGCAATTTATTGACGTGGTTTCCACATAACAATAGACCATGCTTTAAAACAAATGATAGTTATGCCAGCCGACTTCAGAATCTATTGTCTGAAGTTGGTTTCTTTAGTAATCAAAAATAAATGCTTTGTTCTAAACCAGGTTACCTGGTTCATACGTAATGCTAAGCCAATATTCATTAAAAGTGAAACTAAACGCAGCAGGAATCCTCCCAGCTGTGTGAAAGGAGAAGAGGGAAGGAGGGGACATGACAGACAGAGGCTTCTCTTGAGCTTCTAGAAGCTCACCCTTATATCTCCAAACCATTGCTTAATGTTACATGTGAATACAATCACTGGCTGCTGGAGTTGTAATGATGAATTGATATTAATTTATCTCAAGTTGCACAAATCTCTGTGAGCCACAGATCCATTCTTTACCATCACTCACTTTATGTATTTATTTGTTTATTGTCCTGCTTTTTTTCTGACTGGGACTCAAGGTGCCTTACAGATAAGGTCTTCACCTGCCAACGGAAGGACAACAAGGAGGGACCCAGTCTAGCTTCTCTAGGAAGCGAGTTTCAAAGTCTGGGAGCAGCCACTGAGAAGGCCCTCTCCCATGTCCCTACCAAGTGTGCCAGTGAGGCTGGCAGGACCGAGAGAAGGACCTTCCCCAAATATCTCAAAGCCTAAGCAGGTTCATATGAGGGAATATGGTCCTTCAGATAACTTGACCTGAGCCAAAATGAATGCAGATTGTTATAAGGTGTGTGATCTTTGTTGTATGTGTTGCTGTTTCTTCAGCTTGTAAATCACCTTGTGTATAGTAATATAGAAAGGCAGTATACAAATTAAAAGTGAAATGAAAAATTGAACGAAAATTTATAGGTCATAACCAGCACTTTGAATTGCACTAGTAGCCATTCACATGGCTATCAATTGAATCCAAAAAGAAAATAAAGTGGTTTTTAAAGAGGGGGAGAAAAGCTTACTTAAAACCAATGCCAGAATTTTTATAGGGACTTAAACTCAGAAAGACACATCTTAATTTAAAGTGATGCAGTTTAAATGCAATTAATGTTTAATAATTGCTGCTGCTAAGGAAATGACAGTTGCTAAATTCAACAGTGTTCACACTTACTAAGCAATTGGATTTTTTCTGAAATGTGAATTATAATAATAATAATTTATTATTTGTACCCCACCCATCTGGCTGGGTTTCCCCAGCCACTCTGGGCGACTTCCAACAAAGATTAAAAATACATTGAAATGTCAAACATTAAAAACTTCCCTAAACAGGGCTGCCTTCAGATGTCTTCCAAATGTCAGGTAGTTGTTTATCTCTTTGACATCTGATGGGAGGGAGTTCCACAGGGTGGGCGCCACTACCAAGAAGGCCCTCTGACTGGTTCCCTGTAGCTTTGCTTCTCGCAGTGAGGGAACTGCCAGAAGGCTCTCGGCGCTGGACCTCAGTATCCAGGCAGAACAATGGGGGTGGAGACTGATATTATGTATTATATATACTGTTAGGAAGGATGGATAATTCACGGTATTTCTGCATCAGAACAGTGAGAGAAGGAAACAGTAGTAGCAGAGCTGGGTGCTAGCCTTGGGCATTGAGCTGAAGGGCCACCAAGCTGTTTATTGAGTGTACTGTTAGCAGTGAGACAGATGAAAAAAGCAGCAAGTTCACCACCCTGCAAAATTCTATGGTTTCTTTATGTGTCAACTGCACAAACTAATTTCAATGAGTTCCAAAGTAATTAAAGCTAGAATGTTTCAGGTAAGTGTAGAATTCACTAACTTCAAAGCTCTAGTAGTTTCAGTCAACCTACTATTTCATATCTGTATCAAGACAACAAATGGGGTGGGATTTTCCGTGCCCTGTGGAGAGACTGAAATGGTGTATAGTGTGTTGAATGGATTCTTTACATTTAATCATGCCCCACAGCAGTGGAAAATCACTGCTTGCAGTTGGATAATGTTGAAGGGGGGCACTGAGAGCTGATTTGTGTTTTTCATTATTATTTCAAAGGGTTGGCTGTTATTATAAAGGGCTCCCTTGAAGACTAACAGATTTATTGTGCCCTTCCCCTTTTGGACTACAGTCCACCATTAGCTACATGAAGTGTAATTTTCCATTGGTTGATATTTAGATCTACATGGTTAGCTAGAACAGGATTTTACACAGTGGTGCAAAACAGCATGTGGTGAATTTCTTGGATATAAAGGGAACTTCAGTGACAGGACCAATGTATACAATTAGCAGAATCAGCAACGAGCTTTTATGACATGGTATTACATTAGGCTCTAAATAGGGGAAAGGATTTTACAGATCTGAATTTCTGGTTGATACCTCCCAGAACAGGCATGCCTTCTACAATTATTTCTGCGCACCTGAGCTGTAGTTTGTTGGCTCCCATCCAGTCTATCTCTCATTTTTGGATCTACATGGGTTCACCAGAATCTAATGAAAAAGAGAAGTGATTGGAATATACCTGGCCATCGGACAAATATGTAGTTTGGGAATGGGAAAGCAAGGCAATAGATGGAAACAGAAGTTTGAGATATATAGTGCCATCAGGGGAGACACGTGTAAGCAAAATCATTTTTGCTATTGGATCAACTACTGACACTAGACAGATGATTCTAAACAGTATCAAATAACCTACTTTGTGCTTCCTGTTAGTGGGTATCAGGTTGGTGACTACAAACAAGGTTTTCTACTAACAAAACCTGGAGACAGTGTTTTATTTAATATAAAATCTTTCAGATGTACCATAGTTGCCTTGGTATTTCCTTTTTAATGCTCAGATACAGCGGGTTTTATAGTCTAATACAACCAGGGAACAGATCATTGAAGCATATGCAAAAAGTAACATCCAATCGAGGGGTATTAAGCATTAATCTCCAGCATAAGCAGTTTCTGAGCAATAGGGTCAAATCTGTCTCTCAGTAAATTTGGAGGAGGACTTCTGAAATCAATAACGTCAATTCAGTTTGTGTGCAGTATCTCTGATTGAAGGTGCGCAGCCATTATTTGTAAATGATTTGGAAGATTCCCTTAGGAAGCATATTGATTTAACAATAAATGAACCCATTTTCTACATGGGCACTGTTGGTGAAATATGACAGCCAGGAAGTAAACCCCACTGTATTTAATGGGACTTGTTTGTGCAAAGGTCTGACTTGAAGAGATCAAGATTCTTACTGTTAACAACAGTGGTTTTGACATCTACAGTGGTACCTCAGGATGCGAACAGGATCTGTTCTGGAGCCCCATTCGCATCCTGAACAGAATGTAAGACGCGACAGCGTGTCTGCGCATGCATGGGTCGCGTCTCGCCACTTCCACGCATGCGCGTGACAACATTTTGACCATCTGCGCATGCACAAGTGGCTAAACCCGGAAGTAACACGCTCCATTACTTCTGGGTCGCCGCGGAGTGAAACCTGAAAGCGCTCAACCTAAAGCATATTTATCCTGAAGTATGACAGTATAATGAAACCAGCTTACAAGCAGAGAGCTGAAAAAGGGTACTATAATGGAAGCTGGGAAACTATACTTCTGGGAAGAGGTTGGAGACCATCTTGGCTATGAGTCCTGAGGGAACTCCTTCTTGTCTTGCATGCCTTTTCCCATCTGACTGAAGGATGGGGCCCTGACTGACTCCAGCTTCACAATCTTAGGTTGAGGTATTATTATTATTAAACTCTGGGCGGCTTCCATAGAAACCAAAAATACACTAAAATATCACACATTAAAAACTTCCCTGAACAGGGCTGCATTAAGATGTCTTCTGAATGTCAGGTAGTTGTTTATCGCTTTGACATCTGATGGGAGGGTGTTCCACAGGGCGGGCGCCACTACCGAGAAGGCCCTCTGCCTGGTTCCCTGTAGCTTTGCTTCTCGCAATGAGGGAACCGCCAGAAGGCCCTCGGTGCTGGACCTCAGCATCCGGGCAGAACGATGGAGGTGGAGACACTCCTTCAGGTATACTGGGCTGAGGCCGTTTAGGGCTTTAAAGGTCAACACCAGCACTTTGAATTGTGCTCGGAAACGTACTGGGAGCCAATGTAGGTGTTTCTTTTTTTAAAAAAAAAAATGATATTTATTCCAAGTTTAAGATTGCAAAAAAGAAAAGAACATCCATACAAAATAAAATAAGCATATAACAAAAAACAAACAGTGAAAAAGACTTAACAAAAAATACAATAATACATTACATTAAAATAAAACAAAAATTAAACCTTTACCTAACCTTTTTTCCCTTTACTTATTTCCGTGACCTCCTCTCACCCCCCAGCTTTGTATTCTAGTCCAAATCGTATTTCCAGCAAATCCTTCTAACCTTCTGTGATGGGATTATGAGCTGCTTGTGCGTAAAATCGTATTCCCTCAGAGTTTGTTCAAGTCCACAAACCTCTGTCTGTGACTGAGCCCCTCTGACATGGCTCCTCTTAGTCACTAGAAGATTCCGACAGTGGTTGCTTTCGTAATCGCTTCCAACATAAAAGCTCCTTAACGGAAACACGTCTTCTGGACTCTCTGCGTGACAGTTTCCGGCGAGGAGTGGGTGTCGCTACAGGAGGTCCGGAAACCTCACCACTGTTTTCGCTGGAAGTATCTCTGAGCCATCCCCCAGCTCCCTTTCCCTCAGTTCAGCTTCTCTCCCTGCTGGTTTCCTCTTCAGCTGCTAAGTCTCTTCCAACCTGTCTGAGCCCTTTCACCTCCCTCAGTTCAGCTTCTCTCCCCTGCTGGTTTCCTCTTCAGCTGCTAAGTCTCTTCCAACCTGTCTGAGTCCTTTCACCTCCCTTCCTACCGATGGCAGTTCCCTGACATCCACCTCCCCTCCAGGGCCCCCTTCACCCCCTCTCGCCCCTCCTCTACGGGCGGTGAGGAGGCAAACCCCGGAATGAACTTCCTTCATCTTCCGATGTCTCGAACACTTCTCTCCACCTGTTGCGGTTCCTGGTCTCAAGCACTCCTCCTCCTCCGAGTCCATCTCCCTTCCCTTCCGATTCTGGGAATCCTTCCAACTCCTCCTCCTCCTCAGTGGTCCCAAAGTATTCCCTCCGGAACCTCTCCACAGGCTGAGGTTTCCGCGGGAACCTTTGATGGAACATTTCTATCAATACCTCGTCATTGATATCTTTGGCCATTACCCACGTGTTTTCTGACTCCGGTTCTCCTTCCCACGCTACCAAATACTCCACCTGATTCCCCTTCCACCTGGCATCAAGGATTTCTGCCACATGACTGCTGCATTCTCTTTCTTCTATGACCGGTCCCCGAGTGGCCATCCCTTCTCGTCCCCTCGTACGGTGACAGTAACGACCTGTGAAATACTGGGTGCAGTTTCATGTGGTTGGGTAACCGGAGCCTGAAAGCCACTGGGTTGACCTGTTGAATGACCTCAAAGGGACCCAACCTCCTGGGTCTTAATTTCTTACAACCTCCTTTGTCTGATGCGTCAGTTTCCACTCTCATCGGTTTTTGTAAATCCACATGCAGGAGCTGTTGTTCCGAGGCGAAGGCCCTTTTTAGTTCCTCAAATGCTTGCTCCGCCTCCTCCGTCCAAACGAACTTCTTCTTACTGCTGAGACAGTCCGTAATGGGCGCCGTCAGGTGGGCAAAGTTTGGGATGAACTTACGATAGAAGTTCCCAAACCCTAAAAACCTCTGCACATCCTTCCTTGTTTTGGGTGTTTTCCATTCCAGTACCGCCTGGACCTTGCCGGGATCCATGGCCAACCCCTTGTCAGACAGGCGATACCCCAGGAATTCCACCTCCTTGGTATGAAACTGACACTTCTCCAGTTTCACCCACAGCAGGCTGGCTTGCAGCCTGCTCAACACTTCTCTGACGTCTCTCACATGCTGCTCCTCATTCTCAGAATACACCAACACGTCGTCTAAGAAGGCCACACAATTCTTGTAAAGCAACGGCCCCAGGACGTGGTTCATAAACGATTGAAATGTTGCGGAGCCTGCTTGTAGACCGAAGGGCATAACTAAGTATTCAAATGCCCCTAAAGGGGTGAACATGGTGGTTTTCCATTCATCCCCCTTCCTTATTCGTATCAGGTTGTACGCCCCTTAGATCCAGCTTGGTGAAAATCTTTCCTTTCGCACCCTTGACAACATGACGTCAATCCTGGGCATCGGGAAGGCCACTGGTTCTGACACTGCATTTAAGGCCCTGAAGTCACACACCAGTCTCGGCTTGTTCGTGTTTTTTTGTCCACAAAAACACTGGGCTGCCCCCACCGCCCTGGACTCTCTGATGAACCCTCTCTTCAGGTTCTTGTCAATGAACTCTCTTAGCTCCTGCATCTCTCTGTCTGACATGGCGTACAGCTTGCCCACAGGGAGCTGTGCCCCAGGGAGCAAATTGATTTGACAGTCAAAGGCTCTATGCGGTGGTAGTTGGTCAGCTTCCTTTCGCTGAAGACGTCGCGGAGATCTGCGTATTGTCGTGGTACCTTCACGTTCTCCTTCACTTCAGTCCCTGCTAGGGTGGCTTGGGCCCCTGCCAAAACCTTTCCCCTTTGCAATGTTCTAAGCAATGTGCTGACCCAAAAGAAACCACTCTCTGATGCCAGCCCACCAGCGGATCATGTAACGCTAGCCAGCTCATCCCCAATATAATGGGAGCTCCTCCCAAGGTGGCCACATTAAAAGCTATCAGTTCAGTGTGCCTTGCCACCTTCATTATCATTGGGACGGTCTGCAAGCTGACTTCTCCTCCCAACAGCTCCCTGCCATCGATCGTGGTTACCTGCAGGGGTTGCTTAAAGGGAGCGTCTGTATCTGGTGTTCAGCTGCAAACTCTTTGCTCATGAAATTGCAGGAGCTGCCTGAGTCCAACAGCGCCTTTATCTTTAGAGGGTGTCCGGTTGGGAGCTCTAGTGTCACTTCTATCACTAGGGCGGGTTTAGGAGGTTCTGGAGTGGGCACTTTCACTGCTCTTTGGCCTGGCTGCTGTGCCCCGACAATGGCAGCCAGGCGTTGGCTTTTAGTTGCTCCGGTATTTTTCCTCTCTTCCCTCCACAGCTCCCACCATCCCTTGCCATTCCTTCCTCTGGGGGCAGACTCTGGCAAAGTGCCCTGGCTGTTGGCAGAGATAGCATTTCCGGGCGCCTTTTCCATCCTTCTTTCCCCTCACTGGGCTCTGACACTGCGCGCGCGCGCTGTACCGAGTCCCATCGGCTCTGCCGGCGGGACAGTTGGCTCTGGAATGTCTGGAATGCGGAACTCCTTCCAACGTTCCCCTTTCCCTTCCCGCCCTCCAATGCTCTCGCCTCCTGGCGCGCTCCTATGGCCAGCGCTGATTTGGTCAGCTGGTCCATAGACTCCGCCCTGGGCGCCCGGGAAAGTTCATCTTTCACAGCCGAAGAAAGCCCTTCTTCAAAGAGCATTTGAATGGGTTCCGCCGATAAGTCCCACCCCAATCTGTGTATCAGCATGGTGAACTCAGTCCAGTACTCACGTACAGATCGGCTCCCTTGTTTGCAAGCCATTAACTGTCTGCGCACCACTCCCTTTTCAATATCGCTGGAAAACATCAGATCCATGGCGCGAAAGAACTTCATCGTGTCCTTTAGGACGTCACTATGCGCTGCCATCAGGGGTCTAACCCAGTCTCTCGCCCCCTTTTTCAAGATGCCCAATCACAAAAGCCACTCGTGATTCCTCATCAGGGAAATCATCAAACTGCAGATTGAGGGCATATTGCATTTCTGTCCGAAAGCTATGAGAGTCTTTGGGCTCCCCAAATTTTTGCACCAATCCTGGTACCTTTCTGGCGAGCTGGGTGGCTTTCTCCCTTTGTCTGCATCTTGAGCCCTCCTCTCCTCCAGCCTCGCCGTCTGCAGCGCCAGCTGGACCTCCAACACTCGGTACCTTTCTTCCAGGCTTGGACCCGCTCCAGCCCCTGCTTCTCCGGTTCCTGCTGGGTTGCTCATTATGCCTTCTCCTGCACAAGCTGCGTCCAAAGACTGTCGGAATGCTGTGATGGGATTATGAGCTGCTTGTGCGTAAAATCGTATTCCCTCAGAGTTTGTTCAAGTCCACAAACCTCTGTCTGTGACTGAGCCCTCTGACATGGCTCCTCTTAGTCACTAGAAGATTCCGACAGTGGTTGCTTTCGTAATCGCTTCCAACATAAAAGCTCCTTAACGGAAACACGTCTTCTGGACTCTCTGCGTGACAGTTTCCGGCGAGGAGTGGGTGTCGCTACAGGAGGTCCGGAAACCTCACCACTGTTTTCGCTGGAAGTATCTCTGAGCCATCCCCCAGCTCCCTTTCCTCAGTTCAGCTTCTCTCCCCTGCTGGTTTCCCTTCAGCTGCTAAGTCTCTTCCAACCTGTCTGAGCCCTTTCACCTCCCTCAGTTCAGCTTCTCTCCCCCTGCTGGTTTCCTCTTCAGCTGCTAAGTCTCTTCCAACCTGTCTGAGTCCTTTCACCTCCCTTCCTACCGATGGCAGTTCCCTGACACCTTCTTTTCATTTACTTATTTTAATGTTCAATACTGTAATTAATCCTCCTCTATTTCATCAATTTCCATACCTCATTTTTACTTAATCCATTATATCATATCTGCCAAAACGACCTAATATTCTTTTTCCAACCTCTTTCTAACATTCCTTTATATTACAATATTTTTGAAGATATATTTTGAATTTTTTCCAGTCTTCTTCCATCGACCCTTCTCCCTGGTCTCGAATTCTGCCGGTCATCTCAGCCAATTCCATATAGTCCATTACTTTCATCTGCCATTCTTCTCGGGTAGGCAATTCTTGTGTCTTCCAGTACTTCCCAATGAGTATTCTTGCTGCTGCTGTCGCATACATGAAAAAAGTTCTATCTTCCCTTCGCACCAATTGGCCGACCATGCCCAGGAGGAAGGCCTCTGGTTTCTTCAGGAAGGTATATTTAAATACCTTTTTTAATTCATTATATATCATTTCCCAGAAGGCCTTGATCTTTGGGCACGTCCACCAAAGGTGAAAAAATGTTCCTTCATTTTCTCTACATTTCCAACACTTATTATCGGGCAAATGATAGATTTTTGCTAGCTTGACTGGGGTTAAGTACCACCTGTAAATCATTTTCATTATATTTTCTCTTAAGGCATTACAGGCCGTAAATTTCATACCTGTGGTCCAATGTAGGTGTTTCAAGACCGGTGTTATGTGGTCTTGGCGGCCACCCCCAGTCACCGGTCTAGCTGCTGCATTCTGGATTAGTTGTAGTTTCCGAGTCACCCTCAAAGGTAGCCCCACGTAGAGTGCATTGCAGTAGTCCAAGCGGGAGATAACTAGAGCATGCACCACTCTGGCGAGACAGTCCGCGGGCAGGTAGGGTCTCAGCCTGCATACCAGGTGGAATTGGAAGACAGCTGCCCTGGATCCAGAATTGACCTGCACCTCCATGGACAAAATGACTCCCAGGGGCACAGTTACCCTATTCAGGACCAGGGAGTCCTCCACACCAGCCCGCCCACTGTCCCCCAAAAACAGTACTTTTGTCTTGTCAGGATTCAACTTCAATCCATTAGCTGCCATCCATCCTCCAACCGCCTCCAGGCACTCACACAGGACCTTCACCGCCTTCACTGGTTCTGATTTGAAAGAGAGGTAGAGCTGGGTATTGTTGGCGGGTTAACTGTTTTTCGTTTGTGTGGATTGTTGTTGTTTTTACTGAGGAAGGAGAGATTTGTCTGGGAGGAGAGAAGCTGGGGATAATAGGGCATGAAATTGCAATAGTTCAAAGTAAGGAGAGGTATGGTGTGACAGGTGGGGCAGGCCAGGTAAGAGGCATACAGCACAGGAAGGCAGTGACTGCTGTGTGCCAGCTCCTCCTCCAACCTGGGGAATTGTGGTTGTCGTATCAGGCAACCCTCAGGTCTGTGGTTGTTTCTGCTGAATGATAGGTCAGCTCTGAATAAGACATTGCTTATCTGATTGTGTATGAGGAGGCCAATCTGGTCTGCATCTCTGAGACCTGGGTGCATGAGCTGGGTGGAATTGGTCTGACCTAGCTGTGCCCACCTGGTACTTGGTGCAGATCAGGGCAGAAGGTCAGGGATTCTGATGGTTCACCACTTGCCTTGCTACATACGTGAGCTGACAGAGCTGGTCTTGAAGGCTATGTTGAGGACTCCCAGACTCCTGGTTTTGTGAGACGTCAACATCCATGCTGAGACAACTGGCTTTGAGGTGGACTCAGGACTTCATGGCTGTCATTATGACATGGGGCTATCCCAACATGTCAATGGTCCAACATATGTGGCAGGTCACATTCTGGACCATGTTTTCTAGACTGGACAGGAAGAGGATCTGGAAGTGGGGGACGTTGACATCAATCCCTTGTTATGGTCAGATCACTTCCTGTTGAGATGTAGGCTTTCAGCACCTTTCAGCTTCCATATGTGGCTCCTAGAAGCTATCAGCATGTGACAGGAACCACACCTCAGGAATGGCTTCATCTGACCAGCTAAACAAGGTGAGGGTAGCCTATGGGTCTCAAATTCTCAGTGAGTTATGGAGTTCCCATGCATGTGAAGATAGACTCCGGCAGATTGAGCGGACAAGACCAATAGTGGGTCCAACAGTTAAGAAGGTGGTTCCTTCACATGCTGTAGAGGGAGGTAAGGGGCAGGTGGGGCTTGTCAACCTGGGAAGGTAGCCCATCTGGAAGGAAAACTCTGATCCTAAGCCTCTGCTGCCTTGTGGGACATCTTTGGGAGAAGAAAATCCTAAGGAGTAAAACCAACAATAATCCAGACTGGAGTCCCTAAAACGGATGGATGGTGCTTCATTTGCCAGCAATTTTTGCAGTCAAGCTAGTGCCAAACATATTGCTCTGCTTTTCTTTCAACCACATCAGTGAGACGGGGGGGGGGGGAGGTCTGGTCTGGCAGCCCAGGATCTCCGTACACATTGCTTAGATTTGCTCCCCAGGGAGGTCACTTCAGTGCTGCTTACCCAGCAGTTTGACTTCACCCTCCACTCCATTGTCTCTCGAGACAGACAGATGCCAACAATCCAATGTGGCACAAATCAGAATGTTTTTAATGTTTGGTATAACGCACAGTACACTGTTGACACCCAATATATATTATCTTAATTATAACACATGTGTACTCCATTATTCTATGTGGACCAGCTGGAAAAAATTTGCCTTCATTTTCATGACTTAAAGGAAGCAATACAATAAAAGAGGGAGAGTGGAGGCATGTTATCTTTCTCTTAGATATTTGTAGGGGATTAAAATGCACAACTGCTGAAATTTTAGAACATACGGCCTGCATGGATTATCCTAGTAATCCAGCCTGCTTGGAAACTAATACACAGAATAAATCTAGAGAAGTAATCAGAAAAGGAACAATGGCCTTGCATGCCTCTTTATTTATCATTCATGATAAGCCAATCAGTGGAATTTGCTTTTATTTAAGTAACTGCATTCCTCAACATAATCTGTATTAATAAACCTTGGAAGCACCATAGCTCAGTGGAAGAGTACTTGCATTCTGTGTGGAAGATCCCAAGTTCAACTGACTCCTGTCTGAATCCCTGAATATCTCCCACCAGTTAAGTGTAAATGACTGGATAGACCAGTGGTCTGACTTGGTATATGGCTGCCTCAGAATGAAGGGAACTTTTTAAAAGTATGGTAATGAAGATATTCCCCTTCATGGATCACTGCCTTGCCGTGGTGAAGTGGCTTGAATAACTCAGCGAAGCTATGAACTATGCCGAGCAGGGCACCCAAGATGAACAGGTCATAGTGGAGAGTTTTGACCAAACGTGATCCACCTGGAGGAGGAACCGGCAAGCCACTCCAGTATCCCTGCCCAAAAAACTCCATGGACAGCAATGACAAACCTAGACAGCGTCTTAAAAAGTAGAGACATCACCTTGCCAACAAAGGTCCGTATAGTAAAAGCTATGGTTTTCCCAGTAGTGATGTATGGAAGTGAGAGCTGGACCATAAAGAAGGCTGGATCACCGAAGAATCGATGCTTTTGAATTATGGTGCTGGAGGAGACTCCATGGACTGCAAGAAGATCAAACGTATCCATTCTTCAGGAAATCAGCCCTGAGTGCTCACTGGAAGGACAGATCCTGAAGCTGAGGCTCCAATACTTTGGCCACCTCATGAGAAGAGAAGACTCCCTGGAAAAGACCCTGATGTTGGGAAAGATGGAGGGCACAAGGAGAAGGGGACGACAGAGGACGAGATGGTTGGATAGTGTTCTCGAAGCTACCAGCATGAGTTTAACTAAACTGCGGGAGGCAGTGGAAGACAGAAGTGCCTGGCGTGCTCTGGTCCATTGGGTCACGAAGAGTCGGACACGACTAAATGACTAAACAACAACAACAACAATGAAGATATTGCCTTGGGGACATCTTTAACTGTAGCCATAATAGAGCAAACAGTGGCTTCCTCTGAAGCAGCTAGAAGAGTATCCTACATCTGGAAAACGACATATAGTCATCCAGTAATTCTAAGTTAGAGAATTGTGTGTTTTAATTTGGCTACTGGTTTAGAATTTGGATATTTTGATTCTCTGGTAATGGAGACTTTAGCATGCCATCAAGTCCTGCTCATAGCCCAATACCATTGGTTGCAAATAAAAATGCTCCCATAGTGATGTCTCTACATCACAATAGTAACATATTCATAGGTAACTGTGCAGATTAACTGCTATGTTGCATCTCTGTCAGGAGTGCTGACATGCAATGAGACTACTTTGTGCTTCTGTATGTTACCATTACAACCTGGAGTTTTCAAAATCATGTTTCAGTGTGATGAAGGTACGAATCAGTGACATATTATTATATTTGGACATTTGAATATCATTAACATTTATTTCATGGAAATGGAGTGATATGTGTTTGAGTATCATTGGTTTCCTTATCTCAGGCCAGCCGGTGATAGGAATGATTGGAATTTTCATCCTGTGTTGTGCTCCTGTTTTATTATTTCATTTGTTTTGCAATATTTCCCTCTTTTTAATCTTTCTTAAGCCACTCTAAGAATGCTGATCGACCATTGAAGGGCAGGATTTAAATGTTAGAAATAAATAAATAAATAAGTGCAAAATGTTGAATTCCGTCAATTTGCAAATTAGCTCGTTTGCTTAAGGCATCCTTATTGTGTGACTTTTAAATAGCAGAGTTTCCCCCCCCAACGAAACATGAGATAATATGTCACATCAGCTATTATTGTCTAGTCTCGTTCACTCCCTGCACACAGTAGCAGCATTTAGGAATTATGGTAGGAGGTAGCTGCTTGCAGTCTCCATACCAGTCAGAGCATTTATGTGCAATAGAAAATGCCAAATGGTGTGGCAATAACATGCCTAATGCCGTTAGCTTTAGCGAGCCAGTGAAGCTGCAGTGTTATCTGCTGGCGTGTTCTCAATGCAGCCAACTATTTCTATCTGCCTGAATGCTTCTCCAATAATGCCCATGGGTACTGATGGAGATGAGCAATTAAGATTGACAGATGGTCCAAAGAGATGTCATCCGGTGCATCATTTTCCTGCTAGCAAACATCCTGGTTCATCTTTCATGAGATGTTTTTAAGATGGACTGGGAAATGACTTCTAGGGCAAGATCCTAATGTGTACTGAGTAGACCCGCTGATTCCATCAGCTAGAAAGAAAGCCTGGGATTTTCATGTGCTGAATAATAACCTACATATGGCCCTTGCCTCTGTAATGATGGCAACCAACTTGGATGACTGGAGGATTGGACAAATTCATGGAGGATGTCAAAGGCTACTAGCCATGATGACTGTGCTCTGCCTCTATGGTCAGAGGCAGTAATGCTTCTGAGTACCAGTTGCTGGAAGCTACTGGAGGATAGAGGGTCCTGTGCTCACGTCATGCTTGCCAGTTTGCCACAAGCTTTCAGTTGGTCATTGAGAGAATAGCATGCTGGACTAGATGAGTCACTGGCCTGATCAAGCAGGTTCTTCTTAAATCAATATGTAGGTAATTTTCTGCAGCTATTGCTATCTTGATATCGAGAACAAGAGATTCAAAATATGTATGGTAACATCTTTAACCACACCAAAATTTGTTAGTGTAGGACAGAGCTTTCCAAACTTTTCATGCTGGTGACACATTTTTTAGACATGCATCATTTTGTGATACAATAATTCAGTTTTACTAGTAAACCAGTGGTTAAACTAACTTCTTTCCAGCCCTGGTGGGAGCATGGGGAGCATTCACACAACACATCTACACACTGCAACCAACACACTAACTTGTCGCAACACACAGTTTGGAAAGCTCTGATGTAGGAGGTTAAACTTCATGCAGCATATCCATGATGGCTTCTTCTGACTTCTTTTTTCTTTCTTTTTTAACTGAATGATTGAAATGCAGCAACGGACATTTGCCTTTTTCATTTTCCTCAGATCAGTATCAGCAGAAAAGGGGCTCCCAGCTGGACAATTTTCAGTTCCCAAATATCCCAGCCCAGTGGCTATATGCTTTGTGGGGGCAGGGGAAAGTTAGCTCTCAAGCATCTGCAGCTCATTTGCCTTTTGCAGATCAGTTCCCTATTAACTATGTGCCTAGCAAAATCCAAGTTCTTTCCTTTCATGAATTCTATATGATTGCCAGACCAGGCCATTTTCGCAAGTTGAAGAGAAATGGGGTGGTGGTGAGGAATGGCTAGGCAACAAGTGCGGGGGAGAAGAGAGAGGAACTTATTGGTAGAAAGAAGTATCCTTATTATGTTTTGAAGTTAGATTCTTCTTCACTCTTAGGAACCACAGTGTATTGGACTTCTTGGCTTGCCATACCAGGAACTGGCCTAGTCAGCTGTCACACACCATGTTTTTAGTTTCAGTTTTGCATTGCAAGCAGCAACCTGCTGCATAGCTTTCCCCTTCATAAATGGTTTAGCATTAAAGTTGTGTTTCATGGTGTATCCACTACACATTTAAAGCACATCTGCCCGTAAGGATCCTGGGAACTGTGGTTAACAACAACAATAACAACAACAATATTTCTATGTCAGCCATCTGACTCTGGGTAGCTGCCAACAAAATATGAAAACACAACAAACTTCAAACATTAAAAACCTTCCTGTACAGGGCTGCCTTTGGATGTCTTTTAAAAGTCATATAGATGTTTATTTCCTTGACATCTGATGGAAGTGTGTTCTACAAGGCGGGTGTGACAACCAAGAAGGCTTTCTGCCTGGTTCCCTGGCAGCTGCAGTTCTCAGCACTCTTAACACGCTACAGTTCTCAGGATGCTTTGCATTCTCTCTCTCTCCTCACCCTCTCTCCCCACTCCCTTTCTCTTTCTCTCTGTGCATGCACTTCAAATGTATTGGTTATACAGTACACCCTGTCTGTAGCCTGTTTCCCACCACCCCAATCTCCAAGCAGTGCAAGATTCCAGGAGTTCAAGGCACTTACCCAGGCTCTGTGTTTTCTTTTGGAATGAGGCATAGTGGAGACTATGCTGTCTTTATGATACATGGTTTATTTACACATATATACAACCTGTGCCTATGATGGAGGAGTCACAGCATTAACCTCCCAAGAAGGTCTTGCTTCTTCCATAGCTGCAGCCTTGGATTCAAACAGAAATCAAGCATTGTTCTCTCCTTCTCTCCAGCTTGCTGCTTTGCTTCTACAGTCATACCTCGTGTTGTGTCTGCTTCAGGTTACATCTTTTCAAGTTGCGTCCCGTGGCAACCCAGAAGTACCATAATAGTTACTTGCGTGCTGAGGTCCCCAAAACACCCCTACCCCAATAACTCACACATCGCAAATAATTTTTGTTTAAGGTTTTTGGCATGATTTTGGCCACAACTTTATTAAAATACAAATTGTGAGTGGTTGCTTAGGCATTGGTTATGACTAGCTGTCCCCCCCACCTTGGGGACAGCACTGACTCCCGGATTCCAGCGAGAGCCAGTGTGGAGGAACAAGATCAGGGATAACTGGAGCTGCGACACAGACCCTCAGCTTCTCCCCGCATGCTCCCAGGAGCTTACGCGGCCCAAACCCGATTCCAGGGGTTTGGACGAGAGGATGGTAAGCCCCTGAATTCCTTTAATGGAATTCCCGTGCAGCAGCAGCATTGGAGGGGCAGGCACAGCCAATCCATACCCCTCCACCACCCAATTTAAACCAATGCCTAACCGCCAACCTTACAAGTTGTGATGATTTGCTACGCAGTAGACAAAAACCAATTGGCACACACTAATCAGCCAAAAGGAAAAATTCCTACCAGGCCCCCGCACCAATGCGGATGACCCCATGACAGGCATAGCAAGGTCAAAGCACAAGCCCAATCAAGGGAGGGCGGGCGGGTGATCCGGTGCCCACAGCGAAAAAGAAAGGAACATGCTGTGAGCCTTGTTTAAATAACCTCTGTTCCCACCCCTAAATTGGCAACATCAAATTTACCCCAGTAACACCAACCACCAATCCGATCCAAGCCCCATCAATCTATCCTGCCTGGCAACTATGGGGTGCTTTGCTCGGCCCCATCTGCAACACGTGCTCTCCTTTAATGAGAACACGCTTTCTGGGTTTCGCCACTCGCGCATGCGCAGAAGTGCTAAATTGCGCCACATGTGTACGCAGACGCAGTGCTTCTGGATGTGAATGCTTCGAGTTGCGGACGTACCTCCAGGATACGTCCGCAACTCGAGGTTCCACTGTAGTTCACATCACTGTCCTCTCTGCTCTCAACTCTGGTTTTGACTTTCTAACTTCCCACGAGTTGGGGGAGGGGGTCTCGCCCATTTGCCATCTTACACAGAGCTCCTTCTTTGGTCCCCTGAATTACCCATCACCTTACCAGGAAGCAATTTTGGCTATTCCTGGAATTAGAAGCGAGGCCTAGGCCTCAGCATACAGCCTATTCCCTGCCAAACTCATAACACTACTTTTCAGGAACAACAAACATGAGTCGTTGGCTTCCAACTCTATTGCAAAACACCTTTGCCAGCTTATACGCTTTACAAAGTACACTAGACTTTCAGGTAGCTTTCACATACAAAGAGGCAAAGTGTTTCTTTCTACAGCTGATTGTTAAGGGACCAGCTACTATCTCCATTGTGCATGACACCATGCTCAACAAAGAAGAGATTTTTGTCCACCATTATGGCCACTACTTGTTTATGAGTGAATAAACATATACGTACATTCACACAGCAGAGAACAAATTGTTATTATGGAGCAGCATTGCCCTTGAGTGAAATGCTAACAATGATACATGACCAGTGCCGTGATTGGCTCTTGCATCCATCCTTTGGTGCATTTAAGAGGACACATCTGTAGACCAGCACTGTTGATGTAGCTATTTTTATATGTTTGTATGTTGTTATGCAGCTGTTATCATACCCTTAAATAGAAATAGCCAGATAAAAAGCTGAATGCTAGAGGCATTTAATGTGAAACAAAGGCACAAGGACGTATTAATGCTGATTGCTGTAGCAAATTACCATCAATTGTATTTATTCTCATGCATTTATTTCGATTTTCATTTGTGAACACATTCTAACAATAATGTTTAGGATAGTATTGCCACCTACTGGCTATATTTTATAAGGCAAAGATATCAATAGCATGTTGCTTGTGATCAAATTGTTCAGAATTCTTGGCTGAAAATTGTGCAAGGGATTTCAAAGCATACCTAAGATGCATGATTGCAGATGGCAAAGGACGACAAATAGAGTGGTTAAGTGTGCTTGGGGTGGCTTCTGCCAAATCTCTCATTTTCCAGAGATTGATCCCAAAGATTGGTTTTCCAAAGCTTGGTCCCCCAAAAAGCAAAAAGTCGTGACATGTACTCTGCAAATGAAGCATGCACAAACTGGCCTGGTTCACACATCACATTATTAAATCATAGATAAGATAAACTCCTCTATCGTCATGCTACTAAGAAAAAAAACTATGGTCTGGTTTGTCATGTTGTACAGACCCAGTTTCAAAGTATGTTTCTCTACAAGCAACCAGGGTTTGTTGTTCACTTTGTATTCATGGTTTGTTTGGAGTTCAGATGACTTGACTATGGCTTTGTTTCCCAGCAATCTGGCAGGAGTGAATGAGGGGCAACACCCCCTCCCCAAAAAAATTTATTTAAGCAGCAGTGAATTTTACTGTGGAATAATAAGATATTAAAAACCAGGTCAGTAAACATAGTGTTTATAGGTAACATCTTCAGGAGGGACAAATTGCTGTATTTTCTGCATTGTATATTGGGTGATCCTAGAAGACTTCAGAAACTGCAGCAGGTACAGGTTGGAGTAGGTTACTAGGTGAAGACTGAATGAGGGACCTGAAGACATCTCAAAAGGGATATCTGTTTTTCCAGTGCTTTTGAAGAGCTGATGTAGAGAGGTGCTTCATTTTAATTCTTAAAATCTTATCCATTTTGCATGCCAAGCTATCTGCTGCAACACAACTGACAGGGAACTAAAAATTGAAGGAAGGCAAGCACTGGGACGAGAGCTCCCCACTCTCAGAAGCCAAGCCAGTCAGGTTTGGAAGCATGCAGGCTGTGTAGTAACTATCCAGGATTTTGATCTCTGTGCTTTTCCCACTCTGTTCATTTTTTTCGCTGACATCTACCTTTACACCCATAGTTTCAGGGAGATGAATCACCTGACACCAGGCTGACTGAAACCTCAAATGACAAGCTGAAGTGGGAGGTCAGGAGGGAAAAAATGCTGCTTGTCTGAAGTGTCTGTGAGGCATTTCTGAGAAGTGGGAGCTGATCTGCATAGTGATTCCTCCCCTACAGCCACTACACGCCATGGGAAGACACTTCATGGACAGTCACATTTAAGCAGAGGCTTCTATTCAGCAAGCAGAACAAAGGAAGAGAGAAGGGCCCCTGCCACAAAGCCTGTAGCGTCACTGATAAAGCACTTCATGAATGCTGTATTCAAGTATCTTACATTCACGCAGCTCAGGACATCTCTATCAGCCTCCTGGCATCAGCTGCCTACCAAAAATATATTTGTAAGCAGCACAAAATGTACCGTTTGTTTTACAAGAACTGTCAGTTTTTGCACCTGTAAAGAACAAGGTTTTCAGAGGCCTAAAAATAAATATTTCAGAGCCCTTTCTACACTAGAAAAATGAGTATGCCTTTACAGCAATTGTCAGTTTCTGGCACCTGTAAAAAATACTATTTTAGATAAAAATAAATAAACCACACTTTAAGTCATACCCTTTCCTATCCTAGAAAAACAAGCATGCCGTTCCTAACAACAGGCATGAGATAACAGCAATTTGAAACACACCTTTTTATATCTCTCCTTCCTTTTCATCTATGTATATTGACAATGGTGAACCCATGACCCTCTAGATATTGTTGGACTGCAGCTCTCATCATTCCTGAATACTTGCCATACTAGTTGGGTCCAATGACAGTTGGTGTCCAACACTTTTTGGAGGGCCATTACTGTCAGGAGGTTCTACACACGAGTGGCGTCCGGCAGAGACACATGGTCGACTGGCGTGTTCTCTCCCTCCTAGTCAGTCGTTCGGGAGCTTCAAAAGCTTTCTCCAGCCCAAACATCACAGCGACTGATACCAAGAGGCATCAGCACACAAGGATTAGCAGAGTAGAGGCAGTCAGTGTAATAGTCTCAGTAGTGCAGCATTTTGGCTAAACTACTTTATTTACATATAATACACTCGGAGCAATCTAACTCAGCTCCTTCCATCAGCATCAAACAGGAAAGAGAAAGGACAAAGGACAAAAATCGCACATCACGGAAACACAGTAATACAAATATCCTGTCTCTGTCACTTCCCACAATGTGGAATGAAAACATACACCGTCATGTGATATAAACAATCCCATGACTGCAGCACGGGGAATGAAACCTAACAATTTCTCTCTCCCTCCCTCTCCTCACCATGCACCCATCCTGTTAAAGTGGGGTGCCCTCCACTTTACGTAATTTCACTTGTACCCATGGGGCCCCCAGAACGCAATCCCCATCTAAGTGCAAGGGTGCCCGTACCCTTGTTACTTCTAGGAACTCTTTAAAAAGAGGCTGTTTCTAGACAACCTCTTCATAAATTTGCTTGCAGGAAGGTTATATGACATCATGTAAAGTGATTATATTTTTGTTTTGTGATTTTAATGGACATGAAACACCAAGTGCATTAGAAAAGCAGACCATAAATTATTTTTAAAAAATATTTGAACATGTGTCTGTGTTGTTGTATGTAAAACAATCTGATATTGTGTTTCATTTCTGTTGTGCATCTTACACCTTTACAAAAAATAAATAAATAACCATTCCCTTTCAGTAGAAAATGAAACTTCTGTGTTTGATAAGGTAGGCAAGATCCCTCTAGTGGCAGAAAATGAAATGTCAAGAGGAAAGTTCACCAAATGTTGGTCCATTTCACAAATACTATGTATCTATGAATTTTCAACCAGATACTTCTACTACAATGTAAATGTTACAGGAGAAATTTGGATTAAGAATGTAATATAACTGCAAACCCACAAGGAACAATTTACACCCATGCATTTCAATGCTATCATACTCCTATAGAAAAGAGAATAAAACAGTATTTTAAGACACTGCCCTTCAGCCCTGGCAAAGTGTGACTCAAACTTCTTTTACAGGTGCTGCCTATGGAAAGATGGACACAGTATGTATGTGTGCACAAAGTACAGGGCTCTATGGATATCTATACAAAATGTGTCCTATTAGATAATGGTTTGTGTATACTGGGGATTATGTAATATTTTGATGCACAGTATCAAAATAAGTATAGCTTTATGATTACAAACCACATAACTGCTAGGAATGGTTTAGAAAGTTTCCAGATATGGTTCTTCATATATGTAAAGCTTAGGATGCACATTAAGTAATCATTTTAGATATAGCTATATAATCTGCTAATCAGATAGTTTCTCTCAGAGTTTTCTTTGTTCTGTGGGTTTGTGATTCAAAGTCTGCCAAACAAATGGAATCAATTAACAACTTGGTTATTTGGCAATTTGGTCCTTTTGTTAAAATCAGAGACTCTGTCAGTATAATACATCTGTTTACATCCCACACAGAGCAGGCTTAGAAGTAAGTCCCAGTGAGGCTTGTTTCAGGAAAATGTGTATAGGATTGCAGCCTCAAAGTCTCTTCCATGTTCATTAGCTTTATGATATCAACCACATTGACAACATTATAAATAACAACATGAAACCCTCAGTATAAAGTATTTACATATGTTCAGCTACAATACAGATATTTACTAATGCTGCCATGGCACCGAAAGTTCAAAATGTGCTTATGTGACTGCTAGCCTGGGCTTTGATATCATTTTCAGAAGTCCTCTCATAGGCCACCTTCAAAATGAATCAGAGAGACAACCATTAGAAATGCGGTTTTTTTATGGTGCCTCTGTATTTGTGGAATAGATGTGTAGCTACATCTGAATCGGCTTTACACTGGGCGTCAAAAACTTACATTTTTAGCTCCTTTTAGTTAAGATGCCAAGCAGAATTTCTGGGTTTTAGTTTTTTTTTTTAAAAAAATAATATTTATTAAAGTTTCAAAAAATACATGAAAATACAGAATAAAGAAAAAAGTATAAAGTTTTTAAGATACAACAAAAAAGTAAAAATAATAATAATAATAAAAGAAACATACAAAATAAAACAGTTAAAAACACATTAATTTTCCATAGCCTATCTTCCTTACACTTATTTCCCCGAACCTCCTCATACCTCCCTTCTTTGTATTCCAGTTCAGTTTGTTAGTTCAGCAAATCCTTACCATTAAACTTTTACCCAATTGTTAACCTTTTTTTTTCATATCTCTTAAAGCATTACAGCTAAAAACCTCTTAGTTTCTATCCAACATCCTTCTAAAATTCCTTAATTTTGCAATATTTCTGTAAATAGTCTTTAAATTTCTTCCAATCTTCTTTCACCGACTCTTCTCCCTGGTCTCGGATTCTGCCAGTCATTTCCGCCAATTCCATGTAGTCAATCACCTTCATCTGCCATTCTTCCAAAGTGGGTAGATCTTGTGTCTTCCAATACTTTGCGATAAGTATTCTTGCTGCTGTTGTAGCATACATGAAAAAGGTTCTGTCCCTCTTTGGCACCAGTTGGCCGACAATGCCCAAAAGAAAGGCCTCTGGTTTCTTCAGAAAGGTATATTTAAATACCTTTTTCAGTTCATTATATATCATTTCCCAGAAAGCCTTGATCTTTGGGCACGTCCACCAAAGGTGAAAGAATGTACCTTCAGTTTCTTTACATTTCCAACATTTATTATCGGGCAAATGATAAATTTTTGCAAGCTTGACTGGGGTCATGTACCACCTGTATATCATTTTCATAATATTCTCTCTTAAGGCATTACATGCCGTAAACTTCATACCTGTGGTCCATAACTGTTCCCAGTCAGCGAACATAATATTATGTCCAACATCTTGTGCCCATTTAATCATAGCAGATTTCACCGTTTCATCCTGAGTATTCCATTTCAACAGCAAGTTATACATTCTTGACAAATTTTTAGTTTTGGGTTCTAACAATTCTGTTTCTAATTTTGACTTTTCCACTTGGAAGCCTATTTTCTTATCCAAATTATATGCCTCCATTATCTGCAATCTCAATTTATCTCCTTCTTGCTCCAAAATTTCCCAATATGTCGGCCATTTGGCCTCCATATTGAGCCTTTTCAGAGCTTTTGCTTCCATTGGTGACAGCCACCTTGGGGTTTTATTTTCCAATAAATCTTTATATCTTATCCAAACATTAAACAATGCTTTCCTAACAATATGGTTTTTGAATGCTTTGTGTGCTTTGACCTTATCATACCATAAGTATGCATGCCATCCAAATACGTTGTTAAAACCTTCTAGATCCAAAATGTCTGTGTTTTCAAGAAGTAGCCATTCTTTCAGCCAGCAAAAGGCTGCTGATTCATAATAAAGTTTAAGGTCTGGCAGGGCAAATCCACCTCTTTCCTTGGCATCAGTTAATATCTTAAATTTTATTCTGGGCTTCTTGCCCTGCCAGACAAATCTAGAAATATCTCTCTGCCACTTCTTGAAACAATCCATCTTACAGAATTTCTGGGTTTTAGTACTTTCCATTTGTCTTAAATGGTTTGAACTAGTTTTATTCAAGTGTGTGGCTGGATCATGAAATGATTTGTTGCTGCTACTTTCAGTGACTTTATTTTAATGAAATATGAGATTGTAATGTCATATCTTATCTTGTATATAAAAGCTGGGGGGGTTGGGGGGAGAGATTACCTTAAAAGGTGGCAAATAAATATTTTAAATGAATAAGTTTGTGTTTTTAAGAACACTGCTTTATGTATCCAGCTGGCATTAAGACTGGCCAGCACAATGGGTGAGGTCAACAACAAAGCAGTGGGGTAACTCTTAGATCGGGAAGATTTCCGCACTGATTTTCATCAGGGCTTTGAGGTCCCAGTGTTAATAACAGAAAGCTGATTAACTTCAATGAGGTGGATGTGTACATCCCTGCCCTTGCAACCCCTGCATGTCTTTCTCAAGAAAAGATACCCTACTGGGATGAATGGCGTTATCCCTTTCACAAGCTGCAGGTGTAAGGCTTGGGCTGCATTGCCTGAGATTGTTTTAACTCCGCCTGGTCTACAGTAAATCTTACAATACAATGGCCTAAATATTTCATAGAGTGAGAGAGAGGACTGTCTTCTGTCGTCCAGGAAAAGAAAGGAATAAAATATACTGTACACAGAGCTGCTTTACATGAGTATAGAAACTTGGATTCTCAAAGAAAAAAGGCTCAGAAGAGATTTCTGTCCCCTCCCAGCTAGAGCTTTTGTGACACATTGTCCCTAACAAATAAAAGAATTTTGCTGAAATGATCTACCTTGCTGTTTTCTTTTCCTTTGAAGAATCCTAGGCTACAATAGACAACCCATCAGGAATAATTAGATTA